AAAGAGTGGCTCAGCACACTACCAACTGTAGACTCGCATTATTGCAGAAAATTGCCAAGTTACAGAAACATAAAATTTTTGTATCTAGACACCACAATATCTGCCCTCCACAGACATTACCAAAATGTTGCAGAGGAGGAAAACAGGAGGGTCGTTAGTGAAGCTTATTTCAACGAGATTTTCCCCAGATATAAATATATCCTCAGTTTTCATTCCTCGAAAGAATTAATGTGATAAGTGTGTAGGTTACAAACATGGTAACATGAGTACAGTTGAGTATAGCTTGCATATCAAACTGAAGGATGATGCTAGAAAAGAAAAGATACCCGACAAAGATTCTGCAAGTGCAAATAAATCCGTTTGGACGATGGATCTACAGGCCGTGCTTTTATGTCCTAGAAGACCTAGAACGAGAGCTAGTAGGCTACCTCATATTACAGAACTAAGCTACAGGTACACAATTTCACTTTATATGATACGAAATCAAAAGCAGGTTACTGTTACGTCTGGAATGAAACTGAAGGCAATCTTTCTAGTGAAGTATTTGCTTACTTGCAGTTTGAAAATTTTAATCGAATCATTTGTAATAATCCCGAGCTGAAGCATATCATAGTTTGGAGCGATGGATGTGGTTACTAAAATAGGAACAGCACGGTAGCGAATGCATATTCTAGTCTGGCAAGAACTTACAACATAGATATAGAGCAAAAAATTTTGGTGGCTGGACATACACAAATGGATTGTGACTCGATGCACAGCGTCATTGAACGAAAGATCGTAGGCGACATTTTTTCTGAAAGAGATTTGATCGTACTTATGGAATCCGCAAGAATCAATCCATCACCCTATCATGTTCGCCAAATGAAGCACACTGATTTCAAAAGAATGAATCAATTATTCCTTCAAAGCATTAGACCCGGAAAAAGAGTAGGAGATCTCAGAGTGCATGATTTGCGTGTCCTGAAGTACGAAAGTGATGGTAGTATTCGTTACAAGCTTTCGTTTGAGAAAGTAATTTGGAAAGCGCTACCACACCGTGTAGCACTCAAAGTCAATGGGTGCCAATGTTCAGATCTCGTATTCCAGTTTGTGCAAGGAAATTTAATAATCTTCATGAAATGAAATCAATTATGCCAATTGACTGTCATCATTTTTATGACAACCTTCCTCACGAGTAGATTATACAAACTAAAATGAAGTATACTTCTATAAATTCATGATTACAGTTGTTTGTTTAAGTTGATGTTTTAGTTTCAAAAGAGTTATTTATGTTTTGATTCTATTATATTGTTTGAGTTGAATTTAACATTCCTTGTATCAATTGAATACAATACATCTGGCCTGTGGGCTGACATCTACTCTAATGTTCATTAAAGCCAGATTATGGTTAAGGAGGAATATCGAATTTTTGACTTGGCTTTTGTGTCATATTAGTTTGAGGGAAGTCACTCTCTCATTATTTGCCAAATCGTATATAGGTCAAGAGAATGTACAGAAAAAATATAGGGTGAAGATGTGAATAATATTGCCTAACTCAGGGTGCGGGAATAAAAAAAAGGTAGTTTCCAGTGTACGTTTTCTGCATTATGTTTTTGATTCATATAAGTGTACATAATTTTTCAGTCTATGTTTTTCATATTCAAAAAAATTTTCATTCCATGTTTCTCCATATTCAAAACAACCACTACACTGTTAGTATTCCAAAGCTGTGTCACTTTATATGTTCATGTAAATAATTTGCTTGAAACACACTTGTCTTTGATAATTCAGAGGGGGGGGTAATTCTGAGCTGGGTTCGTCGAAAAATTCTTGAATTTTTTTCCAATCATGGAGTAGGCAGCACAATACAATTGGTTGTTAGGCTCTACATCAGGGGTAGACTAAATTATATTATAATTTAGCATAAAATTTGCAATTACTCGTCTAATGAGCCTATAATTTAATTATAATTAGAAAAACGGCAACAAAACGCAGAAAAGTTGATGCTAAGTGCAAAGGGTTCAATGGCGCCAAAAATATTCTAATGGAATTTTTTGAGATGCAATGTAATGAGGAAATCTATATTTATTTTGAGAACTGTATCACTGCTTGATTTTTAATATAAAAATATCATCCGTTCGGTTTTCAACTTTCTACTAAAAATATATGCGGCCCGCCAATGACTTGCAACCCTTAATTTTGGCTCGCGAGCGACAAAGGTTTGCCAACCCTTGCTCTACATCTCTAGGTCTCAACATAAATACTGAAATAACATAGCTGCTCACAGGCGGCAGTAAGCATCCGACACCCCCATGTTGAACAGTCAATATCTATTGAATGGTCGAAACTAATTTTTATGAACATTTCCATGAAAAGCATTAGTAAAGACCTTAAATTGGACGAATTTTCACAGCTCTAAGTTGAATATTGGCGTCTTGGGAATTTCAGATAAAATATTACGGTATTTGCTTCTCAAAGCCAAAAAATCGTTTTCTGCCCCTGTTCAAGCAGTAATATCTAGAAAGCGGTTTAATATAAATTGTTTTTGCAAGTTTTCCTTAGCATAATCAATCATGAACTACAAACTAACCAAATATTAACAGTATGCGCCCATCCAATATTGCACAAGTAAATTTAAAGTAGCGACCCTTTTTGAAGCCGCGAAAACGCAACTTTTTATTTTACAAAATCACGTTCGAGTTCTACCCAAAGACGGCACACGCCACTCGGTCGCAATCTGAAGGATGGATTATTGTAGATAATGATTTTCTGCGCAAGGGGATATTTTCACTAAGTTTGTGGGGTAGCTGTAACGGATTGTGTGGGTGTTTAAACATTTTGAAATTTATCCGGTCGATAGCAGTTATTTAGGCCTATGATCTCCGTCCTGTGGACCAAATTTACACCCTTCAGGCAATTTTCTTAGCTCTTCTGCATATTCGCGAGTTCTTCCGGAAAACTTTTGATCCCTTCTGTGAAACGCGAACATTTCCACAAATACGGAGCGCTTCGGTTTTGAATAATCTTGAAAGGTTTTCTCTATAACATCATATGTTTTAGAACTAGGTAAGTCGGGTGCCAGAAGATTGTGTAGAATTTGGTAGGTTTTGGCAGATAAGATTAATATCGATATCATTTGCAATGAAATTCTGTTCCAATCGCTCACAATAAAGTAGTTCACTTCCATCGTATTCTCAGCCATTTCTTTGAGTTACAGGGAATCTTTAACGCGGTCTCATGTCTAAACAATGAACAGTGTCTCACCAACGTCTGTGCGATCGCTGTAATATTACGATTCTTCCACAAGTGTATTCCCATCCTCGTCTCCAGTTCTGTTGTGTCCTGGGGCCCCTTTATTTACGTAAAAAATATACACGTATACACGTTGTAGCGACTTCCTTCATGGACAAACTCAAACCACCGACTGACCTGTATCTTCAGTCTAGGACAAAACGTGTTAAGCAAATCGCATGAGTAGCCATGCGATTTACGACGTGATAAATAAACCACAATATATTTAATCGTTAATTTGTTTAGAAAAGTTTCATAAACACCAGATCTAAAGCTTTCATTTACAAAGCGAGGGATTAACGGCAATTCGAGACCGAATAAAAAAAAAACGAGAATATCGGTCAGAGACCGAAGACTTATCGATCGAAAGTTAGGGAACCCCCAAAACAGCGCTCCACCTTGTGTCCCATCATTAATTAATTAATAACTCGCTAATTATACGACATAATTCCACTCCAAAACCAATAGGCTTCTGGTCCGACATATGCTGAATGCACATGCAAAATCTGGAGCAGATTTATTCTCGCTTTCGTGAGATATCGCGTGCATCTAACAGACAGACAGACATACAGACAGACAAATACCTATCAACATACTTACCGATTAAAATCGATAAGTAATAATCGTCAAAGGCAAATCTCTCCTTTGTAAGTGTCTTCTGTTCACGTCCGATGTTGGTCTAGTATACTGGATCTCAACCAGTGGGCCATGGCCCACTACTGGGTCATAGAGACATTTTCAAGTGGGCCTCAGGCATATCAAAAATTTCGATGGTTATTGAAAAGTTTAGTTTCATTTGTGTCATTATGGTCAAATTTTCATTTTAGTAGCAACGAACGATGCTGCTGTTTTTCATTCTAATTATTAACGTGAAAGTATTTATTTTTGCAAAAAGAGACTTGTTTTTCCTGTTTCCCTTGCATGAGAAAGTTAGTCACAGAATTTTTATGCAAGTGGGCCGCGAAAGAAAAAGGGTTGAGAACCCCTGGTCTAGTAAGATTCGAACAAAAATAATTGTTTGATGTGAAAATTATTTACATCTACTTCGAAATAATTTTACTCGAACTATTCTCGATTTTAAAGATTTCGTTTTTACCCAATACAATAGGCCTATATTTATTCATCAAGTCTTTTTATGAAAGTTTAAGAAATACCATATCCAAAGCTGATGCCTAGATTGTGGTTTAGTAATACACCTAGTTGTTCGTCTCTTCTTGCTTTTCCTTTTTTATATTATTTAACGTGTCTGATATAAACTCCTTAAAATCGTATATATATATTTAAAAAAGATCAGAGCGTTATGGGTTTCTTATACCCATGTTTGGAAATCTCACTGATAATGTATATATCTCTTTTTGGTGCGTTAACTACACTCACGATCTACGTTACCGATCTTACTTTTTCTCAGTTTTGATGGCTATGCAGGTATTACTCTGTTTTCGACCATTTTCTTCCTATGCTATTGCCTCGACCTAGTTTTGCTATCTGTGCCTTTCCTCATTGTTGAATTGGCACCTGTTCCTGTTTACGTCTTGATCTCGACCCCCTCATCTATTCCCATGGCATCTGGACGATTTTTTAATATATATATAACCGGAAATTAATAAAGAAAACATAATGTACAACAGCTGCCAAGGCAACAGTAAACTGGCTGCATCAATTTTTTTTTCAATCGTTAAAACAGAGATCATAGATGGCAAAAATCGACTACAACTAGTAATTAGATACGTCCATCCGAAGGATAATATATTGTACACTCTAAAAATACTCAAAATTATTGAACTTTAGCTTATTACCGAAATGGAAACAAAACAGACATCTGTCGAATAGTTGTTGGCACTCCACCACCCTCCCCCCAAATAAGGGAGCTTTAATACAGGCAATACACCCCAACGGAAATGATGAGACGAAAGCTTCAGTAAAGAAGGAGCCAACAGCGCTACAATATTGTAACGGTCTACGGTCTGTAGATACTGTACTTTGGTCCATATAGTAAAAAGTATCAGTAAAACCAAAATATATATATTTTATGATACATCTCAGAACAAATATATTTTGTTTTCTGTGGTATTATCACAAATATTACAATTGGACACGAACTGTTTGTGCATATATTGGGATTTATCACGGCTTAAGAATATTTAAGAAGATAAGAAATATTATCGTTCCTTCCAAACCCGTATTGGTGTGGTGTTTAATGCCTAATCCAACATTGGTCATTATATCAGACTTCTCTTATTTTTTCGTGTTCCACTTTCGCTTTTCAACCTATCTATAACTCGGTTATGTCTATTTTATTTTTCCCATGTGATGTATTATACTGCAATACCGTTCTGTAATAATACCATCAGAAGCTCCTTAGCACACGATGCCCAAGACTAATTTCCGCACGGCAAATAGCATGAATTCCTACAGACAAGAGCTTCTTCCTCAAATGAAACTTTTTCCGGTAGTCCACATATGAGTACATTGAAACTACAGGTAAATATTTCTGGAAATTATTTGGTAATTGTTATATATATATAGAATGAAGGACAAAATGTGAATTTAATTTTAGAGCTTTCTAGATGGATATATTTATGCCACCACTCTGAAAATTTTGCTCTTGCCTATATGTAATCACCTTTAGGCAATTTAGAAAGTATAACATCAAGGGCCAACTTTGTAAATGCTATGTTAAACCCGCATCGAAAAACATTCATGGTCATAAAGTTTTTTATGCAATTATAAATATACAACTTCTCATGAGTTATGTCTATTTTATTTTTCCCATGTGATGTATTATACTGCAATACCGTTCTGTAATAATACCATCAGAAGCTCCTTAGCACACGATGCCCAAGACTAATTTCCGCACGGCAAATAGCATGAATTCCTACAGACAAGAGCTTCTTCCTCAAATGAAACTTTTTCCGGTAGTCCACATATGAGTACATTGAAACTACAGGTAAATATTTCTGGAAATTATTTGGTAATTGTTATATATATAGATTGAAGGACAAAATGTGAATTTAATTTTAGAGCTTTCTAGATGGATATATTTATGCCACCACTCTGAAAATTTTGCTCTTGCCTATATGTAATCACCTTTAGGCAATTTAGAAAGTATAACATCAAGGGCCAACTTTGTAAATGCTATGTTAAACCCGCATCGAAAAACATTCATGGTCATAAAGTTTTTTATGCAATTAGAAATATACAACTTCTCATGAGGATTTTCAAAATTTTGTGTTTTAAGATTGTTTCCTTCTTACATTACCACCAGCACCAGAGCCCCGATTACCATACAACTCTAATTTGAACACTTAAAGCTAAGAATCAAGAATGTTGTGGTCACGTTAGCCTATGAATGTTGTCAATATATATAAAAGTCGTAGGCAACGAAAATATGAATATAATTTTTTCTATAAGTTGATATTAAATTTAACTATACCCGCTTGAAACAAGCGCCTGCTCGATGTGTCTGCAACGCACCATCCATTCCAGGACCAGAGCGCATATATATTTGACTCAAATTATAACGACAAATTATTTACTGAATTCGTCGGAACATAAAAGATAGCACGGGTCAATTGCAACTCACTCACCTGGATAGTAAAACATCGTCAAACTACGATTGTAACGCCTTCTGGTACCACCAATGAATATGAAGCATGGACGAGTCGAGGTGAAACAGATTAAAAGACATGTTCTGGCTTTGAGCAGATATTATTTCGCTTGTAAACATATAGAATATATAGAAGATGTCAAAGTGGAATCATCACGTCAATGGTTTGCTGGAAATGAAATCAATCGATGTAGTGCAGAAAAGACATTTAAAAAGTAGCTGTATCATTCTTATAATTAGAAAAATAAATATACTATAATGTCGTGTCGGAATGTGGCAACAAAGCGGTAATTGAAATATGGATAATCTTTTGCATGTTTAGACTTTAAAATACCATCAGCTCTAAGCCATGCTCAGGAATGCGCCTTACACATCAAAACATGTGTCTGATTTTCAAAAACTTAAAATAAGCCACAGATCTGTGTATTTATTGAGTACAATTTCTGCATTAAAATTGACATGAATCATATTGTTCGATAACATTTTGAAATCACCATAAGTTAAATTTAAAGATTTGAAACATTTAGCCAAGTACAATTTAGTTTATAAGATTTAATTATGATAATTTTTATAATGTAAGAAATTGTTTTAAATATATATAATGATCAGGTGAAGGTATAACCGGCTTTATTTACGGGTTAGATTCTTGCATTAACTTTAAGATTCTTTCTCCCTCATTTTTTCCTGTCGAGAATGCTCCATCTACTGTGCTGTATCTCGGTATACTCAGCGCTTCTCCTGCAAAAAAGACTCTTGGCATTTTGTTAACGTATAAAGGTTCTCGTACTTTTTTCTGATGGCTTGACATTTGTCCAATTGCCGGGTAGCTGTAGGTGCCAAGAAAATTTTTATCCTGATGCCATTTGGTTGTTATGATATCATCAGGACCTGGTAATTTTGGGTTGTTCAGAAATCGTCGTAACAAATTTGTAACAGTCAATTTAAGATCACTTTCAGGTATGTTACGTATCCTATTTGAAGTCTTTTTAGTTATCCAAAGCATAAGAAAATTTGTTTTGTAGCTTGTGATTTTATATACGCCACGACACCAATGACTTTTAATAGAAAACTCGTCTTCAGATACCGTATCAGTTAATTCATCGTACGAATCCCATATGAGATATCTTTCGGAAAACTTTTCTGGTCCCCAGAAGGGTTCTTCGTAAAAGAGAAACATTTTGTTTATTGCGCCAAAACCGATCTTCTTTATTGCGGCGTGTTTTTCCTTTGGCAAATTTGGATCAAAGAGAGTTTTGTGATATTTTTTGAGACAGCCGATCGAAACCGTCACGAGTACCATATCAGCGTGTATTACTTCAGTCTTGTTAAATTGATTCAAATACTTTATCGCGACTCCATTTTTATTTTCCTTGTTCCACTGAATACTTTTTACTTTGCTATTCAACTTGATTGCACTTTTCGGGATACTCTTACTCAATTTTTTTGGCAAACTCATATATCCATCCAAAACTTTTACGTCGTTGTCGCCATACTCTTCATATTGGTACCATGCTAGACAATTAACAATATTAGGATGTCCTCCGTCAGTGATCTCGAGTAATCCAAATTTGTTTATAAGAACTGGGTTGATCACTTCTCTATTAAGTCCAAGCTTTTTTTTATAGTGTCTAAATAGTTTTTTTCTCCACATTTTTCTTGCCAAGTTTCCTAGTGGTAGATTGGCCACTTTTTCCTCACTTCTTCCCACTGATTCAACGAGTCTCTCAATTTCTAATTCGATATAGTCCACAACTCCTGTAAATTCATTGTTAAAATTATAAAAATTGATAGTATATTCAAATAATGAACATCTTAAAAATTAATGATTGCATGTTTTAACATTTTGCTTTTCAGGCTTGTTGAGAAATTTTCACTATTTAATCTTCTTGATTAGGCAAATATTTTTTGACACGTCACTCTATATGACATATTCACTTGATATAGTCAACCTATTATTATTGTCCATTCTCCACGTTATTCGCGAAATATTCTAATGACCACATAAAACACACGCGAAGTCGCAATAAAAAATTTCATTGGCTATTTCAGCATTGGTCAAAGTTAGGTTATGTGACAAAATACCAAAAAATAGGAATTGTACTTGAAGAATTCCAAAATAAATCTGTTATAGCTGGAGTCAAAGGTCTTCCACTGTAGTACTGAAATTTTGAGTCTTTTGCCGGAGAGTAGCGACCCCAACTCTCTATTTCGAGTTTTGTATCTTTATGTAGGTACTGTGACAAAAATACCATAAACGTTTTTTGTAATATTTTAATCCACTCGAATCAAAATATAAAGACCGACAATTTGCGACAAAGAATATTTGATTGCAGAGCTTTGCCCGAAGTTATCATCATTCGTTCCGGACAACTCGATATGGCGCCGAGTCTATCTTTTTTTCTTTAATATAAAACAATCGGCAAACGCTTTCATCCGCATTTCAATGCAGTTTGACGTTTGAGAAACAAATGACTTGAACTACCAAGATTTTTTACTGCTGCCCAATACAGTATAGCGACCTAAAACCATTATGAAGAAAAAGAAGTTGGAGAGAAAATTCAGACAAATTGGCGAAGGTGTTACAATAAAGCACTCTTAATAAAAAAAATTTCAGGTGCTCACCTCATAAACAGCATTTCCCTCCGCGCCATGTATCCACTGAGCACCATGTTCATACATATGACCTTTGAATTCTGTTGTAAATATTCGTCCTCCAATGCGGTCAGTTGCCTCGAGAATAGTAACATCAGATTGGCCATTTTCAAATAACACTCGAGCAGCGGATAAACCACTCACACCTGCCCCGATGATCACAACTTTCTTGCAGTTACAAGTTTGTGAAAGACTTAAGGTGAGCAAAAGCAAAAACTTATAAATAGCATCCGTTTTTCTATACATTGTGTCTTTGATTAAACCTGGTAAGTGAACCACAAATGAAAATCAAATTAGCTATCTTTTGATTATAATTTAAAGCAATGCAAATTTATTTATTGTTTACAGCTTGTTTAAAGTGGGCTTCGTTTGCGAAACTAAAATTTTTATAAGTTAACTGTGCAGAAATCTAACGATAATTAGTATGGTCCTTTGATGACGTAGTACTAAAGAACTCGTCGGAGTAATTTTGTATCATAGTAAAGGCATTTACAACAGTGCTTTGTGTTCTTATTGGAAACGAAATGTCTATATGGATCGTTTTGTTATTATGTTAATTGTTGTTGTTCATCTTGTTAGTATTTCTTTTCTTCTTCTTCTTGCGAAAAATCGCTTTTCACATTAACTACTGCCTAAATACCTTTGAAAGGCTGCTTTGTCAATACACCGAACCATTACTGGGCTTCCACATTTACCTGGTATCATTGACTTGGTAAACTTACCAATTTGTTGTGCCCAGCCGTTAAAGTTGCAATTTTCATCATGTGTTACTCATTTTCAGTGCTGCAAGCTCTTTATGTTCAAATTTGGACATTATCTATTCTATAACATCTCGCCCTTCTCGTTATTACTCAAATATTCTCAGCGACACATTCTTTTCCTACACTCCAATACTCAAATATTGAACGGATCCGAATTTCATGGGTCATAAAAACATGAATTTTATAAATTATATCAGTTCAAAGTTGGATTATATATTAAACAGCCCAAAAAGTGCTTAAAATGCTTTTATAGAAAAAATATATATAATTAAAATCATCAAAAAAATAAAAATTTCCGTGATATTTTTCATTTATTCAATTGCTCAACATTTATAGTTAGATGCAAATAAAATGCAAAATTATAACAGGGCGCACTTTTTTCTAGTCCAACTACGATGCTATAAAATTGAATAAAATTTCATATAAGTATAATATTTAAAACATCCTTTCTCGACGTGCGTTCTTCATGATAACCCAAGGCTTTCTCAACTTCGATTGTTCCCTGCTTCCCGCACTGCGTAATTTTGAACAGCGCAATTTTATAATACGCTAATTTTAATCCCATGTTATGGAATGTTATAGTCTAAACATTTGCAGTAGCTCAAACCACAAAAACATATAAACTATACATCATATAAATTTGAATGTAGGTATCACTTTTAAGCGTGTTTTTTTATTTCGATCTTCTGCAAGATTATTGGGAATGCAACAATACTTTTACGTGGTTAATATGTAATTATAGCGACACATAGCTCTGGGCCGTGTCGGCCGCTTCGTGTTCAACATCTCTGGTCACCTAACTGGTTTTGAGATGGCTATGAAACTTGTTAATCAGCTTATTTTGAACAAATTCACACGAAACTAATTTGCTCGAAGTCAAACATACATAGTTTTTGTCTTTTATTTCCAACATCTTATTTCATTGCAAGATAAGTTTCTGAATCCAGTGTGTATATATTTTTCAAGTTGTCGATTAGAAGATGTGTTTTAAATATATACATATATGTGTGTATAGCAAACTCGTTATCATCATAACGATTCCTAAGTGTTCGGTCTCATGGAAAGCGATAAGAATCTAGATTACCGACAAAATACATGCAATATTTCGCATGGTTTAGGCCAGGCACCATTATCTGTAGACCGCGTCTCAGTTGCTAAAATAGGTAACAGTTATTGGTCGCATTTGCATGTTGATTTTTGATGTTGTTTCATAATAAAAATAACCGGAAAATGATTTATTACAGCGACATTGGAATATGGCGCACTTTTTTTAGTCCAACTACGATGCTATAAAATTGACTGCTATTTCATAAGTATCATTTCTCGACGTGCGTTCTTCATGATAACCGACATGACTGTGCTTCCCGCACTGCGTAATTTTGAACTGAGCAATTTTGTAAAACGCTATTTTTAATCCCGTTTTATGGAGTTTATAGTCTAAACATTCGCAGAAGCTCAAATCACAAATACCTCGAATTTAAAAATGAACTTAAAAAAAAAAAAGTTATTCTGCTCAATACAGTAGAAACTTCAGAAACATAAAAATATAACATAAATAAACATAAAAATGTTTACCTTGTAACTCTAAGGCTGGCGATAATATCCTAACGCCAATAAATTAACTAAAAGCTATTTTCCACACCCACATCATGATCAATAACATATCACCGTTCATGTTATTGTTTGCTTGGGGCGTTAACGAACATTTTCTTGGGACGTGTATTTAATTTAGGTGATGATTAAATCATCTGTTTTTACATAAAGTTATTTTATAACGATATTCCAAAAAGTTTATAATTCTTTGTAGGAATAATAGAACATAATATTTTAAATTCATAATCCTATTGTATATATTTTTAAAAGATGAAGCAATATTTAATCAGATTTTCTTAGCTAGGTTTTACGGTTGTTTTAGAACGAATGTAAGCGTATTTTCCAATTCCAAGAAAACAAGCAAACACGAGTAAGCCTCGGTGCCAGATATTTCTGCAAGTTGTGTCGGTACCCGGTGGCAAGATTATAAGATATTTGCAAAGGCATCTCCTTCGTTTATAATTCTTCGTTGGAATAATAGAACATAATATTTTAATAAATTCATAATCCTAATGTATATATTTTAAATGATGAAGCAATATTAAATCAAAATTCCTTGGCTAGGTTTTACGGTTGTTTTACGACGGATGTAAGCGTATTTTCTAATTCCAAGAAAACACGAGTAAGCCTCGGTGCCAGGTATTTCTGCAAGTTGTGTCGGTACCCGGTGGCAAGATTATAAGATTATGAAATATTTGCAAAGACACTTCCTTCGTTAAAGAGATACGAAATGAAAAAGAAAAGATGTAGTGAGAAAAAACATTGATCAGTGATAAATAATGATTAAATGCTTTTATACAATAATTTTTTGTTTTGTTTTATATCGTGCAGTTTACCTATTCTTGAAATCGTGCAGTTCATCTATTCTTGTCACAAATGTAGCAGAAATTAATATCGTGCACAATGGTCATGATCCCAGATGCCGACAACCGTGAACCTCCCAATTTTGATTTAGCCTTTAGAGTACCATCGCAGCTCTAAGCTAAGACAGACCCATGACCGCGGTTCTGGTGCTCACACACTAAAACATCTGTCTGATTTTTAAACAACAACCCACAGTTTTGTGCATTTATCGATACAATTTTTTGAAAATACATCACAAGTCGCAAACATTCAGTTCTTTAGATTTGGTGATTTTGGAAAAATTAATAATTCTGAACAGAACATCTAGTCAAATACATATCAGATATTACGATTTTAATATGATTTTTTGTGAGGATCAGGTAAATGTATAAACCGTCTTCTATTCTTGCATAAACTTTAAGATTCTTTCTCCTTCGCTTTTTCCTGTCGAGAATGCTCCATCTACCGTGCTGTATCTATTTACACTCAACGCTTCTCCTGCAAAAAATACTCTTGGCGTTTCGTCAACGTATAAAGGTTCTCGTACTTTTTTCTGGTGGCTTGACATTTGTCCAATTGTCGGATAACTGTAAGTGCCAAGAAAATTTTTATCCCGTTGCCATTCGGTGGTTATGATATCATCAGGTCCTGATAGTTTTGGATTGTTCAGGAATCGTCGTAACAAATTTGTAACAGTCAATTTGAGTTGACTTTCAGGTATATTACGTATACGATTTGAGGTCATTTTAGTAATCCAAAGCATAAGAAAATTTGTTTTGTAGCTTGTGATTTTATATACGCCACGACACCAATGATTTTTGATAGAAAACTCGTCTTCAGGTATTGTGTCAGTTAATTCATCGTACGAATCCCATAAAAGATACCTTTCAGAAAATTTTTCGGGGCCCCAGAATGGTTCTTCGTAAAAGAGAAACATTTTGTTGATTGCGCCAAAACCGATCTTCTTTAATGCGGCTTGTTTATTCTCTGGCAAAGTTGGATCAAAGAGAGTTTTGTGATATTTTTTGAGACAGCCGACTGAAACCGTCACAAGTACCATATCAGCGTGAATTACTTCAGTCTTGTTAAATTGATTTACATACGTTATCGCGACTCTATTTTCGTTTTCCTTATTCCACTGTATACTTTGAACTTTGCTATTTAACTTGATTGCACTTTTTGGAATATTTTCACTCAATTTTGTTGGCAAACTCATGTATCCATCCAAAACTTTTACATCGTTGTCGCCATACTCTTCATATTGGTACCACGCTAGACAATTAACAATATTTGGATGTCCTCCGTCAGTGATCTCAAGTAATCCAAATTTGTTCATGAGAACTGGGTTGATCTCTTCTCTAGTGAGACCAAGTTTGTTGTAGTGTTTGAAAAACTTTTTTCTCCACATTTTTCTTGCCAAGTTTCCTAGTGGTAGATTGGCCACTTCCTCCTCACTTTTACCCACTGATTCAATGAGTCTTTCAATTTCTAGCCCGATATAGTCCACAAGTCCTATAAATACATTATAATAAAAATAAAAATCCAAAAAATAATATAATTAATTCGACAAGACATGTATATTGCCTTTCCGTTAATTTCAACATATTGGCGAAATACATGCGGCACATAAATAACAACATTGTTCTTTCTACAGGCTTGTTGGAAACTCTTCACTATTTTATATTTTAATTTAAAATTAGTTCATTCACATAATAAGAAGCTCTCACTCGATACATAGTCATCCTGTTAATTATTGTCCAATCTTCTTTTTATTCGCGAAATATTCTATTGGCGACAGAACTATGGCTCAAACTTAAGTTATGTATTGCTTATAATTAGGTCATATATGACAAAACACCAGTTAAAAGTTTTACCTGAAGAATTCCAAAACAGATCTGTTATAGCTGGAGTCAAAGGTCTTCCACTGTAGTACTGAAATTTGGAGTCTTTTGCCGGAGAGTAGCGACCCCATCTCTCTACTTCAAGATTTGTATCTTCATGTAGGTACTGTGACAAAAATGTCATAAACTATTAAAAATTGATATAGGTTGAAAAATCGCAAACTTTTCATAAATATACATTATACACTATGTATTTAGACGGATATGTCAGTAGATAGTAGTTGACACAAAACGCGGGGCAGTTTATGGCTATCAGGCCAGAGAAACAGTTGGGAGAAAATTGGAAATGGATTAGAAATAGCACCCATACATACAGAAAAGCGACCTCGACCCATTACGTGGAAAGGAGCGTAATCGAGAAAACTAGTACAGTCGTTGTTTTTCAATATTGCACTCAATGTGATCTTAAACATTCGTTCTGGTACTCACCTCATAAACAGGATTTCCCTCCGCGCCATGAATCCACTGAGCTCCACGTTCATACATATGACCTTTAAACTCTGTTGTAAATATTCGTCCTCCAATACGGTCAGTTGCCTCGAGAATAGTAACATCCGATTGACCATTTTCGAATAACACTCGAGCAGCAGATAAACCACTCACACCTGCCCCGATGATCACAACTTTCTTGCAGTTACCATTTTGTGAAAGACTCAGTGTGAGCAAAAACAAAAACGTATAGGTGGTCGCTTTTCCGCTCATTGTGTATTTGAATAAACCTGGGAAGTGAATCAAAAATGAAAATTATATTAGCTATCTTTTAATCACAGTTGAAAACTTTAAGGTAAACCATCCAATTTACAGCATGTTGCCACACAAGTCGAGAGCTGAAAAGCAAGCTAAAACTTACATCCTAATGGTGTGAAAATCTGATGCAAGCAATCATTAAAGATATATTTTAAATTTAGATACAAGAAAAGTGCAAAAACAAATTCAGATGCACAGTTTATAGCCAAACTACGATGCTCTAAAATTGACTATTATTTCATTAGTTTCATTTTAAATCATAATTTCTCGCCATGCGTTGTATCAGTGCGATTGTTTCTAAAATGCGTTGGAAAAGATTTTGTGAATATACTCAATTGTTAACAAAAACCTAATATTCCCGAAATATTCCTTTAAAATTTTCACGTGTAAAAATGTTTTTGTCACATACTCGATAGCACAGAATTTAATATATTTTTACGTTTAGGATAAAATTGCATCTCTATAATAAACCAAGACTATATTTTCTCAACTCTTTGCAATACTATTCTGTTGAGTCAAACTTCACACACTGAGTCACACACTGAGAATGCTCGCAGAACCAAAATGCCCAAGCTTTAAAATTGTCCACACATGATTATATATATTTTAAATGCCTACGTCCATGTTGATATTTGCTTGGGGCGTTCACAATTTTTTCTTGTAATATGTAGTACGTGGAGTATTGAACAATTATGACAACACGTACTTAATTTCGATAATTAAATTAGCAGTTCGGCTAAATGATATTATAAAAAGTGCGACGAGAATAATTCCTTGCCGAACGGCATATTTGAATTCCTAATTCTTTATTATAATTTTTGAATGAGGACGCAACATTAAATCAAATAGCTCTGTTGTACAGTCGTTTTATAACTGATTTTCCGATTTAACGACCAAAATATATTACTTTACAGTATTATAATACAACTCTTTCTATTTTATTGTTCAGATCATTTGCAAAGTTTGATCATAAGAAACAGCTCATAATATTTCTCATCCCGGATCATATCCGACTCAGAACTTGATGATATTCGTGATTCTGTATATCTGGCTAACGCATATGCATGTACGATCTCTATTGTAGTTTAATCGTTCTTTCCTGTTGGCTACAATAGGAATTTCACTCCAATTTAGTTAAGACATCAAAATCAACATCATTATCCGTGAAAATGAATAGAAATTAATTGGGTTTAAATGATACTATGCTGTGGGTTGTGAGAACGAGAATATAAAACCCTATTGGATCCGGAGGATAATGTTTCATTTACAACACAGTCGACATTAATATGATGGATGAGGTTGCTTTTTAATCGCACAATTCATCAATTTTCGAAACAATTTGTGATAAACAAACACGCAGGTCCGACTCATCGGCAAGTCTTGAAATTGTGTTGTTTTACAACGGAATTTATTTAAGTTTCGCTGCACAATCACCTTAAAAAACGGTGCTCCTGAAGTTTGTGTACCAAGATGGTGGACACTGAAACGTAGTAGGTGTACCAGGTTAGGCCATCATTTCAGGTACAAATATATACTACAGGAGTCACTTGGATAATCCCCAAACTCTTAATAGAACTAAAATAGGGAAAGTTGGAAATAAAATTATGGGCTAACCTTAACCAGGTACACCTACTACGTCCGGTGTCCGCCATCTTGGTTCACATATTCCGGGAGCACCGTTTAAAGATAGACAATTTACCAGTAAATCGTTCCGGTACATCAAAAGTCATAACCGACCAGTCATGTCAAACAACTCAGAACGGCGGTTTTGTTGCTTATAAATTTGATAGGCCTACCCTAGAAGATAATTTATTGTATACAAATTAGAATAATTATCCTATTTTATACAGCGATACGACTTGCAACTAAAAAGTGACGTATCAACTAAAGAGGTCAACTCAGTGCATAAAACAACTAGATTATCATTCACTGAAACCTTTATTGTTTTATTAGACTCTGACAATGACACCCATAAAAATAAGCTAGCCTCCAAAATCAAGTCAGTCTTTTTATGTAAAAAAATTCTTTTATATGTTTTGTTCGCGTTATTACAATAAGCCTAAGGTGTGTATGTAACAATTCTCAATAGAAAATTCATATCTTGCATTATTATTAGTTGATTGTTTGAGATTCGGCCTATTTGTAAAATAGTTTGCTTGAATAACCTATGATCATGAACTGTTGACATACATTTGATTATAATAGTTTCCTCAGAATTCGACGTAGCAAAACAGTTGTATCATAAATCCTAACTGCAGAAATGCGGTATTTTGAACTTTCAGATTCTAGCATTTGATTGTTATTCATAAGCAGTTTCTATGTTTATTTCGACCAAAGGACCGATTGCCTTCCTCAAGTAGTGCAGATCTTTTATCAATTGCGGAAGTTGTTCGAGATCGCTGATGTTTTGATAAAGCAGTGTATGTGACCTTCAAGTGAAATGTTCGTACGCGAAACGAATTTATGTCATTTTAATTGCAGGTAGGAGTTGTATTGAAAATTGTAAAAAAGACTTCTTGCTTTTACACTTCCATGCATAATAGTTTTACTCTTGATTTACATATATATATATATATATATATGAATTTCATTCAACTGCACACCACAGCTCAATGCATCAAATGAATCTCAAGAATGTTCATTCATAAAATGCGATATATTTATTCATATATATATATTAATATTTACAAAAACATTTTCTGGGAACATGGAACGAGACGAGACTCTCTAAAGTAGCTGTAACGACCAGTTTTAGCAAAGTCGCATGAACACCAATCCAAATATGACAGCAAACTCCGGGCAAATCTTATCTGCGATTTTTACATGTGAACACGCACCCACGGAGCAAATATCGGCCAGCATGAAAAATAGATCCAACTTTCATTGACCTTTTGAGCCACAGTCGATATATTCACTCACACCAAGTAAAACACGAAGAAAGATGAGACAAGCCTTACAAAATTGAGATGCTTTAGAAATAGATGATCCGTCACGAGTCAGTCTTGTTGCGGTTTGAAGATATAGGTAATTTACCAGTAAATCGATCCGATACATCAAAAGTCATAACCGACCAACTACATCAAACAACTCAAGACGGCGGTATTGTTGCCTAAAAATCAATAACAAAAAGTAACAATTTTTTGTGCTTACAATTACAGTAGAAACTCTACCTACAAAATCAATTAGTTCGGGAATCTTCTTCGCATGTAGAAAATAGTGGGATTTTACCTGTAAATGCCCAAATCCGTTCTGAGCCCACACAAAACTCGGACATAATATTAGTGTAAATTATAATAATGTTTGAAATTCGTAACAAATACATGTTTAAATTAGATCACTACATAATAAATAGAAAAAGTACACAAGGAAAGAAGAAAAAGCAGATAAATACCGATTAAAAACTACGAACGGTATGTTTGTTGGACACGGAAGTGGACATAACGATCGTTTCAATATTATTGGAGACGGGTAGTGGACATAACGATCGTTTTCATATTTTTGATAATCTTGTTGTTCTTCTTCTTTTTTGTGTTGTTCAGCAAAAATCGCTTTTCTCCTTAATTACTGGACCAACTGCTTTAAAATTGTTAGTGCTTGAAGATGAAGTTTTGCTCTAAAAGGCTATTACTTTTATTTATTTCTAAATACCATACGAAATTTATGAAATGTGGTATTTCATCAAACTTTTTGCTGTATTATTTTTATTCACGGGAACACGGATATTAGTCCGTGTGATGACTGGTTGTCCGTTTTGATTCTGCAAATTCTTGCTAGGCCACTGGTTCTCAACTCAAATCAATTTTGAGAACGATCGGGCACGGAGAAGTTACAGCCTTTAAGTGGCCCGGAATAGGCAACCTGTCAATCAAGCCATCGACCAAGTCACGCTAAGTGATTTTGGCGTTTACAGGCAAGTAAATTCCGTCTCGGGGCGGGAAAGCGTTTGCACGAGTATTGGGAATTTTTCAAGTGGCTCAGAGGTGAGAAAGCGTGTGGAAAGCCACGCCCACTTTTTACCTGAACCTAAACAGTCGCTTTTCTCTTTCATTACTGGACCAATTGCTCTGAAATTTTCAGTGCTTTCTTTAGACGGCTATTACTTTCATTTACCTCAAACGTGTCCATATATTCTAGCATAGCTCTCTTGTTTACCTTTGGCGTTGGCCGACTGGGCTAAGCTGAACGAAGACGGAGGACAGTGGGAGGAAGCGGCAAAACTAAAGTTGACAGATGAGGAAGAATGCACGAAAATGAGAACAAACAAAAAAAATTCAAAATTTTCAATTTTTTTTTTATCCTATTTTCTTGTGTCTTAGCTGTTACACGCGCATCATCGTCTTCCTATTGAAGTTAGCTGGCAAACGCTGTCTTCGATTACGATAAAAAATGAAATAATTTTAAAATGTTTCAAATCAAAACTTGGACGGCGGCGCTAGGATATGTGTGCCATATTTGGTACCCAGAACATTTGGTAGGTAGAGTATCTGAAGGCGTCTCGCGGATTTACTCAGTTACTTGTAATAAAGCCCTCCTGTAGTAAAGGTTGCACACCCCTGGCCCAGAAGTTAATTTATTGTATACAAAGAAGAATAATTATCCCATTTTATACAACGATACGACTTGCGACTACAGAGTGGCGTATCACCTGAAAAAGGTCAATTTAGTGTGTAAAACAAGCTAGAAAACCATTCACTGGGAACCTTTATTGTAAGCAGTTTCTATGATCCATGTCGTTTGCAACCTAATCTAAGTATATAAGCAAGCTCTCCAGCAACATAGATACCGCCGATTCATAAAGTTTAGCTGTGTGTTGTGAAAATCATCAAACCGATTTTTCGTTGAGTATTTCCAATATTCTTTCTCCTTCATTTTTTCCCGATGAAAAGGCTCCGTCAACAGTGCTATATCTTGATAGGCTCAAAGCTTCTCCGGCAAAAAATACCCTCGCTGTTCCGTTTACAAAAAGTGGTTGTGCGACTATTTCTTTGTCCTGTTCCTTTTGGCCAATTGCAGGATAACTGTATGAACCCAAAAAATTGTCATCCAAGTCCCATTCCGTAAAAATGATGTGATCAGGACTCGGTATATTTGGATCGTTTAGGAACTTCCGCAAGAAATTTGTAGTAGTTAATTTGAGATCTATTTCAGGAAGTTTACGAATTATACTTGATGTATATTTAGTTAGCCAAATCATAAGAAAATTTTCACCATAATTTGTAATTGTATGCACGTTACGACACCAATGATTTTCATCAAAAAACTCATCTTTGAGAATTTCATTTGTAAATTCTTCATGCGAATCCCATAAAATATATCTTTGAGCAAATTTTTCAGAATTCCAAAATGGATTATCATAAAATAAAAACATTTTATTTATCGTTCCGAAACCAATTCTTTGAATTGCTGTCTTCTTATCGTCAGGTAATTCCGGTTCAAAAAGATTTCTGTGATATTTTTTCAAACATCCCATAGAAATTGTCACTAGCACGAAATCAGCGTTTATTATTTGAGTTTTATTACTCTTATTCAAATATTTTACTACAACTTCACTTCCATTTTCTATAACCCATTGTATATTTTCCACTCTACTGTTGAGTTGAATTGCACCATAGGGAATAGTTTTGCTTAATTTTATTGGTAAACTCTGATACCCATCTAGAATCTTGATGTCGTCACCATATTCAATAAATTCATTCCATAACAGACTATTCACCAAGTCAGGGTGGGCGCCATCCAAAACCTCCATGTTTGCAAATTTGTTCACAAGAATTGGCTCAGTCAGTGATTCATCTAAACCAAGTTCTCTAACTTGTCGTAACTTTTGTCTCCATATGTTTCTTGTTAGGTCGCCAAGTGAAGTATTGACAAGTTCGTCATCACTCACGGTTTCTAGCTTCTCGTCAATTAAATCCATTAGATCTGTAAATTAGTTGCAACGAAAATGCAATTTTTTGATCATGAAATAGTTTAATAGAAGAATATTGTTATTTGTATATTAAGTCACTATAATTTGAGGAAATATTGGAAATACCAATCATATTGACTTAATTTATCCTTTTACTAATTTGGCCTACACTGTATAACAAAATAGTGTTCCGTTTCTGTCAAATGTGTAGACAATAGACTTCTTACCCGAGGAATTCCACAAAAACTGTTTTATTGCTGGGGTCAAAGGTCTTCCACTGTAGTATTTATACTCTGGATATACAGCCCAACTGTCTACTTCCAGGTTTGTGTCCTCAGATAAATACTTTAAAATAGAGTGTAAAAAAAGGTAAAGTAAAGATAATAAAACTCTACCTAATAATTTTATTATACTGAAATGCTATCAATAAGTCAGATATAATAGTTTGTAAGTAAATATATATACTTTTTTAATATTTACATATATTTCAATGTAACCTTAATAAGAATTCATTCATAAACACGATTTTATAATTATGCCTGACAGGTCTCTGGTGTACTTAAATGTGCAAAAACACTTTAACTTACATCGTAAACGACATTTCCATCATTTCCGTGTATCCACTGAGCGCCACGTTCAAACATATGACCTTGGAATTCTGTTGTAAATATTCGGCCTCCAATACGGTCAGTTGCCTCAAGAATTGTCACATCCGAATGGCCGTTCTCAAATAACACTCGTGCGGCAGATAAACCACTGACCCCTGCTCCGATGATGACTACTTTCTTGCAATTGATAATTTGCAAAAGATACAGTCCAAGCAAAAACAAAAACACGCCTTTGACATTTGATGTCCTATACATTCTACGTTGTTATGAGACTAAACAAAACAAATTCAAGATCATCAGTGTTGTCCCGGTTTAGAATAGAAGGAATTCAAAACAAAAAATAGTAAATAAACTTAAAATAAATTTCAAAAATTATTTAAATCTTTCTCGTGAATGTTTCTTTAAAAACTATTTAGCTTTCCCAAATAATTCCAAGTAAATAAAATCAATAAAAATAAGTAGTATTCTAATTTAAACTGCAACAAACAAATAATCAAGTACCCATAGAACATGTGTAAGAACAATATACTGTAGCTTTATTCCTTAATTATGGAAGATAATCCATAGCGTGAAGAAAAACAAATAAATCGCCCGTAAATTCTACTTGGCTATGGAGGCTTGTTCAAATTTATTTGGATATGGTAATATGATAGCAAATAGAATTAACTGTCTCCTTGCCTGCTGTTTATTTCAGATATATATGTACTAAGCATTCTCTATTGGCAATCTTCAGGCCATATTCATCGTGCTCTTAGTCTTACTTAAATTATATTTGCTCTGCATTGTAAGTTTCGCAGTTGATCTGCACTCCAGAATTTACGACTTTTTAACAAGATTTCCATGCCTTCGACCAAATGACCAATCGCTCCTTTCCGACGGTTTTATTCCTTCCTCAAGTAATACAGATCTTTTCAAAATGCCGGAAGTTGTTTGAGATCGCTGATGTTTTGATAAAGCAATATAAGTAATCTTTAGCCTTGCGTACCTGCGTACGCGAAACAAATTTATGTAATTATATTTTTAGGTATGAGTTATATTGAAAATTGTAAAAAATGCCTACTCTTCACACTTTCATGCATAATAGTTTTACTGTTGATTTACATATTATATTAATTTCATTCAACTGCACATCACAATGCTCAGCTCAATGCATCAATGAAATCTCAAGAATATTCATTTATAAAATGCGATACAATTGTGTATATATGTATATTTGGAAAAATATTTGCTGGGAACTACTACTTCTCAGAGTAGAGAAGTTACAGGGGAATATATATATTCAGTTTTAGATGGTGAAAGTAGCTATAATCACCATTTTCATGGTCTCAGGAACACCATTCCAAATATGACAGCAAACTCCGGGCAAGTCTTATCTGCGACTTTTACCTGTTAAATATGTCGTGAACGAATCATCTAAATCAGGGGTGGCCAACCTGTTTTCGACCGACTAAAATCTTGAAAAAGGCTCGCGATCGACTGATCCGTAATAAGACCATACACAAAAACGAATAAGTACTGAATATTCACACAAATATATTAAAAATTTCACTGCTTCTAATAAGCTAGGCTTGGTCGGCGCTTTCTTCAAGGAAATCGACACAAAATGTGTATTTTTATGTTCTATTTTAGTTGTTAATTTGATTGTACCAGGGTAAATGTTTCATCATTTATTTAGATTTATTCAAAGCATATACAATTCAAATATAAGGCCTGCCTAATTTATAGTCGTAAGTGTTGAAAATTCCTCAATAAACTTTGCCAAGTATTCATGTATTATCTAAATAGCGAAATATAAATATTCTCAAACTATGAATGTTACGTGACTGCTCAAACTTCAGTATTCAACTTACAATTTCCTCCAAGTGCGATTCTTCGCTCTCGTGGAATCAGAAAAAAAAATGTGCATTCTGATCCCAATGGCACCATTGCGAATACAATTGATCACACTACTCCTGGGGTGAGACGATAATTTTTGCATACTGCAGAAGTTATAGTAGGATCGCTCGTCAGTCAACCCACACGATAATCTGCAATTCATTTTAAACCTTGGCAGCGGCAAACTTGCTGATCTAAATCCTCTCAATTTTGTTAGACTTGTCTCGTGTTTTACTTGGTGCGAGTGAATATATTGCATGTGGCTCAAAAGGTAAATGAAAGTTGGATCCATATTTCATACCGGTCGATATTTGTCCCGTGAGTGCGCGTTGATAAATTTAACCATTGTTCGGCACCACTTTTTTTTCAAGTACACGAGAAAGTCCTGCCAGAGATCGTCCCATGACTCTCAATATAAAACCCCAAGCTAATCCAACAGTGTTGCTTTACGTCAGGACAAGAGTAAAGAGTTGTGTCGTAGGAATTCTTCATCTATGCTGTTGCACTTAGTGGATCTGTCCTATGCTATAGCAAGAAGAATGATGACTATTCTATGTCTTTAGGCACGTTTCACACGAATGCATTAATGTAACGTTCCATCTAACTCGGGCATAAATTGCAAAATGTTCGGCTGAATGGTCATGAATAAATATAAGAAACAATGTAGAATCCAAAATGAGACCCTGAAGAACTCCAGAAAAAAATTGGGTATGTCTGGCCACTGGCTTTTGCGAAAGAATGTTACTTTTTGAGAATGCATCCCGCCTTAACAGTGAGAAGATATTTTTCGTTTCGCTATACCGTCGTAGCACATTCCCAAGAACACCATGTTGCAGAATACGATTTCAGCTGGCGCCGTCGATGAGGAATGAACTCATTAATCTCAATATTACAAATTCGCACATTTTCCCCGTGGAATGGGACTTGAGGCCATTTGATATTAGTGACTTGTTCACTGAAGATACGAGAAGAAATAAGAACCACCAACTTCAATGCAGAGAGTAATATACACACCTTGGACGATAGTTAGTAGTCGCTACTACTTATAATTTTATGTGGTCATCTCAAACTTTGTAATCTGCTAGCCCAACGGCAAAACCCCATATATATCTCCCTATTTTATGCTTTATTTCAATTCATGAAAACACCTTCTATGAAGTGTTAAAACCCTTTAATCCGTTACACCTGTCTTCCTCCGTTACGCTTGTCGGTTGATCTCTTGAGCAACACGGTGCTCAACTAATTCCCTTACGTACCGTTGCGCAACTTTCCTGTCCGTATATTTGAGTATAACTCTGTTGTTAATCTACAATCTACATGATTGTTAACCCTTTTTTTCCGCTGTATACAATCGACTTTATGTACCATTTTATAATATGCAATGACCAGTTAACCAAACGTACAAGGAACACCCCCAATATCTCTTTAAAAAGCTTATTTTCGCGTCTTCCTACTAAAACGCGCCCAAATGACGTAGGCGAAACTGTTCGATCCTACGCGTGTAAGAAGAGAGAAATTTCAAAAAATTTTGAGAGAACGTTTCACACTCTTATCGCTTCGATGAACACGTGTTACAAAGAAACGAAATTCCAAGCGCTCTTCTGAAAGAGGGTTACGTCACCTTTGCAGAAAAACCAGACTCAGCTTCGCAAGCGAAGCGAAACGCGAAATAATCAATGATATGTGAGAGCATGTCCACGATAGTTGTCTGGAATCTTTGTTTGTTTATTATGTGCGCGAAATTGTTTCCCGCTCGTTCAAATGACTTATTTTTGAAGTAATGACAAATACTTTCGTGTATCTCTAAGCTTTGAAATGCCTACACAAATAAAATTCACTTAGTAGTAAAATAAAAAATTTACAAAAAAACAAAATGTTGACAGATCAAGCACGGATCATAGTTGGATGCTCAAAATGATTTAGTTAGTGCGGAATACTTCACAAAACATGAACATAAACGTAAAATAGTCCGAAAATAACTATTATGACCAAGGATGGTAATACGAATATATAAGTTATACGGAACAAAAGAGTTAATGTATCACTGCTGAAAATTTCTGATTTTTAAATCTTGTAATTCGCCCTTTCGGTATTTCATGAGAAGTTAGATAACTCCAAAAATAAGACATGAGATGGTTTTTACTCCAAAACATCCGGATGGCCATATCCGGATCTATAAGCATTCGGTAGAGCTTGCGGCTAGATTGAATGTTAGAAAGATTGAATGTTCATTGATATTTCATATTAAAGGACGTAACTGCGAGTAAGGCCTACTTGACATCATTTTCATCCGGTCACTAATCCCTAAGGGATTTCCCGAACGATATGTCAACATCGGACTAAAATACAATGCTTTGCAGAAGAAACTATTAATGACAACAATTAATATACTATCATTGCAGGAAACCTTTGGTGGAATCTGTAATTTTGTAAGGTTTAACTCACTTTTCGGGTGTTTGATACAGGTTTATACACCAGAGCATTAATCTGTGCTGTGCATCAGAGGTTAGTGGTCTGGTTTTATGCAAGTTAGGGAAGTGTGCAACGCCACAAGGTGCGCAATATTTGACGCTGTCACAGCACACAAATAAACAAGCTATCGAATTAAAATTACAAACTACCGTATTTGCTCGTTTGATAGCCCGGGCGCTTATTTTTTTAAACATACTCACTAACCGGGCCCTTATTCAAGCAGGGGCGCTTGTTATTTTTAAAGTAAAATTACACACAAAAATACCGGTAGATAAGATCGATCGTTACAATAATTATTACCGTATATTGTCATTTCCAGTTCTCAAGTATGATTTAAACGAGAATAGTGAAAATTTTGACTTTTTCTACGCACCACAGGTACAAATCCGCAAAAAAAAAAAAACTTTTACACCGGGCGGGTATTCAAGCACCGGCCCTTATTTATTTTTATGTCCTGTTCACACGGGCGGCTATTCAAACGGGCCCTTAATCAAGACCGGGCGTTAAAACGAGCATTTACGGTAATTAGTCCAGTAATTAAAGAGAAAGGCGATTTTCCATAATAATAAGAAGAAAAATACATAATCACTATAATTTCCATAATAATTCAAGAACAACATTAACATAATAACAAAATGATCTACAGTGCATCTCGAATCCAAAAAACATCGTGACCCCGTCCTCAATACAATAAAGCAAGTCTATGATCCAAGAAAAGAGCTGGCTGCAAGATGTCGTTTTGCCATTTCATGTTTTGAAGCGATTTCGTCAATAAACATGCAGACATACATCTGAGTGGCGAAATCTAAAATACGTTTTCGATGGCATCAACCTAATCATACTCGTTGATGTATATAATAATTCGTTCTAGATATTTGAAGCTTTGTGTGTTTACTCAACACAGATATCGTGGCTGGATTCAAGACTATGATGAGTAATTTGTTTTTTCATTTTTATTGATCTTCAAGCCTACATAGCCCGAGTAGCTGCTGCATATCACGATTGCACTAGTAAAGTGACTGTTGTTTTCATGTCGAAACAACCAATTGGTTGTTATTCCAATGCAATATAGCCTGCTTATATATTCAACATGTATTAAAAGTATTTCGTCGGACTACAATTGCCTGTGCATATACTTCACGGGTAAAGGTATACATATTTTAAAAATGAGACAGCAATAAAAGTTTGATTATTTGAAAATATGAGAAGTTTGGATGTTTTAACAGTGTTTCCATATAGTGATCGACAAATGGCATCCACCTCCAAATTAGTATTTACGTAAACAAGATGCTACAGATTATACATTTTCAGTCTATGATATAAATTGATTAACCATAATGTAGAACCGTGGTTCACTAATCTGCGATGTCTCCATTTGCTCCGTATCGAACCACTTGAGATTCTTATAAATTGTGTGTGGAGTCGCTTTAAGTTGTAGCAAAAATAAATTTGCCGAAGCCGCCTGTGATAAAAGTAGTACATTGATGGATAAATAAACAAACATGACACAATCTAGCTGTCACTCAAGTTGCATTTTGCAATCAATGCAAGGTAAATCATATCAATCGATCATGCCTTGAAATATGAGCACACCCTGGCCAGTGCGAACGACATAATGTTTTAGCTTCTCCGTGCTGTTTATGGCGATACATCTTTCGAAGTAATTATTCAGATTAATCGCTGCAAATTGTATCAAAACAGATTTGTTTTTTACTTGAGATTAATTTGGACGAGAGGTAACAGCTTTTAACAGGGTAGTATTCTCTGCTGTCAAACGGGTTAGTCTGTACGCATGTGTGTGTGGATTTAATGGGGCGAAGAGGTATATTCAAACGTAAATTTACATAATAAATTGTTTATCAGTCGGTATTTTAACAGCCTGATATAATAGATTGATTGTCCAACTCGGTTGAGATTAATAATACAATTAGCAGAATTTCATATTCTCATTTGCAACTGATAATGTCAACATTCGGGGTGAAATGCTTTGTCTTATTGGCACTTTATCATACTTCGGTAATATCGGGTGAAAAATGTTTTCTACCACATGGTCAGCCAAACTTGGACTTCAAAAAGGTAAGTATATCTGATCTGTACAAAATTACAGAAAAATATATAATACTTATAGCATATATATCGCAGTAGTTGTATCAGTACTAGTTACCGTGTTGAGCAATTGGGGCACTTCTTTATTCTTTACCGTAATAACAATTAGGATATGTTGGATTTTGACTTGAGAATATCTTAATATGATGGATCTGTCACATTCTGGTTTGGTGATAAAGTTACCAACATGTTTAAAATTATTACCCTGCATTAATTTTGATCATTAAGTTACCTCATCATGTTTTTTTTAAATCTTGTATATATAGGAATACTTTAGAATAAGAAAGATATTTTGAATATATTTATTGTTGTAGATATCAGAAACATCTTGGTTCGTCGGTCTCCAGACACATGACGCGTTGGCTACCAAAGTTCAGTGCGTCAAACTTGATAACTTTACAACAACAATCACTGGATTCAAGTTCATTGCCGAAGAATATGGCGACGGGTGATAATCCAATTTTTAGACACGTCATACACCATCCTTTGAATAGTACAGATAAATCTAGACTCATCGATATTGATTTTGCTAGGAATTGATGTGATTAAATGTGTTGTGACAATTATTACATTGCATTACATTGTTAAGATTGACATTTAGCTATAAGACGATTGATTTATACTAAATAAAAACTAGCCATAAAGAACATTATTTGTCTGACCGAACCAATTTACAGTGGTAATCTTTGATATATATTATTCTTTCTTTACATTTATTCAATGTATACGCAATGTATGACCTCGATATTTTGTTTTTAAAATACCTTCTATTCCGTCACGGTTGCAAATTTTTGATCTTCCAATTTTTTAATAGGCCCGTGGATGTGAAATATTCAGTGAATTTTGTTCGTCGTGGAGCGAATGGACTATACAGTTTTGATAAGCAAAAAGACGGTGAGTATTTATAAAAATCATAAACAAAGTCAGTTTTATAAGTTATTTATGTATTTTTTTTTTCAGAAATTTCGTTGATATCTTCTCATCGGCTTATATTTCAAAACGATTACACAAAAGAAGTTCACGACACAGGTGAGTTTTGTTCGGTATAAATAATAAATATTACGCTAACCACAGTGGTACATTTTTTTTCAAACCTCAATCATGATTGCCCAATAGGAGCTTGTGTAACGACTCCGTTTTAAGAATGTCAGAGCAAAAGCGTCGAAAACCAGAGCCTCTTATGAAGTGCAAGACACAGAATCAAGCATTTTGTACAACATAAATTTATATATTGTCCTACCAGTTTATATTACTATTTATCTGCCGGTTAATTTTATCATAGATAATGATGAACTTACCGGGAACGGTGTTGTATTCTGGACTGATTACAAGAATTACTTTGCACTGATTGAATGCCGTAATAACGGTAAGGTTATTCGAAAAAATCTGTTATAAATTAGCAAAAGTATTTTTTCCAGGAATTGCAGATTGTATTTTTGGATCCCAAAACGACACTTTCATAAATGCAGCGCTACCGTCGGATCATCGGAGATCTTTCAAATATTTTCCACTGCCTGAGTATCTTCGCTACCCCTACCTGTAGTCCGCGGGGAATACCCTAGTTGGCCATGTGGTAGTTTGCGTGGATTTTTAAAATAATATCTAGTGGGCGATGTTGCTTTCGACAACGACAGTTCCCCAAAAAATCAATTCTCGATTTGATCACTTAGATGTTAGAACTTGGCCTCCTGATATCGAGCTTTGGTTTCATGCGAATTCTTTTCCCTAGTAAAATTGTTTGCTCATATTTTTCCTGTTATTTTGTATACTACCGTCTTTATACAGATTGGAAAAAAAATAAAATATACTATGATCATGGTTCCAATTTCAATAGTCTCAATAAACCTAATCGATCTATTTTCACAAGTTTTTCACAACAGACTTTTTTATTGAAAGTCTAATTATAACTTTAATCTTCCAGGTGAATGGATCCTATGGGTTTATTTCCCAAGTATAACACCGTCTGTGACAAACCTTGTTGCCTTGTACAATAAATTACACGAAATTGGAGTGTCAACCACCTTTCACCTTTCTCGTTGTTCGGAACATGTTGATTTAATAGATCTAGAAAACCATATATTTTAACTCATTTATTTATAAACAAAAAAAGGAGAACTCAGTGCGGCATCAAATTTTTGATAACTACATAAATTGTGTTAAAAAATAATCGCATTTATTCGAATGAAATGAATTCTAACAAAAATGTAATTATATATCTGAAGAATATAGTTTTAAAATCATATTCACAATATGCAATAAAAAAAAAATTCTGACGAAGTGCATTTGCCCATATCGCTTAATGCTGAATTTCCCACTAATAATTAAATCTTATTCTGGATTTCAAATTAACGTTAGTTTATCGAAAAGGATAAAATGTTTATTTTCTTTCAATTTGAATCTTATTTATAAATTTTGCTGTTCATTAAAAAACCTACTATTATTCGAAGTCGACTTATTACTTGGAGAAGCAAAAATTTAATCCATGTCTCGGTGGTGCAGTTATTCGAGTCGAATTTGGAAACGAGCTTTAGGAATTTTCTGCGGATCAGACCGGAGCTAAAATAAATTAAGCCTAAACTATCTTTAGTGTCTTGCTCAGAATTAAACATTTTCCTTCAAGATCTTTACTGCATCAAATTCGCCATATGATTGACTAGATCAGGGGAGGGCAACCTTTTTTGGCTCGCGTGCTAAAATCGACTAATTTTAACGACAAAATTCTCCCGCGTGCCGACCAAACATAAAAACAATGCTTTGCTACTTTCAAAGCAAAAATAATCAATAATAAACCTTCTAAACATGTACAGACAGATCAGTATTCGGAAAAATGTCAGTCCGACGAATAGATTTGATTACTTTTTTAGTTCTATATCAGTTAGACCTTTGCTGCAGAATTACTGTGCCGCTGATAGAGATTTTACATTGGGTTTACATTGTGAAACTTTAAAAGAAATACACGAACTACTGGTTGTTAATTGAGAAAAAAGATTTACAAGCATATTGTGTAGATAAAAACATGGAGAGTTACACAGTTTTTAAGACACGACAAATTTACGGGAATGGCATCCCAATCACGCATTAGTTCGTTTTCTGCAATTCCCTCTTGTATCTCCTTCCCTAATCGCTAAGATTTCTTTCGAAATCAATTTATAACAGTAAGTTAGCGAGTAACTATAACCAACATGAGCTTAACAGCTTAAACAAGCAGGAATGAAGAAAAATGGTGGCACAGCCGGCTCATATAAGAATGTAGCCAAATGATTGCTGCGATCTTCTCGACAAAATTTCTCGAGAGCTCACTCATTTTACGTCATAATAGGCCTATAGTTCTTTGTAGCCGTATGTCATGAAAGTACAAAAAGAGTTTAAATAAATAACGAACTGTTAAACGATAATGAATAAGCCAATATCTAGTACCATCAGATAATATAGAGTCTTGAAACTTTTTATCTTAAGGAGAATGATCTCGTCTTCGAGGCCTCGCTCGCTTGCCAAGTTTTTCTCGTGTGTCAAGTTTGGCACGCGTGCCAGGGGTTGCCCACCACTAGACTAGATGAATGACAAATTCAGAAAAGCAACAAAACATTTTCACAAGACTCTAGTAATAAAATTACATTTCATAAAGCTATCGTGATTGTTGAAAGGTGGATTTTCGTTTTTCACGCTTTTCCATTTTGAATCACAATTTACTGAGGATATCAGAATGAACTGGGTGCTCCTGAAAGAACGTTGTGATTTCCTCCGCCGTTTCACTTGGCGTGCATAGGTGCAAATGATGACGTCCTTCGAGGTTTACCATCTTAAACTGTAAATTTTTAAATATTTTTATCTCAAGCTGTGTTACAGGCATGTTGTTCTTAATTGCTTCGATGTCAAGAAAAATTCGCTGACTGAGCCACTTGACATTTAATCAATTAATGGATTGTTTCTTTACAGGCTTGAAATAAAAACGGAACTAAACTATTTATGCACTGCTCAGTTCACCGCACAAATTGATATTTACATAAATATTCGTCCTCGCAAACCCTGAGCATTTATATGATTTTCAGAAGAAAATTTTGGACGACAAGCATTGGTTGCAAACACTTGCAGTGGTGCCACTCTTACATATTAGATAAGAATAATCCTATACAATTCTGATAACAATCATTCACAAACTCCAAACAGACGTATTGATTATCGTACCGATTTGAAGAATTTTTCGAATATGTCCAGAGATCTACTGAATTCTTTTGCGAGCATGTTTTTTACTCCAGCGATCACCCCATTATCAGCTCTGTAAAAATATGCAGTTTTAATTTGACAATTAATTTTGAAATAAATCTGAATGCCTATAACATAGAATAAAAAAGTAGAAATAGAAAAAAAATTCAAAACTTTAATTATCTTATATGGTGATGTTTTGTTCCACTTGTGTTAGTCTTCATCGGATGCCTTTAAACTGGGGAAAGTTTCCATATCAAACTGGACAAAAAATTTTGAAATGTTTTTTGGGGGAAATCAGTCATAAATGAGGCGATTAATAAACGAGCCGCATGCTTCATCGCATGCAGGGATAAACATAATTTCTACTTACTCAATGAAAAGAACATCAGCTCTGACGTTTTCAACCAACTTTAATGATGTTTTCAAAGTTCTTTCGATTGGTAACAAGGTATAATTTCTTACATCTCTTGTGAATGTTCGCTTTCCTGGAGATTGTATACTTAATTGTTTAACTTTACAACAATAATATTATAACAATATATAAATCTAAAATCCTTTTACCATTTTCCAGTTCTTTCGTAGATCTTTCTAGTAAAATTTTTCCCGATTCATCATTCAGATGACTACTGGCACCTAGTAATCTAAACGAACATTATTAGGTGATTATAAACGTTAAAAACTAACTAAGTAATGTTTCACGTACTATAATTTTGGCAAAAAAATGTTGGACTTTGTACAAGTTTGAACGCTATGTTTTGTTTTAATTAATAAAGTCCCGAACGCAAAGACGACTTATATTAGTTCAAGAGCATGTGATAATTGAAGTATACATATATGATATTGGAAATAAATACGCAAAAAATTATCCGACGATTTCGGGGCTGCATATTGGACATCAATCTTGGCCACCTGTCCGAATTGATATAAACTAGGCATGTCACAATGTAAGTATTATTTTCATAGAAAAACATAGAAGCTTCCTGGAGCTTTGTTAAAGTGGCTGAAAGCTGACGAATATGTTGCTTACAGAACTAACATTTTGAGATAGATGACCAAGATTATTATAAATTATTCTAAAAAATATATGAAATAAAAAAGGGGGGAACAAGATATCAGTCTTTGTTTACTAAAAAGAAATAACGAAATATGTGTCTATACATAAACAGTATTACAGTGATGTTTTATTTACCCCAGAAAATCTCACCATCTTATGAATGGGAACGTGATCTCAAGAAAACAGATAAAAAAAATAAATTTAACAAGTTCAATTTTATTGTTTACTTTGCTTTAGCTTCCTCGTAAGTATATTGTTTTTCTTTGCGTGGTTCAGCATCATCGAGTTGCATGTTGTCCTTTATCCAACGCCGTAAACTATCGGCCAAAGTATCCTACATTTTTAAACAGAGATCAGGAAAGAAAAGAAACAATATCGAGTTGCTCATCACCTTATTCATGGTATTACATGAGAATATTTTGGATAGATTTTATATAAACCTTGAATTATTATAATATATATATATATCGTGAATCCTATTTTTCGTAGTCCTAACAAAATTTTGTCTCTATAAAAATCATTGTCTAAATTAATCGTTTGCATTGTGCATGAAAAGTTAAAAAAGAACATAGTTAAAACAGCAACCTACACTTTTTATTTTTAGCAATAATTAGAAAAAAAAGATTAGGTTATTAAATGTGCTTACCTCAAGTATTGTAAAGACTCCAAAGGTATCGATAACAACAACTCTTTTTACGATATCAGGATATATTGCAGAAAACTAAAAACAATATTTTATTTCCGCTTGTCGAATTACGGAATTGTTTTAACAATAGGGATATGTAGGATTTTCAGATTTTTTATAACAGTGTACATCTTGTGTAGCTGATCGAATAATCAAACCCATTCTCTATAGTCCCATAGCCTAATACGGCGGGGCCATCCATGTCGTGATTGGAACCAATTCTTCACTCCTATATAGCTATAACGTGCATTCAAAAAAGATCTATTGACATGATAACTTCAATTTATCTCTCAATAGCCTTTACGCAAATAATATATATATTAGCCAAAAATATTCCGCCAGTACCGACAGCATTTAACTATTTTAAATTAATAGAATATCTTACATGAAGAGCCATGTTTCCGCCTGTAAAAGAAAGGGAGATTTTATTATTAAAATCTTTGGGGAATACACAGAAAAAAGGGTATTTTTGAAATGAAAAGCGGCCCATGACAGTCTGATCTCATTCGGGATTTGGCATACTGAATTGGTCCATATTCATGAACTTGATATACAATGGGAAAGAGTTCTCTCCTAAGTCATTATTTTTCCCGAGATACCAACCTGCCACTCGCGCAGGGTAATTATTTAAATAAATATGCAATTAAAGTGATCTGGATGGCACTATTTAAAAGTAAGATTTGAATCAGTGGATGCTATGCGGATGTGACTTCGTTTCTCGGGGCGGAAGTGGCTGAACTGAACTTACCGCATCACCTGATTAAAAGTATCTAGTCCAGTGTTTCCCAACCTTTTTGGCCGCGGACTATTTTCACACCAGGGAAAATATTTGCGGACTCAACGTGCGTTAACTGTAAAACCGAACTCTGTGTGAAGGAGCAATAAGCAATTTCTATCGAGTCTATGTTTTTTTTTTGCTGTGAAACAAATCCTCCGAAATGTTGTTACTGCGTATCAATTGAAAGCTGATAGAACTCACCTAATGGTATTTCATATTCAAATTAATATATCCGCTCGGAAAATTTTGAATTGTTACATTTTTGTTATTTGTATTGGTGATTCGAATTTTACCAAATGGCCCACTGAAAAGATATGAAATTCATGCGATATTGGCGCACAATAAGATCATTTAAAAATGTAGCAATGATGTTACAGGAAACAAATAGATAAAAAACCCAAATATAACACGTAATTTTAACAGAAGAGAAAAGTACGTGTAAACTCGTGTTTTTGTCAGAAATCTGCGAGTCCGTTGTGCAATCCAATCGTTTGATTCAGCGCGATTGACGTGATGTGTCCAATTCACATGTTTCCAGGTATTCTAATAGTTTGCTGTTCGAATATTTTGCCCAGCCCTGAGTAATCGGTAATTATTGACTCGATTAATAATATGTGAATAAACTTGCCTTTTATGTTTTATGTAAATACTAACGTAAATCGTAACTTGGCTGGTACTTCAAGTCTGGTAAAAACGTTTTCGCCCCGCAATGAACTTCGCGATACTGAAAAGGTTAGTGATCTACATTAAATATACTACTACATAACTTTCCAATTTGGTCGTTGCGGATTCATACGAACGCGCTGCGGACTCATTTGAGACCGCGGACTCGGGTTGGGAAACACTGCTCTAGTCAATAATCAGCGTGGAACGAAATTAGCATTTAAATTGAGTGCATTCTCATCATTCACTAGTCGCAAGAGAGTCACTCATCTCGTAAATTTAATTTAAATCAAATGAATTTTTTAATAACTAAATTACCACTATAATTACTAAAATTAAAATGAACACAAATTTATTAAAAGCTCACCCATGCTATGTCCTATCATCGATACCTCTTCGATATTGAAGTCTGCAACCAACAAAATTATTTATTTATTACCATGATATTCAGATTAGGGGGCAAATCTCATGTCAGATACAAATACGATATATTGTGTGCATTGGTTTTGAACAAATTTATCTCGATATATATCATCATTTAGCATGACATGTATACCAATAAAAGATTGTTGAAAGGTTGAGTGAGTAAAGTGGTATTCAGCGAGGATAAAATTAGCTTCTTGTACTAACGCAGAAACAACGAAGAATATTGAACTATTGAAATACCAAAAAATTTAATCACTTACAATTTAAAAGTCGTTTTATAGCAATGCATATGACAAGCTCTGTGTAATACATTCCTTTCGACAAGTGGGATGACAAACCATGTCCTGGAAAATCCATAGTGATGTAATAATAACCTGCAACATTAACATGAATTACACTCCACACTTTTTCCACCTCCATATTGGATGAAAACTCGTAGAATTTTCAGAAGCTATATCCTGTCAAGGCAGAGGATGACCATCAGCTCAACGTTTGGATTATTAACGTATTGTAGTTTGTGATGAACGGATTGAAAACATTGCAATCGTGCACGCAGAAAACTTGATATTGCAGCAATGTTGTTTAGATTATGAACCTAACACGAACAATACTTACTTTTAGGCAACAATGGAATAAGTTTATCAAAAGTATTGCAATTATCCAACCATCCGTGTAAACAAATAATCGGTGGATTCTTTTTGTCTCCCCATGTTTTTCCTGCCACTAGTCCCCATGAAACAGGGAACGTGAATTCTTTCGTTAAACCTAGGAATATAAATTTAAAAAAGAAATGTGATAAAATACCGCTCGTCTTCAGCAAAAATGGCAAGGAAATAGTCTGGACTAGAGAAGTTACAGTACGAATTTCCATGGTCTTCATTTAAAATTTTAAAAAGACAAAATTTCGTTTTGTCCTTTTAGTTCAGCATGCATGAAACCATGAAACTTTTTTAAATTGAATTTATGCTGGATGTGTCCCAAAGGAGTAACTAAGTTGCTGCACCCCCGTGTGATTTATACGGAAGTACCCAATCTCCGCATTTGTTGTGCACTAAGTGGTATGGCCCGATAAATTTCTAATTGCTGATCTAGATTTAGTAGATTGTGATTATTTCGCCAGGAAATGATTTATTATGCACACTCGTCACTTGTCTATTTCCAATACAGTATTGTGACATAACAATATGAAAGTCACGGTTATGATTCAGTCGATTGCACAAACTTTGATTTGAACTAACTCATACAATTCCAACAACTGAGTTAAATTATTTTGAATAATCTCGCTGACTTCACTTAAACAAAGTGACTTACTACGAAATACTTTTGTTTGACTGTTTCAAGTGAAAAATTTTGACTGTATTTAAATTTTGGGAAAGATTATTGAGATCAAGTAATATACTGTACAAACCTCGTTCACTTGTCCCGACGTACTTTGTGCTGTTCGATGTCATTGCTTTGCGTCGACGAAGAGTACTAATATTAATCGAGGTAGACTGCTAAACGTATGTAAGGAAATTGATTAAAAAACGTCATCAAACATGCATTGATTCATCAGTACTATTCAGTCATTGATCACGTGATCTGTCGCTTAGCTAGACTGATAATAAACTAAAAATGCCTTCGATATTTCTATAGAAAATTACCGTCATTTAGCCTGAGTTTGGTGGAGCTGCAAATGTTTGCCTATTCAATCTATAGATGATTCACTGGGAGTAGAAACATATACACAATTTTAGATACAAACTATGCGATATTACGTCACTATTAAACAGAAAGTCTACGACGTATGGATCGCTTTCCTAAATTTTTGTTGTTGTCAAGGAAACAGCTTTTCTCCACAACAAATAAAGCAATCGAATATTGTTTTTTTGGCGCGCCGGAAGTATTCGTACCAAGATGACGCACAACCTGAAGAACCTAACCTGGTACACATACTATGTTCAGGTTATGCCTCATCTTGGTACGAATACTTCGGGAGCACCATTTGTAGTTTATACTTAACATGGTTGAAGCGCTAGAAGGCTATTGTCTTTTACTTAAAATTCCCTATGAGCACCGCTACAAAATTCGTTGGAACGCTTTTATTCGGCGCTTTTATTTAAAATAACAATTTAGTAATTATTCAGTTAGGGTTCGAGTTTGGGGTTACGAATGGTTTGAAATTTGAATTTCCATCGCAATCTGCATTTCTAGCTCTCACCTAGCCAAACTGGATAAATACTATTTTCCTTTATTTTGACCTTGGCCGGGGCTATGTACAAAAGATCCGAAACTAGTAATTTCCCGTTATTTCGATTTGATTATTTACATATGATCGAGTATGTTGCAACTTTCGAGTACTAGTTAACAAGTTAGTGCTCATACTGGCACTAAATGTGGGCTTTCATCGCGCTAATCAGTCCAACTTGGAGGACTCCTAATTCCAGTTTTCATATTATAAATGTATAGCTCACTGCTATAAGTATGACCACTGGTCATGTACAGTCACGTTCAATACTACGCCATATATCCTATTTTATTCCGTAGTTGGAACTTAATATAAACGCTTTCCTTTTCTAAATATTTCTGTGTCTGCCCATAAGGTCATTCCAATTTAAATCAAATCATAGTAGATAGAAATCGGTGTATTGCCAGAGGCGAACTTACTTCGCAAAGTTGCATTCCGCCTGGAGCGGGTAATGTCCACAAGCTTTGCAAAATCTTATTCGTCGCCGCATTCGTATATATAATTCCCCACTCTGTGTGAATTCATGCAACTAGCCGGCCTGATATTATTTGCTTATACTTTTATCTGTATCTAATCTGTGGTACATCTGTTTCCCTCGGCACAATCAGAACTTTAATACCAAAGCTAGAAAGAAGATTGAAACGGAAATTATTTCAATGGCAAAACGCATGAAAGTATCATTTATGTCCGATTTCCTAATCATCCGCGGATTTGGCATCGAGAGAGTTTGAACTGACATACATTTATCCACAAAAGGCAAACTAGAGAAAGAGCTTTTCGAATGAAGCAACATCCTGCGGATCGCATAAAATTATGGGTATTTGAACGGGCTTTCAAAATACAAACAGAAAAGAAACACTGACCATTAACTAACTTTTTGATCGCCACCCAAACAGCCAACAAACAAGTGTATTTGCATAGGTATGAAGAATTATAATATTTAACAAACCAAATATTAAAATGATTCAATAGGCAAATTAACAAAAAACATCAGATAAAATAACGAAAACGTACTACTTAATTCACCAAACAATGATAGATAATTTGGACTCATTGACGATCTTGACTATAACGTAATTAATCTATGAAGTTGTACATGAAAAATATATGTTACTCATGGGTACTATAAATTAGAACCATTGCCATTCTCTCCTTCCTTTTGCACGGGATGGTTTCTTAAAAATTCTGTAATATGTTTGGCTGATTCCTCTGGCGTACATAAATGCAAATGATGATTGCCAGCAATCTCAACATAGCTGAACTGAAAAAAGTGATATATTATTTAAGCAAAACGGAAGGCTACAGAACATGATAATTGCGGGATTTACATGCTACACAAATAAAGATATACCCCAGTGGGGAGGAATAAGCATAAAAGTATTGGAATACTAGATAGAAATTCTTACATGTTAGAGAAAATTCTTAAGTCATCATTAGTTGAAAGTCAAAATGAAATGTAAAACCCACAGCATCTAAAACTACCTAGTGGTTCACCATAGGATCAAGTCATCTTATTATTTCCCACCCTGGAATAAACATGAAAGTTAGTAGATTTATGTTTTATTTTTTTGAGAATTTGATTGGAAAATAAATATATTCAAACTTACAGATTTAGTATTCTTTTGGAAAGCTTTATGTACTTCAGCTATATCTGGGTACCTTTCTTTGATTATCTTGTATAAACCTTTCTTTGCCCTGAGTTAGTACAAAAGTAAAGTTGGCTTACACACAATTCAAAATGAAAAAAGAAACTCAATCCCAAACCATAGAGGTACATTGCATAATATCCAAGCAACTGAAATAAGTTATAACATTCAACAACATGGACTATTCTTAGAGAAATCAACAATGTTGCACAGAGACGTCAAAATTTTGCAATATTGCTTAAAACTTGACCTAGAAAATAAACAACAAATATATATCTATGAAGACAAACATAACTGGTGCGATCAGTATTTCAACATAACTACCATATTCCTTGTGCTCTATATCAAAGGGCTTAATTTTTGCCCAACCATTCGTATGAATTGTAAAAACATGGAATGGAAATTTTAAAATAAATTTACTTTCCATAATCATATCTCTCTAGCAATTTTTTTATAATATGACCATTCATTTTCAACACCAAATCTAAAAATCATCAACTTCAATTATCAATTACACATAGATATCTCACCATACAAAAAAGATATCAGCTTTTAAACCTTCTGCAATAGTTAATGAAGTTTCAAAACCCCGCTCCAACGGATCCTTGAACAAATGTCTGATATCTCGCCGAAAAATGAAGTTTCCTTATAAAGCAATCATACACAGAGTTGAAAGATTTATTTAAATTGGATTTACAATGACAGCACTGAAAATCGAGATGTAAGAGGAGTATGTTATTGCTTGTTGAAAAATGAAACATTCTTGATATAAATAACCTGCGAAGAACCAAAAAAATTTCGTGTGACCTGAACATTTGTGAAAATTTTGCAGCTTAAGCAATACTTGAATAATGAATGTTAATGATGAATAAGTGGAATAAATTTACATAAATTTAATGTTTTCAGACATATAACACTTTTAGAATGATGTTTAAATCACATTGAAGCACTTCTTGAATAAATTATTGATGCAAAAAATATATTTGGTTCAAAGTGTAATCTGCAAGATTTATGGAATTACCATTATCAAGCTCTCTCATCCCACGTTCAAGTAAAATTTCGACAGATTCATCATTTAAATTTTTGTTAGCTGCTCGGAGTCTGTACAGATAAAATTTGAAGAATTTCAACATAACAAAACGAGTATATTCGATCGAAAGTTAGGGGATCCCCCAAAACAGCGCTCTTACTCCATAGTGACAAATTGTGCCCCATCACTAATTAATTAATAACTCGCTTGTTATGCAACATAATTCGCCCAAAATCAATAGGCTTCTGGTCCGAGATAAGATTAATGCACATGCAAAATCTGGAGCAGATTCAATCTCGCTTTCGTGAGATATCGCGTGCGTCTAACAGACAAACAGACATACAGACAGACAAATACCTATCAACATACTTACCGATTGAAATGGATAAGTAATAAGTAAATCAATTTTGATGACAAAAACTTCTGTGTATGCAAGCCTTCTTTCATAGACTGTTGAGAACACTTGGTATATTTTGCTTTTCGAATTCGGTTGTAAAATTCTGACTTCGTTACACAGTCATCTGATATCACGACTCAACAGAAATTAAAATTTTGACTCCAACTCTGGAGGGTAACCCCGGTGGAAACATGACAAAGTTTGACGTCACAGCCCTGTCTACTACGAACCCCCAACCCAACCCCCCCGCGTTTTTCTCAACATAAAATTAAACACGAATCGCGCAATTGAAACTGAGTTGATACCTTTCTTTTGCTTGTTCGTAAGTATATTCCTTTTCAGGTCTAGGTTCTGCCGTTTCAAAAGCTAGATGTGTATCAATGCATGATCGTAATCCAGTAATCAGATCCTCCTTAATGTAATCAATAAGAGGTTTATGGATAATTCTGAAGCTCCAAATAACACTATACTAAAAGTAACGCTGAATAAGAAATAATGATATTTGAATTATGTAACATTCCAATTTGCAAGCTAAGTCCTATATTCTTTTCAAAGAATTAACATAATTTATTTTGTGACAAGACAATTACGGTATATAATTTTTCATCTTTGTTCTTTCTTTTGTTATTAGAGCATTATTTTGGTTGTCAAATGTATGTGAAGATTGCTATCATGTGGGACTGATAATCTTATTTTGATAACAGGGTGGCTAATCTGGCTAGTGATTACACTCTTCCATTAATTAAGTCCATAAGAAAAAATTTAACAGGCTAACTAAACCAATACTCGATCTAGACTGGTAATAATATGATCAGCAATCTCGTACATACCATCCCACCCAATATATACTGTATATTCAGAATATCTCAAATCAGATTGTAAAGGATTTTAGCAAGTTGAACCAGTGTGGATCAAAAATGCAAAATTAATGATAAAATTTACCTTCTGTCGGAACCATATGCCAGCTGTATCAATAGCTATGATTCGACTAACTATTTCAGGATAGATTGCACCAAACTGCAAAAGTGAATGCAAGTTTAAGGAAATATCAAAGATGGGCTTTAGAGTATTTCCACATACCAATTATAATAAATATTCAGTTTGCAGCAATAAATCTAAATGAAGTTGCAGCATCACAGTTAAAAAACAAGTCCAAACAGCAATAATTCGTGATTTTGTTATGCTTTCTAATGGATCAGTATAATATGAACACGATACAGAAAAAAGTTCTGTAAGATTGACCTCCGATTAAGGTCAAGTTACCCATCCTGACCCGCTACAACTTGAATCCATTTCACTAGAAATTTAGTCACATGGGGGAATTTTTAAATGCATTATTCACAGGGGAATAGTGTTAATCAGGATTAATGTTGTATGGCAATTATGCAGAAAATAAGCCTTTGACATAAGCCGCAATATAATATAGGATTAAATTCCAGAATTTGGGTAATAGAAATAAGAAACTACTTTTTTTTATAATTACAGTATGTATTTTAATATTCAATTTTATGCAAATTTTTTTTTTTTAAATACTCACATATGTTGCTATATTGGCCCCTGAAAGTAGATAACAGCCATAAACACCGAAGCAAATTCTTAATTAACTAGTTTGGGTTAAAAAAAAAGTTTGTATATCATGTGAGAAAATTATTCGTGAGAAGATTGCCCAACTCATCATCGCTGTAAGGTGGGTATGTAACCACTGGTCAGTTACAGCTTCCTCCACCATAAAGTGCATCTGAAAGGAATAACTGTTTAACTATTCCTTCATCTCATGTGGTTAATATAAATAATTACCCAGCAAGTCGAAAGCATAAATTATGAACTCTGTATTGCAAACATGATGTCATTTACATTCAAAATATTGGTAAGAGAATAAATGAATAACAAATCTTACCCATGCTATGACCCATTATCGACACATTGTCATATTTGAAATCTGGAAAAAATGAACATAAAAACAGCTGGTAATAAACATACGACTGGCGCAATAGTTGTTGATAACAAATTTCCAATCCCATTGTGGAGATTCAAAAGTTTAGAATCATATATGAATATATGTCTGAAAATATGCTAGACTCCTCACAAGGTGGTTTGTGTTACATCTGATTTGTCACCATGATTGATTATATAAAAAATCATCTTCTCATAACAAGCTTTTAATTTTACTTACGATCAATTACTCTTTTTAAAACAGAACTGTATGCAGCAGTGAAATAGAAAGATCCTTTAGGAAAATGAGATGAGAGTCCATGACCAGGCACATCAAATGTGACATAATAGAAATCTATTAAAAATTGATTAAATAATTATTGTTTATTGGCATTAGTTTCGAATACAAGATATAAAAATCATGTGCAAATATACTGCAGAAATCCCCATCAAAAATAGTTCATTTAACCGCTGTAGGATACAACGTCCTCCCAGTTAAATTCTATGTATCAGAAACTTTGGCCTAGCAGTTAAACTAAACCATTATATATATCCATGATGGCGTCGCAGATTAAAATCTCATGCCCACCGCATCACTAAGGATGGAGTAAACGGACAGGCAGAAAAATGGTCATTCCGGCCATTCCTCTAAAATAAAATAGTTTCTTACATATCAGTGAGTGCCTGTGCAGAGCCTTGTTCTAAGCAAATGACTATGAATGCATTGTATAAAAACGTTGTTGGCTATGACCATACCTAACCAGGAATTGTATTTATAAAGATACTATAGGCCTAATTCTGTAATTCCTGTGAGTAGGTCAAAATCAGAGAGGTAGATTTAACAACATATTGCAGAAAAATTATGAAACACATTTAATTAACTTATAACATGGACAATGGAAATTTATTGTATATCCCATTTCCTATAGATTCATTACCTTGAGGTAAAAGTGGAATAAGTTTATCAAAAGTATTGCAATTATCCAACCATCCGTGTAAACAAATAATTGGTGGATTTTTCTCATCTCCCCAGGTTTTTCCAACAATTTCCCCCCATGGTACAGGGACAGAAAACTCCTTGGTCAGACCTAGAATAAAAGAGATTTTTATCAATAATATTGTACTGAAATTTTTTAGAGTGGGATCTGTTTTTTTTTTGTGAATTCCAAATTCTAAGCTATTTCAAAAATATTAGCCAAAATGAAAAGACCTACGGTACCACAACTACCACTTACCTCGTTTGGTTGTCCCAACATACCTTCCAACAGAAGCCATTGTTCGTCTAAAATCAACAAACACTTTGCTGGATATAACACGAAGCATAGACCTTGGCAATCATTCGAATCGATTGATACAATCGAAAATTTAAAAGGTGATGAGTAACCATTACTCAGCAAATTTAATGCAACGCCCATGTACCGCCTATAAATTGCCAAAACGTCAGCAATGTTTGGGCGAAGTTTTGGCATAGTTACTATGGTTTTGGCCCGAACATTTTGAAACTAGTGGTGCTGCGGAGTCGCAGTTTGGCATATTTTGGTAACGATGGGGAAGAGTGGGAGTTTCTTTACTATGATGATGAAAAAAAATTGCGTACAGAAATTAAAAGAAAATTAAGTTCACTATTCGTTCATAACAGTTTATTAAAAAAGGTTTGAATACGCCAGCGTTTTCATCATATATCAAATTTAGTTTCCCGGTGAGTTTAGATATGTAGTCGGAGTCGAAATTTCCGTCAACCTGAAAAAGGGAGCCAGAGTAGAAGTGATATATTTTTCAACACGCAGTCGGCTTAAAAAATTTTTCCACAACTGTGAAGACTAGTGTAAATCACCACCAGTTTTTGCTGTAGAACACACGACTTATGTTTATGTTTTATTTTATTCTTATTTATTTTAAGAAGAACGTGCTTTGGACATATATTCAATTTGAATCTACTTACATGGGTAGGCTGATGTCAGTATAATAATATAATATCTGGTCACAGGTAATTCTAAAACTCGTTTCAGACACGGAAAGGTGAATGCGAATGTCATTATGTTGGTAATAATCGTACTCATGGAAAAAAAATTCATCGAAATCTATATTCAAATGATACTTTTTGTACAAACAAACTTTATATGGCGCTATTAATAATGATGTATAGATATGACATTTAGATGAAACCATTCCATCTCCGCGTCAATAGGCCTACTGTAAATATAATATTCAATTTTGTTATCGATCGATGAAAGTTTTCCGGTCAGCCTGCGACTAATTGCTGTACTCATCCGTACACTGTAGACGCTAACGCTCGTCAACGAAAAGGGCAAATCCCTATATAGCCGCTCTAGGGCATCAATCAATCAATTGTCCACGGCCTTGCACTCAACAGAAACAAAGTTGAAGCATGCGAGTACTCAGTGGCGTATCTAGGTGAAATGGCGCCCATGGCAAAGATTTAAAAATGCGCCCCCTACTTCGCTTGTTTCTTTTTTTCGTTTATATGGAATTGATTGCTCTTAACCACGGAATATAATTACATAACAAGCAATTCAATAACGACACAATAAATAATAGGCAGTGGATGGTCTGGCAACAAAAAGATCTTAGAATAGTACTTTTCGTGCCTTTCTTGACGCAAATTCGTCAATGATTTCATCAAATTTTTTTTCAACCTTCTTTATACGTAATAAAGCCAGACCATACAACCTTTCCTGGCTAATTGAGGATCGGAGCTATGACAGAATTAATTTTAGTTTACTAAAATATCGCTCGCAACTTTCTATGAATACTGCCACGGTCAGCAAAATTTGCAAAGCTAACCGGAGATTTGGGATTGGGGAAACCCAGAAAAGACTTTTTGACACACACTATTTTCTCGTTCTCAATGCGCCTGATCAGGAGTTGAGTCAAATATAAAACCATAGTAGCTACTTGGCTTTTTTATTTTTCTGTTAAGTTTTTGCGAACATGAGATGCCATAAGGTGAATAAATTCATTCTGAACACCTGGAGAAAAGTGAGTGGTTCAATGTGGATGACTTTCCATGAAACCGAGATGCTCTCGCAATACAGGATCAAAAGCGGCAAGGAATTTCATTAGGCCAAGCGCGCAAAGCGAGTTTTTGGTCTCCCAGATACTTTATTCCATGCAATATTCATTTAAGAATCTCACTCCATTTTTGCCTTTTCTTCTCCATTTGTATATGGAATTCGGCGTCAATAATTTCGGTTTTATTGCCCCTTTTTTTACGCTGTAAAACACTATCTCTCATTGTACGAATATTCATAAATTTTTGCTCCAGTACGATATCAGAGCAAACATGAGGTGCAGTTAGTCCAGTACCGTATCAATTAAAGTTCATTCATGTTGAAGTATGAAGTCACAAGTTTTATTCAAACATTATACGATTAGAACTTTTCGCGTTTTTTGCGCCCCCGTCCAAACGGCGCCCATGGCACGAGCCATGGCTGCCATACCCTAGATACGCCACTGCGAGTACTTCCAGTCTGTTATCTTTAATGATATCAATTGCTTCAGATAGCTGTTTAATTTTAAGACAGCATCGTTAAATATAATAAATACGCAACAACGAGGAAATAAAACGTGCATTTTTGAGTGCTGTACAGAAACGTGAGTGAAAAACATCTGCATTAAAATTTTTATAAATGTAAGTTACATTTAAGTGCTGATAATGAACTCAACACAATTTGTGAATAGGCATGATGTATCAGAAGTATCTGGGCAAAGTAAAATGTGGATTGTAAAAATACAATGCGCCGTTTTCAAAGCACACTAAGAAAAAATTATGCTGCTTCGTCAAAATATTCATTTTTGAGTGAAAAGAGAAAGGAATGTATTTTGTCAATGGTAATTTAAAATCAGTGAATATAACAAGTGCATTTGAAAATCAACACCTGGTTGCAAATATAAAAATACTGTATTTAGATACAAATATGCTATCTCAACGATTCTAATTAGGGTTAAAAACTGAATTCTACGAGAATGAGGTTAAATGCATACAAAAGTAACAGCCAAAAATGTTTGCTATATAACCGAAATTCAGATAGATAATAATTCATTAACCATTCGTTTAGTTGGTGTTTAAAAATATAGGAAATCTAGGATATCATACAATATAAATAATAATAACAATATAAAACATTATAACAGTTTTTCGAAACTTAAACAATATAGTAGCAAAATAGATGATAAAGTTGATCCAAAAATGAATGAGAGTTAGGCTAAAACATCTGCTGCAAAACTCAATTCTAAAACAAAAGATGAAAATGCTGTCCGTTTCCAAACTATCAAGATATGGACGGTGTGAAGAATTATGAAGTGAGTGACAAATCAATTAGCCTACGTGTTGCACTAGGGCCATGTATTCACAAGCGGAGGAATGATGGAAGAGAATGAGACGATCCGAAACAATTTCATAGAATGAATCAATTCATTGCGAATCAACAGGAACAAATATTGCAAACATTTTCGTGAAAAAGGGAGATACAAAGTACATTTGAACAAAATATGCCAGTGACTTTTAGTCCTTTTAAACTGCAATCTATCTCAACTAAACAAATGCATAGAAAAGTGAGCAAATTTCACGCCAGGACTCCGTCAACAGTATTCAAATGAATAATCAAGTAGTGGAAAGTCAAAGGCTGCAAAAGCTCATCAGTGCGAATGGAAATGTGTTACACAGCAAATTAAAAGAGAGAAAATATATACAAATAGCGAGTTATAAATAGTACAATTGAGAGAATAGCCTTTCGAAGATACTCCTAATATGGTTGCTCCAATGGTCACGTTCAAATGTGAGATTTGACCATTGCGTAATAGTTGTGCCGCCATTTTCCCATCTTGACGTGTTATAGTCAGAGCTGAAATTTTTGTGCCTGTAAAATTGTAAACAAAAACATAGGCAACTGAAAGCATGTTGCACATCCTGCTATTTCACAGTGACATTAATTATTATCATCGCTGCTATGATTTTAGAATTAACAATTGAGGTGACGATTCATATGACTTTTTGGCGTGATTAAAATCATTTATGTGAATATTTTCCAAAAATAATATAACTTAAAAATAATCCTACCTATAGTGTTCATCACGGTTGGCTCGTCTTTGAAATCTTCATCATAAATAATAACGGCTTTAGCCGAATACTTTTCGGCAAGTTTTATTTTCACAACAGTGTTGCACTTTCCAGCTTCAATCAATGCGATCCATTGACCACTCGTCGATTTGATTTCTTCCTCATTCGAAAATGCTCCCGTGCAGCCGAAATGAGAGTTTTCAGTTCCCACGTCTATGACATGGACCAGACGCCCAGAAAATGCAATACGTGGTGAATACCGACCATATCTAGCAGTCGTTCTTTGAAATGGAGATTTACCAACTTCGACAGGATTACTTGAATCGAGACGAAAATCGACAATAGCCTCTGTGTAGCTGTATTCTGCAACCTTCGGTATCAAGTCCGATGCTTCGATGTTTATTGCGCCGACACTTATGTTGACATTTATTTTGTTACCTTGTTCAATTTTCCGTACCAGTGCTCCGCCATCAACGGCGTTCACCATCAGGGACATGATTTTTGTACCTACAAGTGGAAAAGAATGGCTCAATTATTTACGATTTATTTATTATCGCACACACAACACAACTCTTGCTCTTTGCAGTCAGACTATATGAATTAAAAATTACACAGATGTTTTTTCAATATTTCTGCCAATGCGCAAAAGGCTAGTTAAACATGGATATAATATGTGGGTCGATTTTATGTATTTGTATATCGGAAAAGACTTATGTGTTTAGTACGCGTATTTATTTTTGCTTTTAAATAATGCACTTACCGATAGTACGCATTACTTCCACAATTCTCCGAGGTACCGTGTCGTAAACAATAACAGCGCTCGCGCCATATTTTTCCGCCAACTTGATCTTGAAAAAAAACTTGCATTTACCCCGAGCAATTAAGGCAATCCACGGACCTCCGACGTTCGCAACTTCTTCCTCGTTAGTAATTTTGCCACTGCATCCAAAATGAGAACCATTGAAACCAGCATCAGATACATGAATTATTCGGCCAAATACGTTACTGTGGGGAGAATGAAATCCAAATTTTCCTTTCAAATGCAGCTCAGAAGCGGTCGATACGCTAGACATGATCTCGGTTTTATTTTGCACGGGAATTGGAATAACAAACGCGCTCAACAAAGCCTCGGTATAATGATTTGTTGTGTTGCTATTTCTGAGACTTGGCAAGTTGTCAAAAAGACTTTGTCCGCCTAGCAACGAAGTACGTCGATCTAAAAATTCCTCAATATATTTGCTCTTCATGTTTTGTAAATCTTCAACAAGCAGAGGTGAATCGTCGGTAGTAGTTGCTAATGATGAAGTTGTGACTTCATGTTCACGGTTGCGCTTCTTTCCCCTAAGTCGCCCTTGATTTCTCAGCTTTCTCCTTTCGCTCTTTGACCTCGCACGTTCGGAGGATTTTCTATTCAATCGACACTCCGAGATCTCAAGCGAAGCGACTACGAGCGTTAAAACCAACAGAAGATGAATCAACTTCATTGTGAAAGACTTAGTTGTAAACAAAACGTATAATATAACTGGAAACAGAAAGGCTTAGTTATTACATAAACAATATAATCTATTATGAGTTTTGAAAGTCGCGTGACGGAATGCACTACACGATCGAAGATTGCCCACTGAAACGTCACTCACATCGAGGTTATAGAGCCCTATTTGTAACCTTCAATCATAGCAGGCCATCCCGAACGTTCATAATGATTAATTCCGAAAAACCAAAATGAATACAACCCTCTATTTAGATAACTTTATAAAGATATTCTATATCCTACATATTTTCTACCTGCTAGCATTCACGGAATTTGTATCTCGAGAGTGCTTGGTACTCACTGCTATCACATATGGATTTGTACCAGTTCAAAATTACTGCACATAATTGGCAATGGCGGTGAGCATCGCTAACTCGGAGCTAGTCCTGCCTGATTAGCTGAAATTTCCCTCGTCAACCGCTTTTGTCCCGTACAAATTTTTTGCGAACTACACCTAATCACTTGTTTACCGCTAATATTGCACCAGCTTGCACTGGTAATTCAATTTATTGATACGAACATTTCTTATCTGTAGTTTTCACAGAATTATTCTTGATTGCCATACGTGAAATAATTAGTGACGCCTGCGCTTAAGCTCCGGGAGGTTTATCGCCACAAGATAACTTTCCTGTTTCACAATTGTAAACAAACAATATCTCGACAGGGTCGAATAATGAAGTGCAGTGAATAAGTAGTGTCGAGGATTATAATAGGCTTATGAAACTTATTATATACTTATTTTTTCTGGGAAAGATAACAGCAGGATAAACGGAAACGAAATGCTCATTCGATATGTACGCTTCACACTAAAATACGTTATTATTAAATTAGATTAACAATCTTTTTTTCTTTGTGCTATGTTAATTTATTTATTTCTTCTCTCACTATTTTTGTACAACACGGCAAACTGTTACTACCGGCAAATAGATAAACCAAAACAAAAATTATTTCGAAGCCGCGAGTTCACGGAAATTCCTTGCTGTTGACGAGAGGAAATTCCACGTTCCGCCGCGCCTCACGCCATCCCCACTTTTGAAGAGTGCGTGCTTTCGGGGAAGAGATGTTTCATTTTGTTTCAAATTCTATTTTTATAAAGGCTTATGATTATTTTCCCTCGCGACTATCTCGCTTCAAGCGTAATGTTTTTACAAACGAGTCGCCACTTCGACTAGCGCGTTTTTTAAAATAATAGCTGACCAACCAACCATGGGGCATTTAAATGTTACACTTCACTTATGTGGTTCAAACATGATCCACACATAGAGTTTTAAAACATTCGTGGACGTTCAAGGGTGAATACTTTGTATGGGTCAAGGCGCGCATTAGGCGGCTAATGGATCTTCCGCGTGTTGTCATATTTTTGTCTTTATCAAAGTATTTTTGAAGTTCGTGTTCATAAATACATTAAATTGTGAATAGACGTAGAAGTATTATATTTTTATAAGCATTTAATCATGCTTTATACGTCGTTATTCTTAAATTAAAGCGCCGCAACTTCACACTCGCGGGTACGCATTTAGTTTTTGAGTGCTTGAAACGTTCAGGTAATACTTACCATAAAAATTCTTGCTAAGAGCAATTCTGCCTTAATTTGGTAGTTTTAGAAGGAAAACGGCAATAAGCTACTATTGAATAAGATATCAATATGAGCCCTCCCACTGCTTATTAACTTCTTTTTATAATAATTTGTAAAGTGTGTTCAAGTTCCTTTCAAAAAGTTATGACCTGTTGTTAGTAGATTTCTCACCATGCCCCGTAATTAGTTATACTTTGTTTACCAATTTACAATATGAGCGTGTAAGAGCGTGGCGTCTATCAACTTCGTTGCCTATTAGTCGCCACTGTTAAAATCACAGCATTTTTATAGTTTTCAGGAAGCCAATCCCCAAATTTGGAATGTCATTTGGGATATAAGTGGCATCTTTCTGTATCGAGTACTTCGGAAGCCGCTCCTACGCATATTGGTCTCAACCCTGTTAATTAGTCCTTCTCATTAACGCATATGGCGCCATTTGTTCATTACCCGCTACGCAGTATGCACATCCCAACCCCTGGCGCCCACCCGCAGATGAGACCGAAGGTGCCAAATGAAGATATTCGCCGTCAGGGTGACCGTTATGATTTATGAGGAATACAAAAAATATTTGAGGATATATTAGTTTTATGGGTGTGACGACAAACGACAACATCTCCGAAGAAAACAATTTTCTGTTGGTAGCCCTTGCCAAAATTATCACCAATGATATTCCAGAAAAAACTTAAGTTCTTTTAATATATTTCCCGAGTGATTTGAATTTCTTTCAACTCTTTGTCTTTAGTGCTAGCCGACGAAATCGATGGCGTTATATCATAACTCAACAGATAGCCCATTATATTCATGCTATAACGCTCATTCGTAATTGAACTACTATATGACACCTTGCAATGATGAAGTTATTTAAATTTAAGATAATTACACTGATGCTATCAATTCATAAAATAATAAAGTTAAATATGTTTATTCGAATACGTTCAGGAAAATTTTCCTCATATGAATTGGAAATCATTTCATTCACTTGCCATTAATAATCTGTATGCGGTTGTGTGTCAAGTGATGCAAACTTTCAGTGAAGAAAAACATTAACCTCGCTCATCAAGTAACCGAACAAGCACGAAACGGTTTTGCGCGTACTTTCAAATATGTGACCCATGATAGGAAACGGTTAAACGTGCGACCAAACTATATTTTTTTAAATATTCATTGTTTTTGTTTGTCGTTTGTTGCAGCGGCTCTTGTATTCAAGGAACGGCAATTAACCCATGTGACCCATTCATGGTTCGCTGGTAACCACGAAATCGAAATGAAACACACGCAAAATATGAACCATGTCCCACACTACGTGAACCGAACATAAATAGAGTATAATACTCCTTTCACAAAAAATATGAAGTCAGTTTATAGTACACAAATATGAATAACGAAATCGACATAAAACGACGAAAATATCCAGAGCAAAATATTGCATCAATGCTATAAAAATGCCGATGAACTCATTGAACAGCATTTTTGCAAATCTCAAATTGATCAGGTACAAATGTTTGCATTTTAGTTTATTTTATGTCGTGAATCATTCTTCTGGTAATGCACACAAAGAATATTGTTTTGGCTCTCAAGTTTAAACCGGATGAGCGATTGAGTCACTAGCAACGGCATGGGATATTTCTTTACTTCAAGCTAATGGGTTACTTTGTATTGAAACTTATAGTCGACCGTGCTATTGTAAGAGTACATGCGATATATATAAAATAAAATCATGGAATGGGAAGTTCAAAAAATTTGTAAAGTAAAATATTGTTTGCTTTCCAATATGCATCTACTGGCAATTAAGTTTAGGCTATTAATTGGACAAGTGCAGATCACATTCTGTGACGGTATTTCTAGACTCTAGACTACTGCAAATAATTTTACAGTACAATATATAATTGCATGGCTGGCCTTTATTATTACGGGGACCTGTGCAAAACTGATTGCGTGGAGTTTAGTCAGAGAAGAGATAATAAACAAAAATAAAGCGTTTACCTTTACAGTATTATCTTTTTAAATTTTTTATGGAGTGCGTTCGTAACCTCGAAACAGTGTTATGGAGTGCGCGTTCGTAACCTCGAAACAGCGTAAGTCGCGACCGTCGTAACCCGAGGACTCCCTGTATTACCTTTTGTAAAGTGCAAAATAACGAAAGTAATTTTATTTTAGTTGTCTTACGAGTCTGGTTGAATTTAACAATTTACACCTAGAATAAATGCGGAGCCTATATGAAAAAGTACGGGGCTCACTGCAGCCACATGGGTAACTGTGGCCTAAGGTCGGCCTTGTATTTCAAAAGTTGTACTATATGCGAACGGAAATGATTATTTGAGTAAAGATCGACCGTGTGTGTTTTTGTAACTTTAATATTATGACGGAACTATCTACAAAAATGGACTCTAAAACGATTGCAACACCCAAGGTACCTTGAAAACGGGACGTCCTCAATCACCCCCGAGACCGATGTTGTGCTGTTGTTTTACGTTGTATATTGAGTGGAACGTACGGTTAGACATGACATAATTGATATTGAGCTCCCCCGGGATAGTTTTCACGACGTATGGAATGCGCCGTCAGGAAACGTCTAGGCCTACTACTTATATCGGATAGCCTACGTATAATAGAGGTTTACGAAGAATACTATCAAGCTGTGCACAAATACTTTCTGAGCATATTCATGACTGAACAGGTATCTCAATTGAGTTATCCTGAAATGCATTTTAAATATTCCAGTATGATTATAAGTTTAGAATTTATATTAAATTGTCATCCACCCAAACCACAGAGCCTAATATAAACTGCAGTTGTCATTACACTCGATGTGTCTCTTGAACTGGCAATTTTGTTTTGAAATCTATCCCTTTTAAACTGAACCTCACATATAATCCGATCCGACCGATAACCCTTAATTATTTTAATTTTCCCTATGAAGATGTTTCTTTTGCAACCATGAATGAAATATATTCTGTAATTCTCTCCGATGTTATCTCGGATATTAGGCAAGTAAAATTACGAAACGGCTGATATGTATCGAACCTCTGTGTAAATTTAGAAATTAATTTTTCGCATTTTTTTGATTCAGCATACTGGATTGAGGTTCACGAAATGGTTGCCAGAAAACATGTCAGATTGTGAAATACTTACATTCTCAAAGGTTCCAATGTTTTTTTTCCACCTTTTAGGGCAAATTGAGTTATTGGTCTACATATGGCTGGGTTGTAGGCTACATATGGCCCTTGGGGTCTCTCCGGGCGTATTTCATAATTGTCACCAGAGATTATAACGTTTCGAAAGGACGTCCCATTTAAGCATAATACTTCAAGTCATCAATTTAATAAAGTAAAGTGGCCTGTAACTAGAAAAACACTTAAAAACCGCAACCGCTTTGAATCCGTCATGTTCAAAAGTTCTTTTTGTTCCATCTGATACAAATGCTTTGTAGTATTTATGTGTACTAATTATTGAATTAATTCCCCAATGGATATCAAAGGTGAAATTATTCAAATTCTCCTGATCGACATATATGTTTTACCCTTATCCGATTAATTCTATCGTCAGCTCAAAAATATGCACATACCGAATATAGGTTTTAGGACAAACAATTTTAGCTATTTAATCTGCTGACAATAGGAAGTACTAACAATTTGTGCTTTTCACCTTGATCTAATGTGCAATATATCCATTTAGCGTTATCCACAGAAAATAGACTATTTATCAGTCAAAAGTACGGTGTGACTTGAGGATCTCAGTATTGACTGTGTCGAATAATGATCGGCAAAAGACTAATAAGGACATATGTACCTGGGTCTTTGCAATCTCCACGGTAGCATATTTCCAGGAGTCTGGTAAGATCGTTTGCACTAAAATCTGTTGAATACTTTTGCAAAAAATAGAGTCAATTCAAGGGAGCATTTTATCAGAACCAAAGCAGGTATAATTTCTGGGCCAGGAGCAGAAACTTGCAACAGTACGAAAAACTAAACGAAATATTACCAAAATTTCATTAAAATAAATATCATAACGTTTAAAAAAATTCAGAAAAGTTATTTCAATTTGAATCAAGACATAGGTTCTTATGAGAGGAATGTAATAATTTACAATGCCAAAATATGTAACCACAGTGTTACATTCATTCAAATCATTTGTTGGAAGTACGTTTGATAATATTGATTGATAGTTTTCAACTGATTTAATATTATCCATCATTTATCTTCCCTAAACCAAAGATAATAATAAATCTCGACATCAAATTGCTTTCTTCTTGCAAAAATGAAGAAGCACTACAAAAATATCGGTATATCATCCGAAATAAAAATGGTAGTATCCACTGGAATGATAGATAACCATGCCAACATCGCTGCATGATGTGATGTTTCAATATCTGATATGCCTCTTACCATTTCGCATGTGCTATATCCATTGGTATCTATGCTCAACCAGAGAAAAAAACGTTTGGGACTACGGTTGGCATGACGAACTGTTTTCAAATATATATTCTACTACTGACTTTCTGAGGTGGGATGTCGAAAAATCTGGCAATGGGGTGTATTTTGTGTTGCTTTCAATGAAATAGCAACAACATACCATTGGCAATTCCTGCCTTGTAGTTCACGTGATGGGCTGCAAAAACAGGTAGTTTGGCTAACACAATTCACAGAAATTAATGTTAGGTTGTTTAACGGAATGATCGTTACAACCTGCAAACGATTCAGAACCAATCCTAGAGTAGCAGTTGCAAGTTATATCGACTTTAAAAATATGAAACAAATGCACATTCAATGCAATCTTCGTAGTGCCAAACCGAGGTAGGGCTGCAACAATGTTGAGCACAAACGCCGTGGCTGCAACATGAAGAACGCCAGACATGGACAAAAGCGAGCGTCCAATTGAGCCGTCCGAGCGATACAACGCTTACGGTCCAACAAAGAGCACTGATTTTGAACTGGTGTTCCGCGAGCCACTGGTGTTCCGAGAAAGACCTTCGGGTGTTCCGCGTCAAATTGTTGTTTCACTAAATCTGATTGTCAAATTTTATGATATAAAATAATACATATATATGAAGAATCAAAGATCACGTATTTGATTTCGAGATGAGTCTGTGGTGTGATAATGAGAAGCAATTGCGTGAACACTGAAACCCTAGAAAAGTGCCATACTATTTCTAGCTGTAACAACTTGTCTTGATAATTTTCTTTGGTATTTCGACCTTTTGTTTCGCTATTTACTTTCTGTGCAAAAACTGATAGAGATAAGAAGTTAGAGAATTATCAGTTAATTATATATACTGTATCGATTATTTCCGGAAAATCTGAAATTTTCATTTAGTGTTTCACAAAAAAATACATATGGTGTAAAAAAAATGTCTGCAATTAAAAATCACTGCTCTGGGTGTCAATACGATGATAAAGGCTCTGCCAACAGTAGCCAAGTTTGCCATATTTTGTTGCTTCCGTCGAATAGCCAAGTAATCAAAACTTCAAAAAACAAAAGTGTAATCAATTTAATAACCTTGTAAAGAACTTTAAATTCCGATTTCCACTGGATGAGATGAGAACTATCGGTCAAACTAGTGGGAACCACGTAAAAAGTTTACACGAATAATTTCACGCTTTCAAGGGCATGGCAATGGAAGATGTTTCGATATTTTTGTATTTTACTGGTTCATTTTATCAGCGCAAATGTTTTTCACGCGCAACATCTCTATATTTAGACTCATTTCATAAACTATTCCACACCATCAATCATCCGCTCAATTTATTGCTCGGAGCGAAGCCTCGGGATTTATCAGAAAAATTCACGAGAGCTTTGTTGTAAAACGTTACCATTAGTTTTATCAGTTCTAAGCGAAGTAGCTGAGATTTTAATTTGGTTTTAAGATCATTATAGCGTATTGGAAGCAAAAATATAGTGACAGTTAACCTTCTAACCAACGGAAGATGCAGGTTTGTGATTCACTTTTTTCAAATTAGGTTCGATAGCATACCTTAACTTCGACTAATATAGTCTATTCTATGACATTAGGACACTGGTTCTCAACCAGTGCGCCATGGCCCACTCCTAGGCCACAGGAACATTTTCTGGTAGGCCACAAGACTATTATTAATTGGTTGAGTTGTTGATAAATTTAGTTAAATTTGATGGTCGTAGCAATAAACGATGCTGTTTTTTGTTGCAGGGTGGTGATTTTCTCCTAGTTATTATATTAAAGTAAAAGTGTCTATTTTTGGAGAAAGAATTCTTTGTTTTTCTTGTAGTTTTTACCCAGCATGAATAAGTTAATGGTCCACAGAATTTTTGTGCAACGAAAATGGGCCGCGAGAGAAAAAAGGTCGAGAACTACTGCATTAGGACTAAAGTGAAAAAATAGTCACATAGCTGAAATCAAGTGATCCTGGATTTATTAGATTCTGAGAAATATCTTGTTCTGTAAAGATATAATGGGTATTTCTCGGAAAATATATATAGTCGAACTCTGGAAAATTTCATCCCCAGGAAAAAATGAATTGCCTGAATTTTAATTAGATATTTATTACAAATATAAGCACATATTTCAGCGGCATGATTTCAGGATTAAGTATGCTCGCCACGCTCATGAAACACTCAAAAGACTGCGTGTGCTGCCAAGTCACACAGCAGGCTCGATAGCTTGATTGCGCATGTGAACAAGTTTATTATCCAGCAGGATTACCGGTATTAGAATATATAGATTTAAAGAGCAACAAAACGACATCTAGACTCATTATTTCAGTCAGATCACAATCAGACGGTGCTATCCTAAAGCGATAGTCACGTGGGCTGGGGTGTTCGGAGTCATTTACTGAAAGTGAAATTTACTCCATTAGAAAACTCATAGTTCAGTACAGTAGTTCGAAATTAAGGCTCAGTCCCTGAAAACTCTAGTACGCGAACCTAGAATAATATACACAAACAAAACAATAAAAAAGAACAAAATCCAGTTCTATCACACTATATATGAATATACTATATCTGTTTACGATGGAGAGTAAATGTGCACATAATATACGCATAAATAAAAACACTAATATCATGTCAGTCATGGTCCATAATTTTTATTTTAATTGAATTAAGGCAGCAGTAGCCTATTTAGCGATGAAAACAACAATTATTGTCATTTTTTCTTGGATAACTACATCCCTGTGTCAAGATGAAACTCTGCTTCACTGTTCCCCAAAACCGGGTTGTCAGGTTGCTCAATGCGACATAGCAGCGGAATGGATGCATGATTTCAATTTGGAAAAATATCTTTACAATAATGAATATCCTCTCACATGTAAATGGAAGAGTGGCGAAAAACCACACAGCGACGCAAATTTGCTTGACATAATGTACGAAAACTCAAAAAGTATGTTAGTTTGAACAAAATGACATTGTTCAACTATCAATGTCAATTAATTTTAACGTTATGTTAAATTACAGATATTGAAAAAGTGGAATCAGAACTGAAAAACTCAGAAAGAAAGTTTGTTAAAACTACAGAACACGAAAAAGGTGAATTCACAAATTTTTTAGCAAGGCAAATGGTTTGAAGCAAACCAACGAACTTGATGAACGCAAAGATAATATATATATATATATGTTATTTTATGTGTTAATTACTATCTGCCTGAATATTGCTCGGCATCAATTTCCCGATTTGGCATGGTGCCGAAGATAGATCAAAATTATAATGAAAACAGCTGATGATTCAATGTGTACCGTAGTACTTAGTTTTGATATATATATTATACTCTTCTAAGTTCTTACCTATCTGACTGTTTTAAACATTGTACAAATGTATATATCGAACGCCGAATGTTAGAAATCAAATTTTATATAATCTGGTTGCTTGGAACTGTTCGGTCTTGTTTCTTAATTTTAATGTTACACTCTTCCCTGCTATTTTCTTCATTTCAAAAATATTTTTTATATTTAAATATATATATACAAAAAAAAATAGAGCTGCAGGCATTACGAGAGAAGAATCAAGAGCAAGATGCTCAAATAAAAGTCTTACGTACAGGTAATAGTTTCATTTTTTAATATAAAAGTTACGATGGATCACCTTAATATCGCCTCACTTACTATTGGATAGCATTATCGACAACAGTGCAATGATATTTCATAAAAAGCTATATATTTGTAATAAAGTGGACTGGTGTTATCCAAGTTATCCAATATCAATCGATGCATGAATACCTTCAAAAAACTAGCGTGCTTTACGACACACATTTCTGGCATTAGACTCGCTGTCTTAGTCAAATATTTAATTCCTGCCAAATATTTGTATCGCATCAAGATAAAATTGCGTTTCTTTCATTAATTAATGAATGTTATCTTATTGAACGTTCTCAGTATTTGATGGGTAAATATCTATGCCCCCTAATTAAAAAGAGGGTGAATTGATCGAGTCCTCTATATTTTGCGCGAACGTAGAATGGTTTGTGCAGGTTTTCATTACGGCTTGTTATGCGTTTGATCATAGATTACAATAAAAATATATATATATTTTACTATTATTTAAAGCGTTGACAAGTATGGAAGAAAAACTGAAGAAGATTGAAAATTCAAATCATCCGTTCATCACTCCAATTACTACAGCACCGCCGATGAAAGATTCAGGTTTGAATAACCAATTATTAAATATTGAATTCATTTTTGACCGAGTATTATTTAATTCATTTATTATTTCATAACGTAATGTCCATATGAAAACAGAAAAACAATTGTATTAAACTTCGTTATAAAGATATTATTCAATTGTGTTATATTATATTACTATGAAAACATCACATTACGTTATTTTCATCACATGCATTCAACAGCGTGCGAAATAAAGACAACAAACTCGTGTTATTCGATTACGATACATGAGAGGCTCGATATTGATAATTATGAAGCGGAAAACATTTGTAAGAAGAGAAATTCTGTCATTGCTCAGATTTACGATGAAAAATCTTACGAAACTATTATCAATCATTCGAGAAAAACAATGCCAGCACGAGAGAATTGGATCCAACTTTGGATTGGAAGTACGATCAACCCACTAGTAAGTTGGAATCAATTTGGAGAAGAGAACTTGATATATACAGAATAATATTTTCTATCCTAAGTTTATAATTAACTCAACTTTTTTTAGACTGGAGACATAACACCTACAAATGCATACATGAAATGGTTTCCAGGGCGCCCAAGACGAGGGGAATTAAATAATGAACAAACACACATTTACATTTATATGGGACGAGAAGCGACAAATCCCCGGCAAGGAATGGTCAATATACAACCATCATTCTACAGGAATGGGGTTCTATGTCAACTGCTGAACTACTAAATAAAAAAAGTTTTTGAATCGATTGTTTCACATTAAGGTGTAGTAGAACGTTCAGGTTCAGATGAAAAACATGTTAAATACATTTCATTTTATTAATTTTTTACACAAATAGAATAAAAATATGATGCAAAATGTGTTCTTACGACATTGAATAAAACAGCAAAATTTAAAATGAAATAAGTAGGTATAAGTTTATTTCGACTGCATAATTAGCATGGTAGGTGATAAAATAAGCAATAAAAATAAAACAAATAAAAAATTGATTATTGAATCAGACCGGCAGACAGAAGCTGAGCTGAGCTGAAAATTTTTAGTATAAATTTTTTTCAAAAGCAGTTTCCATTCACCCGAAATTGAGAAAGATATTTCTCTCGTTTTCTCATCGCGACAATCCTGATATGACTGTATGAGAGAGATCGCTGTCGTTAGTGAGCGAGTATTATCGTCGGTGCAGATGCCAGTTCGGGCGATTGTAGGTATACCTTGGCGGGATGTATGTATGGATAGGATTTACATATTTATCCCGGGGGAGAGGAAAGCCGATAAGACGGCTTATCCATATGGCGAACCACGGCCTCTCGTCCGGTTACCATTCCAAGTCGGTTATGGGATTAGTTATACTGTATTGTTTTGTTTTCGGAAGCATGGACTTGGTGGTGGAGGAAGCCGTAACCGACCAGCGGTTACGTGAACCACCCAACGACGGCGAGGAGTCCAGCAATCCTCTCGCACATAACCATCCCTGCATGGGATTCGAACCTGTATGTATGTTTATTCGTCTCGTAAAAGCAATATAAAAAAAAAGTTGCATAAACCACATTGTGGAATCATAAAAAAAAAAAAAAAAAAAAAAAAAAAAGTAAGTAATTATAAATACTGAAGACGGTGTGAGTGGGAGTGGTGACTCCTCTGCGGCCCATGGGCCGGGGCCACGGCCCATCGAATTGGGCCTCGGCCCATCAGGCTATGGGCCGCGGCACATCAAGTTGTGTAAAGAAACTATTCACTTGGCTAACACAGACAGTCCCCGAACTCATAATAGAACTATAATGTAAAAAATCTGAATTTTTTTTGTCCTAACCCTAACCTGGTACACATACTACAGGAGTATATTTTTTTGGTTCGAATATTGACAATTTGGTAAAAATTGAAAATTTTGTTAAGATAATTGAATTTTTCCTGATGGGGCCGCGGCCCATCAAGCTATGGGCCACGGCCCATGTGGCCCAATTAGATGGGCCCCGGCCCATGGGCCGTAGAGGAGTCACCACTCCTGTAGCAAACTCAGAAACTTGTGGTGTGTATTAGGTACAGGTATGCAGGTGTGTCTGTATTTCTGTATTTGCAGATTTCGTAAACAAACAGTGTTTTGTAAGATAGTGAACAACCACGCTTATACGAACTGACAAATGCAATGCATCAATGGTTAAACAAAGATGCGCGGTACGGTACACATAGTACTGCTGTACTGACTTATTAACTCTAATTCATCTGCCAAGAAAATAAGTACTTACAGGCTGACAGGTGACAAATTGAAATATTGGTTTGATGATGAAAAAAGTGCATTTTGTAATGAAAATGGAAAAAACACTGTAGGCCCTATGCATTTATTTTGTTATTGTGATTGGACATTAGACCTTTGGCAGTGGTGCAATATACTGATATATGGGAAATCAATTGTGATATAATTATTTCTAATAATATTCATAGTGAAGCATTCATTAATCATTCAATGTGTAAAATCAGCCATATGGCAGTATGGGAATTCAGGAATAGTGTTAAATAGGACAGTACAGCAGTATGATGATGTACTCCAAATGCTGAAATGCAATGTAACTTGCGAGCTATCTTTAAACAGTTAAATGTAAACTCATAGATGTAATTAGATTAATGACTAATTTTGAAAGGCAAAGAGTAATACTTGATGAAATCGTGGATGATTTACTACAAAAATCGATAATGAGTTGAAAGTAAAGAAATTTAGATTGTCCTAATTTAGGAAGATTGTCTATATAAATGTTTGTATAACGTAGACAGAGAAAATGAAAAAACTAGTAGCATGATAGGTTTTCGAATTTTCTGTCTAATTTTTTGAAATCTTTTCTTTTATCATGCTAATATAAAAAAATAAATAATTATTTATCTTCATTAGCCTGTAATGCTATGTCTATGATGGATTGTTTATAATGTTCAATACAAATGGATACAGGCCTATGACGAATAGGCTACTGACTCCTCTTCGGCCCATGGGCTGGGGCCACGGCCCATCAAATTGGGCCTCGGCCCATCAGGCTATGGGCCGCGGCCTATCAAGTTGTGTAAAGAAACTATTCACTTAACTAACACAGACAGTCCTCAAACTCATAATAGAACTATAACTGTATAATGTAAAAAATTTGAACAAAATTTTGCCCTAACCCTAACCTGGTACACATACTACAGGAGTTATTTTTTGGTTCGAATATTAACAATTTTGTAAAAATTGAAAATTTTGATAAGATAATTGAATTTTTCCTGACGGGGCGGCGGCCCATAGCTTGATGGGCCACGGCCCATGTGGCCCAATTAGATGGGCCGTGGCCCCGGCCCATGGGTCGTAGAGGAATCACCACCCCTGTAGCGAAATCGAACAGTTATTTCTCTCGTTTTCTCGTCGCAACGATTCCGATAGGAGAGAGATTGAAAACCTCAGTCAGTTCTTTATCGTCGGCGCCAATGCCATTTTGGGCAATCGTACGTATATTTGGCAAGCTTTATGACGTGATTGTGATGTCGTAGTGACGTAATTTTTGGATGGCGTACTCAGATGGGGGTTAGGATTGACATATCAAAAAATTGTCATGCTACGCCTACTAGAAGTATGTTGGGTACGAAACTACACGAGACCCCTTCATACAGGCAGTTGTGCAAGGAGGGTGGGTGGGTGTGGTACCTGTAACAGGGATAAGGGTGGAGTGTACAAAACTGTTTGTACAAAGGAGTTTGTTAGACAAAACAACATCTATAAATAGAGACACAACACAACATGAAACACACTGCAATGACTGCATATGAATGTAGTAATAAAAAAAAATTAAGATGTAACATAGCTTCGCACCTCACAAGTAATTCTAGTGGGTGTAGCATAATGATTTTTGTACATGTTGATCCATCGTAATTTTTGCATGACGCAGTCAGGTGGGGGTTAGTATTGACATATGCCAAAATTGTTATGCTACGCCCACTAGAAGTACTTTAGTTACGAAACTACACTAGACTCGCATTTTACGATTTTCTTGGTGTCAAGACATTAGTAACCGCCCAATTCTGATCTCAAAAGTGCGAAACCACAACACAAAAAAATTCATTCGCTATCATAATCTTAAATTTTTTAAATTAATTTCAAATAGGTTCCGACATTTTTCGAGTCTTAGAACTATTATCAGATTATAGTAAAAACAAATGGCTATGCAAGCCATTCGAATAGCACTCGTGCAGATGGCCGTTGGCTCGAACAAACTAGAAAATGTGAAGAAAGCCTGCAGTCTCATTAAAAAAGCAGCTGATGACGGTGCAAAATTGATCAGCTTACCAGAATGTTTCAACTGCCCATACGGAACGAAATTTTTCCCAGAATATGCCGAAAATATTCCCGGACCTTCCACTGGTTCTTTAGCAAATTCTGCCAAAGAGAATAAAATTTATCTCATCGGTGGTTCGATTCCAGAAAAGGATGGTGATGGAAAGTTGTATAATACCTGTACAGTTTGGAACCCTGATGGCGAAATGATTGCGAAATATCGAAAAATGCATCTTTTTGATATCGATATTCCAGGGAAAATAACTTTTAAAGAATCGGAAGTTTTAAGTCCTGGAAATGATTTTGCTACGTTCGATGCATTTTCTATCAAAATTGGACTGGGAATATGCTACGACATTAGATTTGCCGAAATCGGGCAGGTGTATCATAAATTAGGATGCCAACTGCTGTTTTATCCTGGCGCTTTCAACATGACTACTGGTCCAATACATTGGAAATTATTGCAACAGGCTCGTGCAGTTGACAATCAGTTATATGTGGCGAGTATATCTCCTGCAAGAGATGAGAACGCATCATATGTTGCATATGGCCATTCGATGATAATCGGACCTTGGGGTGATTGTGTTGCAAGCGCAGAGGCAGAAGAACAGATAGTATATGCAGATCTGGATTTTACAAAAGTTAGTGAAGTACGAAAAAATATCCCAACTTCACTGCAAAAAAGGTTTGATGTGTATAAATCTTCAGAAAAGACCACTTAGAGATGGTCCGTGGAAAATCTGTATATAATTAATTGCATTTCTAGCTTGTATCTTAGTTTTTGTGCGTGTGAACTTGCCTTTTATTTACAATATACTGCAATAATAATATCAAATGTTTGGGTTAATTTTTGAAACTGTGATATAGTATCCTAATTTGTTAACTCATGAAATCAAAGTGTCATATTTATTTACAACTTTCATATTAGGCATTATACATGTTTAAAAGAATATTATGTGTTAATTATAATAAAATAGATGTTTCGTACATGTCCCTATGCGAGCATTCACTGATGACGATATTCAAGAATCTACAATTTTTGAAATGACCGGAATCTTTCCGGTTGGTATTGGATTTGAACCCGGTATGTGTAACCTATGATGTCAGCATAGTTAATTAATAAGTCTAACATTTAGGTAATGTTTTAGGATGGTAACATGACTTGTCTCTGGTTTTCTTCTTTAAACAGAAGCATACCAACAATTATCTTGTCAAATTATTAAACTGTGACATAATTTATAAAAATTTGACAAATCTATGATTTTGGTACACAGGAAACCAATTTAATACTGATAAATAAATGTTCTAGTTTCACTTTCAATTACTTTTGTTTAATAAAGTTTCTACAGAATTTTCACTAATCAGTCATATGTTAAGTTTAAGATTTTATTTTTTATTTAATGGTATTATATTCTTAGGTGACTAGTGTTTTTGAATTATGTTCCATTAAGAAAATGTGTTGTGAATTTTGACTTGGTGACAAATAACAAATAAAGGTGTTTAGTTTCCCTAAATTAGAACTAATCAAATATATTTTATTTAAATTAGTTGAAAATTAAATAAGAATTAATTTATCATCAATCAGTAACACAATGCATCTTTCAATGGAAGAGTAACAAGGCATCAAATATCACATATTAATTACATTTAATTTCTGGCGAGTGGTTTTGTCAAACCTAAAAACATGTCGTCTTCTCTTTCTTCAAATTCTTCTCTTTTACGAAGACCGAGGCCACCAATTCAGCATCCAAGTAATTTACCACCGATTATTAGTCAAAGAAGTATGGAAAGTGATTTAACAAATCACTCAAGTGAGTATATTTGAGTGTTTAAGGGAGGGAGTTTACTCAGGTTTCAATGGGAAGACTTTCTGCCTCGATATAGCGAGAATTGCATTCATAATTATCCTTAGGGTTAGGTATTTAAATGGCAGAAAGACTCTTTACAGATAGTGTTTAATTGGAACTTGTGTAATATGTGAATTCAAGAATGATGTGAGTAGTAGTGACGGAAGATATTCTTTTAGATTTGGTTTATTTTTTTGTTCATCAGGACAGAAATCACCTTGCCTACCCGGTATCACACTCGGGGTAATGTGGTCAGCACAGAATTGTATTGGAGATTTTGACTGTGACTGCTTTAACTGGGCCACTGCAACCGCTTTATTAAAAACCGATTTTTTGATTCAAATTGAATTACTAAGTTGGTTTCACGATGATTTCTGTAGGCAGATAGTGTTTTTTTTTAAACAGTTTTGCAACATGGGAAAATAATGCTATCTAAATATAATATTAGTATAAACGAATGTATTGAATAATTAAATAAATATTCGCAGGAGTTTCGCCTACAATTCGTCCAATGCCAAGTCTCGCTTCACACCAAGATGGTCTTCAATCACCTGTTCCTACTATGCAATCAGAGTATGATCCGGTGTTTCATTCTCAATTGTCCAAAATTCAAAAAGGACATTCACAAAATGCAGGTTCTGACAATACAACAACAGGTAGCTAACTGAACAATTTTATTTAAAAATTCCATTTGAATTGCTTGAATGAAATTAATAAATGGGCCCCTTTCTTGTGTACAACAATCCACAGCTTTCCAACTAATCACACTAAAAAGAACGGAGCTGACATTTTTATTCTGGATATACGCTTATTTCTGTTGTTTTCTTAAGGTGGTGATACTGGGGATGGAAGCTTGAGTAGGAAGGGTCTTGTTCTTCCATACAAACCTCGTGGACCTGATCCATTTCCGATGAGAGAGCCAAAACGACCAGCAGATGTGAGAAGAGAGTTCATTTTACCTATCGATTCACAAAAAGCTTTGCCTGAATTCACGTAAGTTTTTTTTATTAAGATTTGATTGCTTGTGCAGGGCAATGTCCAAAGCAAAACATGAAGTTAGCTCTTGTATGTACTATTTTGAATATTAACAATGACCCTGTAATATTATTCACTATAATCCTGTACCAATTACTTAGGTTGGAAAATTTTCTCCAAAAAACAAAATACTATTCATCACAACAAAACACTTTAAAGAAAGCTATTCTGTCAAAAGCCAACTACAAGAAGTTGACATTGTAAGTATAAGTTATAGTATCACAGGGTTGATTTTCTAACAACCGATTACCTGGGTATTGAAATATTTCTTTTAACTAACTTTAGGCTTCAGTGGGCTTATGATGTTGATTAGTTAGCTGGTGTAACTTTCATCAAAAACATCTCAAAATAGTTTTTTAAAAATATTGGATTTAATATTCATTCTGGGAGAGAGAAAAGTTTGAAGCATTGGTTGAGTTTGTATTTAAGCACTCAAAACAATTCACTCTTGGTGAGGAAGTTCCTCATGATCACTGACTGACATGGCTCTTGAACTAACTATCAAATGCTGTTAAACAAGCAATTTGAGTGAATTTTACTTTATTTCGAGATTACTCGAGAAAGAATTAACTCAAGGAAATCAGGATGCTGTAAAAACTGTTGATGTCTCACAACAAGCAGAAATCAAGGATTATCAAAGAAGAATACCCAGGAGGCAATTAATGATCGGCAAGTCTATTTATGTTGTTTTGTATATTTATATATGAGATTGATGTGGCAAAACAATTTACCTTCAGGTTATATGTAAGATAGAATAAGATTTTTCATATTTATCCTGGGGAGAAGAACGTCATAAGACGGCTTAATCACATGATGAACCACAGCATCTCGTTTGGTTACCATTTCAATTTGGTTATGCCAACAGTTGATCAGCTATTTAACTCAAATGTATATACCTAATGGTAGAAGAGTCGTAATCGTCATGCGATTACATGAACCAGTCTAGCAATCTTTCGCACATAATTATCATCCACAGGACTCAAGCTTGCAGACCCAAGCAGGGTAATCATTTTGTGTTCCTAATGCTTAGCCAGATGCTCGCCAGATGTTGTTTTACAAAAATTGGTTCATTGTTCTATTATTGGTAGTGTCATCAGTCATGATGAATATCAATATGTGTGCCATTTGAATATTAATTGTCATCAAATGAGACCAAAAATATTTATGTTTTCTGTATAGAAATGAAAAGTATTGTGAACGATCGTTTGAAAGAATTAGGATTGACGTCACCGGGAAAATTTGATGGACGAGCGAATGATGTTGAACAAATATTAGATGAAATAAAAGAAATTGGAGGTTTTTATTATCATCTTTTCTCACAAGATTACATTAATTTTCATCGAAACCGGCCACAACTTTAATAAACGGTTTGCAGCAGACACTTTTGTCAGGTTATACAATATTATTTAAGCCAAGTTCACTTGGATAGGTATTCTGCAAGTTGATTCTCATCAGCATTTGTCAATAGTATAGTTACTCTACCATATAATGATATTTACCATGTCTTTCGGCATTTTTACTTTTTGTCTCCACGAAAAGCTAATTTTTACATATTTTAGTTTCATCGAAATAATTTTCATTTTAGATGCCGAGGGAGTTGGTCGAAAATCACAAATGTCTTTATTCAATAAAGCAACTGCAAATGTATTTCAAGAATCTTTTAACAGACCTGGCTCTGTTTTTGATGGCGAAAATACAGAATCCATTATAACTCCATCTGAATTATCTATTTTAAATTGTCTAATGGATGGAGGATACGTTTTGAGCCTCAAGGTACGATAATATGTAGCCTTTTATCGTTTATTCAATGTTGAATTGCAGCAAAATTACTAGAACTTCATCGGCTCATTATATTGTGTTTTTTTTTTAACTCTCATTTACGGATTCTGATTCTAAGAAGGCCGTGTGTAAGCAGCTACTGAGCTCTCATTTTTCCGAAGCACCGGAATGATTGCGACTTGACTATTCTGGCATCACGATTCGCGGGTTATACATCCTGGGTTCAAATCCCATGCATAAATTGATAAATTGATTTCGCAATGCAAAATCAAAAGATTTCGAACCCCTCCAGTATAATTGCTCTTTACCTATTGTTAGATAGCAGCCGCTTTGTTCAGAGTGAGAAACGAGAAAAAGGGGAGTATGGAAAAAACATTTTCATAAATATTATCATTCTTTTTAGGCTCATTTTATACCTCAAATTCCTGAACTTAGTCCACTTTCTGCTACGTTAGTATACCTAAACCTTTCTTTCAACGAATTTTCCGAGTTTCCAAGAGAAGTCCTCTTCTGTAGAGAATTACAAGTGTTGAAATTAAGAAACAATCCACTCAAGGACTTACCTCATGATATCAGCAAGTATGCAAATTGATTAATTAATAATTTTAATAAGTTTGATTGCGAGCTGAAAAATAATATAGTTTATAACTATGACCTATTTACTTTTATATGTACTTATTCCATTCTAATTTAAACTCGATCTCTATCTCATATAATTATTTTTCAGGTTACAAAAACTCAGAACGTTGATCTTGTCGTTTTGTTGTCTGACTGCTTTACCCGTCTCATTGTTTTCATTGCTGAGATTGGAATTTTTGGACATTTCTTTCAATAAATTAACTTTCCTACCGAATGAAATTAAAAAGCTTGAAAGATTAAGGCAAGTGTTTCCTATAATAGAGAGTTAGACTACTGTTAAGTGGTGTTGGGTGGAAGTCCTCAAATCCTGAGTCTCTAGTCTGAGACCCGGGCCGATTCATACACTGAGTTAGGTCTAGCTGTCAGTTTCAGCAAGTCCGAGACATTGCATTTAGATGCATCGTTTCTTCGAGTCTTTGATATATGGTGACTCGAGTTCAAAGTCAAGTCGAGTCAATGAATCCGCCTACCCAATACTGCTGTTATTAAGAAGATTGTTACTTTGATAACTAAATAAGCAAATCCCTTCTTTACTTAACTACTTCACTCCGGAGAATTGACTTTCTACATCTGATATTTATTTATTATTCGCGCTCGTTGCTTATTTTTGCCTGCGGCAATATTGATATATTTTGTTGTTTATGTGACAGATTAAATAAAATTTCGAATACACCACAAGCAAACATGTTTTGTAGCAAATTGCTTTATATACCTTGCTATATTTATTGGTTCAAATATCTCGCATCACATTTATGCAAGTTTTTATTCGCTAACATTTTGTCCGATGAAACATCAATCTTCTATGATTCATGGCCTCCTAACAACACTCAACAGTTATGGCCCTCTATAAAATATTTCTTTTTGCATTTAGCGATTCCATCAGTTGTTTTATGGACAGCATTTAATTAAAAAAACTAATAAATGAAAGTAATTAAAAAATAAGTCAAATAATTAAATAAATCGGAATCATTGAATTTACAATAATATAGTCATTGCAAATGGTACCTAGCAAAAGTCACCTGAGAGAACTGTATCGTTTCCCCCAGGGCAGTCGAGAGCTCAGTTTGAAAACCATGTGTGCAAAAAGTATAATGCAAAATAGGTAACAATGTTAAACTTATTTAAATGAGAAGTTTTTAGTCGCATGCAATTTCAACCTTCAATTTTCTTTTTATTTTATTGAAAAAATAAATTTGCTTTGCAGATTTTTAAATGTAGAAGGCAATGAATTACCTGGTCTTCCGTGTGGATTACTGAGACTTAACCTGTTTCGTATTCGAGTTCGGAATAATTTCATGAGTCCGTTGTTTTGGAAAGAGAATGCGAAAAACGATCCACAACGATTAACCGATTTATGCTTACTTCAAGTGAAAGTCCATGTTGTGAAGCAAGATGGTGATAAAATGCAACGACTACCACCAGATGTGATGCGATCCATTCATAGGTTTCTTAACTTCAAATATTTATTCAATTTTTGTCACTGTGTCACCTGCAATGCAGTTTTTTAAGGGAATTGGCTCAAAGCAAGGTCATGCACACTCACTCGAAAATAAAAAAAATTGATCGAGTGACCACTAAAATACCAGGAATTAGTGTAGAATTACCCATTAGTAAATGACTATTGATGCAAATATCTAGAGCAGTTTATGTCAATATGATCAGAAAAACAGCTACAAGGTAATGAATTGCAGTGCCTGGAAAAAATCTTTCCTTGTAATATGATTTGTATTGGTTGAAATATCAAATCAGACTAAGTTATATCCAGAAACATAAATTTGGTTTCTGGTTTTTTGAAGTTTTCATTATCAATTATAATTCTTTTTTATCCTAACAATTACTTTTCTGTTCTCCCAAAAAGTGTAATTCTCGAATGAAGATCGTAGTTTTTTTTATACGACGCTTATTCATTCGCACAAGGCAGCCTTAGTGAGATGGAGGCATGGAATTTTAACCGGAAATGCGTAATCTGCATGCTATTATAGTGATATAATATTTGAATAAGTATATGTGTAAACATTACTTAGTAACCTAACTTTGTTTTACATTTCAGTTTCAAACCATGCGATTGTTGCAATGGGCCGCGATATGGACCAGGGTTGAAAATAGTCCGGCCTTGCTCTGAAATCTGGGGAATCAAAAGAATTCCATTTATTTTCAAATCTTGTTCTCCGTCCTGTTATTCAAGATTTGTACACAACACTGATCCAAAGCTAACAGAAATTATTTATGGAGCATCAGAAGAAAAACCTGCTACTCCAATTAAAGAGGATGACAGTGTAGGCAGGCCTCCTTCGCCTAGAGATGGTGCCATCACAGCATAGCTGTCTTAATATCTGCTATTTATATTATTAAACTGTGTCAAATTTGTATATATTTGAAATTTTTTATCTAATGTACCAAAACCATCTTTTTTTTAATATACAGCGATACTAACATTAGTGACCAATGTTTCTTTCATCTTTGTCGACTGTGCACTTACACTTATTTCAACACTGTTTGTAACAAATATTGATATATTTCAAGATTCAATAAAGTATTATTTTCTTAATTATGTGTTTCATGGTAAATTTGGTAAGTGAACATTGACCTTTGGGATTGCACCTCTGATTACCGTAAGTTCAAGTCACACAGGATAATTATGTATGAGAGGATTCCTTGACTCGTCGCAGGGTATGCATCTACTATTCCAATGTGGGACATGGATGGATGAGCTGATGACGGGAGGTTGTGTTTCGCCATCTTGTTGACCTCCCTTGTGACAAATATGAAATTCCTATTCCAACTGGGGAATGCTACTAGGAGACCTATTTCGAGCCTTGAAAAGTTTCGATAGAACTTGTTAAATGTGACAATAATCACTGGCTGAATTAGGATAGTCGCTCCCACCATTTTGCTTTGGGCAATGCTACCAATATTCCTGAAGAAAGTGCTCATAGTAATTCGAATCCATGCTAACTGTGCTTTATAGTTATTTTGGAGATTTGTCAAAGTGACACAAGTTAGCAAATACAGAATCACAGACTTTGCATGTTTATTATAGACTATAATTTAAAGTTGATCAATATAAAAATTCCACAAATACATAGTAATCTAACAGAAATTCACAGTAAATTTAAACCAAAGTAAAATTTCATCATGTATTTTCTGGTGACAGTGAATACACCATTATTCATTTATAAGAAAGTCAGTATTGAGTTTGAGCACAACTTCAAATGTACCGGTATATCAATTATAAGAATTTAATATTTCTAACGCTATAGATTCTTTTATTGGCCATATTTACAGTGTTGTGTTTTGGGAAGACTGGTTATTAGGACCAGTTATTTTTTTGTCTGTATTAGACATAGATTCTCTTTATAAATAGCTTTGGTATAAAAAACAGCGAATCTCGAATAAAAAAGTGATTGCATATAGTTTACACAAAAATTAACAGTGGTTAAGTTAAAATCTATGAAGTGCAATTTGAAGTAATCCATATTGTAAAAACACAGGAAAAGGAATCCATAATTTAAATAAACGCATTCTAGTTGCATGAGTAATTATTGCATTACTACTTTTGAGTTGATTCGCTTGATGCAAACGAACTTGTGATGCTTGAAAATAGGAACATGATTTGCATTGAGGATATAACTTCCCTACAATAGATTTGTTTTGTTTCAAATATTGTTCTGCAAGTGCGACAGGTGGGTTGTGATCAGCAAAATAGTCAACTTTGACCCTCGAAGACGAACCAAAAAGCTTCTTCCATAGCTTAGAAGCAGTAGATTCAAACCTATTATAACGTTTTCCACATGTGTGGCATCCATGTCTTTCTCCAAGAAGCTGGATTTTCGATAAGTGATTCTTTGTGACCCTTGCGGTTAGCGTTGACAACGCAACATGCTCAACAGCAAATGCACCAGGATGCAGAATATGACTCGGACACAAACTCTTCAAACGCCCACCGAAAAGCTTGAATACAATAATAGTGAATGTAGCATAAGAGCATGTATTAAAAAAAGTCTCCTTTTCATCTTTACCAATAAAATAATCCAATTCTCTCGCATTGATATGCTTTTCGACGATAACAAACGATGTCGCCGCACATGCACTAGCAACGGTTAATGAAATTGCTCCACATAAAGGTGCAATTTTCTTGTTTGCAGTAACTCTGATAGGTTTCCATACAAAATTCTGCATAAGTCCCAATATGGTTGGAAATGTCGCCATCCCAGCGAACGAAGACAACAATAATTCAGCTCCTCTTTGTAGAATGTCTGCTCTGAATTCACTGTCTTCTGCCATGGCTAATATCTTCTGATTCTTCATTTTTTTTCACTCAATGAATAGTTAAATTAACAACCTAGGGAGACATAATATTTTAATAAAAAAGTGTATAAGAATACTGCAGGAAAAAATTATATGAATACAGTGAGAGATATGAAATAAATGCTTATAAAAAAAATAACAGTGGTAATATTGCGGGCACTAATTTTTTGATTGACATGGATGATCCGCATATTGTTGCAGCAGAACCAATATACCTTATGTCACATTTTAAAATTGTGCGAAATTTATTTTCTAATTTTGAGTTATCAATGACTTCTCTAAACCTGTACAGGGTAGGAATGTGATATTCCTCACAAAACACCATACAAGTATTGCACAAAAATTGTGTGTTTGAGGATAGATGGAGTACACCCCCATATTTTATTTTTATTTCGGACATGGAACTACTTCACAGGTCACAATACCGAAATTGGGACATATTATCTAGATATCCACCTTAGAATATCGGGTAGTGTTATCAAATCTAGAGAAAACGAACAAGTCCATCATGACAGAAAAAAACTATTTCATAAAAAATGTGACATAAGCTTTTGATTTTACGCAGGCAATATAATTATTGCAAATAGTAGGAGTAGATTTCAAAATCATATTTTAGCAATTGAAGATTCGTAATTGAATATGTCATAAAAACTTCAAAATGATATTTTTTGAAGAGCGTTTTGCAGAAAACCATATTGAAATAAAATTGGAAAAGGTACCCATAATTTAAAGAGCCGTAATCTTGTTGCATGAGTGATTATTGCACTTTTATTTTTTAAAACATCGTTACTGTAAGCTGGAAGAGTCTTTGAAATCTCAAGACGAGAACAGGATTTGCATTGTGGGTACTCCATTAACATGAAGAGTGGATCTTCGTTTGGAATTTTTTCGTTCGAAATTCTCAGCAACAATCTTTTAAGTACAGAAATGAATCCTTCGATTTTATTGCCACGTTTGCCACAAATGTGGCATCCATGTTTTTCTCGCAGAGCTTTCAATTTCATCATGTGAGACTTAGAGACGACAGTTGTTTCCGGTAGGGGTAAATCTTCATTAGCGAAAGCACCGGCATGCAAAATATGACTAGGACAAAGATTTCTTAGGCGACCTCCCAACAATCGAAAACTTATCAAAGCGAGAACAGTATAAATAAAAAAGTTGAAGACAAACTCCATTCTACTTTTGCATACAAATATGCCTCGCTTATTTCCATTCAGAAGCATTTCAGTGAGAACAAAAGCAAAAGCTGAACAAGTGTTTGAAATGATTAGAGTCACTATTCCACAAAGTTTTGCAACTTTTCTGTGAGCTGTAACATTAATAGGCTTCCATACGTAGATTTGAAACAACCCCAAACATATTGGAAACACCAGAATTCCAGCCAAAGTAGCCAAAATCAAATCCATCTGAAGCTTTCACATCAATCCATTGCTGCATTCAATTTTATATGTTAATCTCACTAGTATTAATGATCTAACAGTAAAAAAAATGTGAAACGTTATTGAAATAGGGCATAAATCAATAATAAAACCAAGAACGTGCACTAACAAAATGAAATCTCCGAATGATAGAAAAACAATGCTGTGCACAAAATTACTGGCAATGAAAAGCAAAATCCACTTAAAATTGTTCATCATGATTGATTGAGTGGGTCAGGCATAACATGTTACAATCGAAACAGAAATTTTGAAAATATAATCATATGAAAACAAAATACAATGTTTATACTCAATTCACTACATGATCAATCAGGAATCCACAATGAGAGACACAATTGTCTAGAAATCTGAACTTTAGGCTCGGTAATCTGTATTGTGCTAAGCGTTGGTCGCTTGTCATCGCACCTCTGATTACCACAAAAACCTGTGGAATACAATTATGTACAAGAGAATTTTTGGACTCCTCACCGTTGCAGGATAATTCACGTAAATCAGGTTGGTCACAGCTAGATTGAAGCATTAACTAGGCAAAAAATTCACCAAAACAACATGATAACAAAAAAAAATTAAAAATCAGATGAAATCACAAAATTGAATTGAATGCCATTTCTGAGGAGTTATCGATCATAGTGAACTTGGGACGGGTCTTTCATTGTTTAATATAATGAGTAAATACGTTTCCTACTTTTGAATTAAACGACATGCTTGCCAAATTGAAATCATATAGTAATAGTAAATGAATCTCTTAAATCACACAAATGCGTGGATTTGAATCAAATAAAATAATTTATGTGTAAGGGGATTACTCGACTCAACACTGCAACATCAGCACAGCACGCTCCATCATCCAAGTCCGAGTATTTGTACATTGGACCTTGACTGGCAACTGAAGAAGAGACCTGCGCCTGGGTCACCATAACATCAAGTTTTTAATTGTTATCAACAAATTATAGCACGTTAATAAATAATATAAGCTTAGTGGAGTTTAAACTTCACTACTGATTGCATTAATAAGATTGTGCAATCATAATAAAGTTATGCTCTTGTAAGAGAGTTAAAGTCTGATCGAGTAAATTCAGTGAACCAGTGAACATCAAAAAAACATTCAATGTAGAACAGAAATAGCCAAAACAATTTACTATTACAAATGAATTCTGAAAAAATATTGGATGGTATATGAAATATCAAACACATTCTCAATTTAGACATCAATTACCAATAAGTTTATGTTCATAAAATTGAAATTTGTTTATATAGAAAAGGAACAGAATTCTATGATACCCTAATGACATTTTGGTTTTTAAATTCTCAAGATTGAAAATTTTGAAATTTAACTATGGTATACAAAATTCTACTAAGAATAAAAATACACCATATTAAATATATTTAATTTAGAATGTATTCCAATATTCAATTTGTGTGTGGCCCCTTGGTCAAAGCTGAAAAAATTCCAGTTCTTTCAAAATAAAGTAGTTTCATACATATCAGTGACTTTGTATATAAAAAAAGAATTGTTCTGAAAATCTTTGCTTTCAGACATAAAATTTCGTAAAATTCCTGACAAAAATTCAACTATTTGTGAAGATTACTATTAATAGAATTGCACCATTTACTTAAAATAATTAAACCGTCCTGTGTTGCTTCATAATACGTAGTAATATTAGGTTTCGACGGAGCACCAAAAAGTTTCTTCGGGCCAGGGGTTTCGATGATATGTTTGGTAATACATCCAGTTTTGCACAAAATTTCCAAAAGTTGAAGAATGCAAATTGGTTGAAAACTGTATGATGCACATAAATGCTGTTGGGTTATCCCAGGTGAGGCAAAAATTTTCAGATATACGCTGAATAATATTGCCTTCGCATTATTGAAACTCACATCTCCACCTATTGTGTGCCATGGTCGACATAAAAACTTCACCTCTTGATATTTCTTTTTTATTTCAGTGTTTACGGATTGTGTTAAATTGATGTTACGTTGTTCATCTTCATTCGTTTTCATCGGTACTTTTTCATTTTGATGTAAAAGTTCGATTTCGTGACTAATTTCGTCATGGAATTTGGTACTTCTGTCGCAGAAACGAAAGCCTTTTGCAGTCCATATTTGTACATGATTGTACGTAACATATCTTGCTTCTTTCACACCAACAATAAAAACAACATTATTGGCTTTCATAATATTTAAAGCCTCTTCGATAGCTGTATTGTCATGCAAATCGGCTAGTGCTAAAATTTCAGGTCCTGTGATTCCAAGTTGTTCGGTGTTGTTAATAATTTGAAATATAAGTTTGAATATGGCTCTCTGTCCACCAACAGATTTTTGTAGCATTATCCAATTACTGTTACTCTCTGTATGTTGTAGTTTCACACTTTCCATTCCTCTTGTTATTCTCTGAGCAAGTAAGTCTAAATCCTTTTCTCCGTTGGTGCCCTTAAGTCTTGCTACCTTAGCATAATTCAACAGCAAATTTTGACTGTCTTCAACTGTGACAGTACATGGATTTAAAACAACAGAGTCTGAGTTACAAGAATAATTTAAGTTCGTAAACTTTGCATCTGATACTTCACCACGGCGACTTGGATTGATTAGCATTAACCAATTGGTGTACGATGGATGTCGATAATACAACCGTAATACTTTTTCGAGTTTAGTCTTTGAGTTGGATGGATCGTTATTATCTCTCAAAGTTTTCGAATTGTCTTCTAATATGGAATTAGAATCTGCAACAGAAGAACTTGTGGTTGTTGGTGGCAGCATACAAGCTGCGGCTGCAATGAGACTTTCGGGAGGGGCAGAATCATCTTTGGAATTTGATGATAACATACTACTTGCTTCATTAAAAATTTCATCCTTGCTTTCTTTGATTATTGCTAGGAATTGATTCTCGAAAACAGGCATGTTCGGAGCATCAGGAATAATAATTTGGTCAGGCATGTCAATTTTCATCTGTAAATCTCCTTTTGACAATAAATATGAAATTAAGAAAATATGTCCCACATTGGCAGCTGAATCAATTTTCATATCAGATGTCTGAACAATGGAAAGTGACAAATCTTCTAGTGCTTCTTGGGGTACAACTGCTTTGAAAGTTTGTATATAGGCTTGTGCCAAGCGATGTGACCGTATTCCAAAAGGTAATCTTCGAAGCATCTCTTGTTTTGCACAAACGAAGCCACTTGTTTGCATGAGTGTGAATACTTTACTCAAAATATCTTCAGGGAATGACTCAAATGCCCTGTACGCTTGATAAACGCTGAATTCCTCCTCGCCCATTTGTAATGCAACATATGTCATATTTTCTATTACAGCATGTGTAATATCGGCATTACCCCTCACATGATCCAAGAAGAGATTCCTTTTTATTTGAATGTCTTCGCTTTTACGTAGAATAGTTTTCGGAATATATCGTTTCAATAACTCAGAAACAGAATTGGGAATTTGAAGACTAAATATTCCAGGTTGCGACTTGAATCTTACTTGTAGAAGCTGAACAATTTGCGAATATACTTCACGTAAAGCAGCGGCAGTTTCTTGCGTATCCAAGTCACCAGATGGTATTTTGAACTGTTTTATAAACTTCCTATCACTTTCAATATCAGCAACAGATATATCATGGCATATTCTAGTTTCTGGATTTCTCATAATGTTTAGAGTACGACGTCCAACAGAGTAAGAAGTTTTATCGAGTGACTCTGGAAGGTGACGTTGAGAGATATCGCGAATTACGGACCACGGCGTCAAACATTTTCTCGGCCCGTGTTGCTTCTTCCAGAATAAGTGCGTCAGAACTGTGGTCGCAATGTGGCAAATTAACAGCATTGAATCTTCTGCTGGAGTGAAATTGACACGTAATCGGCCTTTTCGTTCCTTTATTGCTTCCAAATCCTTCCCATCAACGTATTTATATTTTTGTCTGCCTTTTTTAACTGTTTCAGGCTTTTTTCTGCCCCTTCTCCTTACCTGCATTCTCAGTTTTTTCATTGGAATTTCCAATTCAACGGATTGCTTTTTCCTTTTCTTCCACGCCCTCCCTTCACACGTTCGTTTCGTCCAACATTATTTACGGTAACAAGTTGAGGTTCTGATGTATTTTTATCTTTACCAGCTGATTTTGTAGCTTTATGTGATTTCTTAGTCTTTGCTTTAGTGCTTTCCGCAATATTAGAACTATCTGTTAACATGCTCGAATCACTGTTCTGATCCAAAGTAAAAGAAATATCAGTTTCATCTTGAGACTCGACCACTTTCTTTCTTTTTGGTGTAAGAGAATAACTTTTCTCTCGTAATTTAGGCAAACGTAAATGTGAAATGCCAGCTTTTCGTTCCATTGCTTCCATATGTGGTTTTGATCTCCAATTTCTGTATAAATAACTATACATACTAGAATCTAATCCTCCTGCACCTCGATTATCACCGGGAATCGTTGAATCATCAGCAGGCTTGGGTTGATGCTGAGTGATGAAAGTTATGTATTTTTTCAATTCTGCCGTCCCTAAGTGATCTTTGATGTCGTCATAATCTGATTCTTGGAATTGTGTAAACCTAGGTTAGTCTGCACGCAAATATCTTGTAATTGAAACCAAAATTCTTCTACATTTACAAACTCGTTTAAAACAATATTAATTTTCTCATAATCCTTGTTTTCTACTTTAACATGTTGTTGTCCAGATGACCTAGTATCCAAAATGGAGACGTTTTTGTGCACGTATATTAACATATTTTCTTTCGGCATATTTACATTTGTGCCTGACCTACCCCGACGCATTGTTATTAAACCCATAAATGTAAGTTGCTCAATGCAAAGCATAAGAGAAAACATGTATTTTCTTTTGTAAAAAAGCAACGAACGTATATCTTGCGGAAGATGTCTTACAAGTGTATGGCGTTTTTCTTCATCAGCTAACCATTCGTCAATATTTTGGACCTCATAATTTATCCGATGAAACTGACAAAATATAGACAACGGCAAAATGGTAGCTACGTCACCGAGTTGCAACCATTTTACACCATCATGGGTATGAACTGGTACTGGAGGCAAAAATCTTTTCCAACTAATTTCTTTGCAATATGTACGAAATGCATCAGGGTCCTGAATTCCCATTTCAGGTGACCAGTCTATTATGTCAGGATGGCCGTATAATAAATACCAAAGTATTTCATGCACAACACGTACTCTTTTGAACTTCGGTTGAAAAAATTGCCTGGTCATTACATTTCCCATATTTAATACTGACATTGTGTCCATACCATATCCAAAATCTTTGTCCTTTGTATTTCTTCCTTTCGCTTTTACTACTTCTTTATTTTGTTGTTGCTTTTCTCGAGCAAATCGATTTTCTTCATCACCCAGTAGTTTAAATCTTGCTTGATCAACAGCAGATTTCAATAAATTCACTGGACAATCCAGAGCCATGATGAAATGAAAATTTTCAGTTCGACAATTGTGTGTAATCGGTATTACACTGTGTTGTATAATACCGTCTTGATTCATTCTTTCCACAAGCCTCATTACCGTCTTTTTATCAATTTTAGTCGTACATCCTTCCTCCTCTTCAAATTTAGCTAACGCTTTTTGTAAATCGCGGAATCCTTCTATTATTTTTTCATCGTTGAGAAGTTCTAGAACGTTATTATGTCTTTTTAATTTTCGAGCTGTAAGATGTGCATGCCATTTTCTCCTATGTTGATGGCTGGGAGTTAATAAACGATTTTGAATTAAACTATCAAAGATATTCACTCTACTGGGAGACTCTAAAACGGAGCTTGAATTAGTTTGAATAACTTCATTTGAACCCTCATTAGGCAAGGTCATAATGGTTGTTTTTGTTTGCTGTAAACATTCTTTCGCATCGCCAGTTTCTTGTTGAAAAACATTTGTTGATGTACTTATATTTGCATCACTTATATCCATGGTGCAATTCATACTTTCTTCAACCGAAGAATGGATAGCTGGAGTATGTTTATCTGAAGACATTACTGTTTCATCCAACAATCTTTGCATTTTTTCTTTTTCGTTAGAAAATTCTAGATTTTTGTAATTAACAAGTGCTTGATGTTTCGGATAAAATGTTTGTACTCTCTGTTTTCCTTGATCAACCAGTACGCCACTTACAAGATCCATACGATTAAATGTTTTGCATAAATTACGAGCTTCAAGTCTGCCGTAACCTTTTAAAAATTCAAGTATTTTTCGTTGAGTTACACCTTCTTCTCCATTATCAAGGACATACATATAGCCTTGATAAATAAAAGGCTGTTCCAAAACTAAAGGCCTAATTGAAGACTTAGAATCTGATGTAAATATTTTTAAAATATCCTCTTCGTCATCATCTTCTGTGATTGCTTCACAAGGTTTATTTAGCAATGTTAATTTCAATTCAGTTATGGTTCTTTTCTTTGCTGTTGGGTTAACTGATTCAACAATACCCTCGCCAGATTTGACAAGGTTTTTATACAAAGTTTTGAAAGGGCGAGGTTCAACTTGCAAACGATCACGAAGTTCTGACAAAATAATAGATTTATCAGGAAATCCATTCACAATTTCACGAATTTTGTCGAGCATTCTCATATTAAAGTCACGACAATCACGTTCAAATCTTGGTGAATGAATCAAAACCTGAAAAAACGTTCTGTTACCCATATCTGCACGTTTATATGTTCGATTATTTTTAATAACAAGACCAAGTTTAGAAAGACTGTTTATAACATAGTGAATATGACTGATTCCTTTTTCCTTAAAATTCAATTTGTTTAGTGCAGACTGAAGCTCCCCTTGATATCTCGATCGACAAATTCGTTCAAGTACACAGTATGCAACATCAGTCAGTCCCGATAAAACGGTTGGGTTGTTATTTTTATGCAGCATCGCTTTTTCTCTCAATGCTTGCGATGCAGCAATAACCAATTTCCTAGCTCCAAACTGGCCGAGAGTCGCATCAAGACCGGATCGTGCAATAGCAATGATATGTGAAATATTTATTCTTTCGTTATAGTCAGAGCATGATCCTCTAACTTCAGCGTCCATAACCGCTGCTGTGCTGTAGACGTCAACTAAGGTTTCCAATTCATCAGGAGCTGTAGCAGCTGGAATTGAACTTGAGCCTAGATTCTCAAATCTGTCGAAAATCGTAGGTTCACTGCGATCTTCGAGTATCTGATAACATTCCAATGATTCGTGTTGAACAATGAAATTCCATAAATATTCCTTTACACAATTATTTAGTTTGATCGGTAAATTGCGATTTTCTAGGCGAAGCCATAAGGCAGGAAGAGTAATTCCATCTAGGCCTTCTAATGCTATTTCATCAAGGCAAATTTCTTTGATATCCATTTTGTAGAATTTTTTATTAGTATTTTCTCTATTTTAACATCTTTATAGTAAAAACATTGCATAACAATATTTTCTGTTTTAAATATAGTAAAAATGATTCATGGAGTAAGTAACTCACACCATTACAAATTACAATATTTCAAATTATAAAGTAAGTTAAAAACCTGTAATAGTAATTAGTAATGTAATATGATAACATAATATGGACTCATATTTTATGATTGATCCATGTACGGCCATAATTAAATTAAAAAGGTTGCTCCACAACTGTATATTAGCACATATTAGCACAAGTCTATATGGCGACAACCAAATATTAATATAGTGGGTTTGTTTGTGAAAAAGCGACATCAAGTTTATTAAGCAAAAAATGAAAAATATTTGAAAATTTGAAGAGAAAGAAAATCTCAAAATTACATGCTTAACAAAAACATAAATCTGTAAATATTTACCTCAAATTTTAAAGCAGTAAAATTAATCAATTCATCAATTTAGACATTTCAATAATTATTTATCTTACAATATTCAGCGATAGGCATATTTCCGTACTGAAACCTTACTAATACGTTAATGGTACCGCACATTTTTTTTGGCAAATTGAATTCCAGAGCCAATAGATATGGAATTATTTATGGTAATTACATTTTTTTCATGCCAATTTAGGTGTCAATTTTTGTTTTATTTATCGATTTTTTTGTTTTGTTTTGAAACCATTTGCATGTATTGAGTTTCTAATTAATTGTAAAAAAAATAAAACAGTTGTAGACTATATTCAATTGATTATACATATGAAATCCAATGTTGATAATCCAGTATTCGTCATAGGCCTGTATCCATTTGTATTGAACATTGTAAACAATCCATCATAGGCATAGCATTATTATAAGGCTAATGTAGATGAATAATTATTTATTTTTTTATATTAGCATGATAAAAGAAAAGATTTCAAAAAATTAGACAGAAAATTCGAAAACCTATCATGCTACTAGTTTTTTTATTTTCTCTGTCTACGTTATACAAACATTTATATAGACAATCCTCCTAAATTAGGACAATCTAAATTTCTTTACTTTCAACTCATTATCGATTTTTGTAGTAAATCATCCACGATTTCATCAAGTATTACTCTTTGCCTTTCAAAATTAGTCATTAATCTAATTACATCTATGAGTTTACATTTAACTGTTTAAAGATAGCTCGCAAGTTACATTGCATTTCAGCATTTGGAGTACATCATCATACTGTCATATTTAACACTATTCCTGAATTCCCATACTGCCATATGGCTGATTTTACACATTGAATGATTAATGAATGCTTCACTATGAATATTATTAGAAATAATTATATCACAATTGATTTCCCTTATATTGCACCACTGCCAAAGGTCTAATGTCCAATCACAATACAGCAATAGGATAGGATTCACATATTTATCCCGGGGGAGAGGAAAGCCGATAAGACGGCTCATCCATATGGCGAACCACGGCCTCTCGTCCGGTTACCATTCCAAGTCGGGTATGGGATTAGTTTTTACTGTATTGTTTGTTTTGGGAAGCATGGACTTGGTGGTGGAGGAAGCCGTAACCGACCAGCGGTTACGTGAACCACCCAACGACGGCGAGGAGTCCAGCAATCCTCTCGCACATAACCATCCCTGCATGGGATTCGAACCTGCGAACCCACGCAGAGTAGTTAGAGGTGCGGTGGCGAGTGTATTCCTAACGCTTAGCCCGTTGAGCCACTCCGCCGCGCCTAATAACAAAAAATAACAAAATAAATGCATAGGGCCTACAGTGTTTTTTTCATTTTCATTACAAAATACACTTTTTTCATCATCAAACCAATATTTTAATTTGTCACCTGTCAGCCTGTAAGTACTTATTTTCTTGGTAGATGAATTAGAGTTAATAGGTCAGTACAGCAGTATTACAGTATTATGTGTACCGTACCGCGCATCTTTGTTTAACCATTGATGCATTGCATTTGTCAGTTCGTATAAGCGTGGTTGTTCACTATCTTACAAAACACTGTTTGTTTACGAAATCTGCAAATACAGAAATACAGACACACCTGCATTAGCTGCATACCTGTACCTAATACACGCCACAAGTTTCTGAGTTTGGCGCCGCAGCACCAGGTAAACGTTCAATGTTGATTTCTGATATTGTTAATCAGGCTTCCCGCTTTATTTCGGGACAAACTGATATCCGGTATGCGCGAGAATCTCTCAGAATTATTACCACACGGCGGACTCATTTGTGCTTTGTGCCCACCTGTGTCCTTTATAGGCCATCGTGATCCTAGCGAAATTGCGGCGAAATATTTTACCCACAAATCTCAGCAGTGTTCACTTCGCACTTTGCCTGTGTGTACATTTGCTATTTGTCTTGCGAGATAAATGTGAACAAATGTTTCCAAAACCCAACGTACTTTATTAGGCGAATGTCTTTTCAAGTAATATTAGTTAAATTAGATTTGGATACCAAATGTTATTTTCGTCGATCTTGTGCGAAAAAAGTATTTCAATCAAATGGTGATTAGCATCTCTACTGACTTAACGTATTTCAAGCAATTCTATTTATATGACATGGGATGTTCTTCGAGAATTCGTGTATTGACTATGGTTATTTACTAACTGGATGTCCATTATTATTAATTTTTATAAGATAAAGCTCCGCTAAATATACGGTAATTAGGAATTTCAGTATTTGCGTATATATTGCTTTCTGATAACCAAGCAATCAGGATTTCAAAATGGAGGACAAAATACCCGTCGATGGAATGGCTCACTCATCTGAATTACTTAAAGAGTTGAACAAGTAAGTTCATTCTAGTTATACCTTAGTGACATCACATGAATAGAAGTGGTTTTAATGTCTGACTGATTCCATAAAACAGTAACATAATCATTCCTTTGAAATTTTAAGACCACCATTGTTGAAAATATTTATGCACACAAGTGATATGGTTTTTTGACTGAGGTGTCCAAGCCTGGAATTTCCAAAAGGGGGGTTTTGGAATTTCTAATTACCAAGTTAGATCCAAAAAACTTGGGGTTTCTGGGTTTCGAGAGTCCTAAGGGCTGAAAGGTTTATAAAGCGTTTCAAGGGTTCCTTTACATTTGAACCGACGTACAGTCTGAACCCGTGACAATTGGGGTCTCATGTAGTTTCGTACGAACGCATGACAATTGGTGTCTCGTGTAGTTTCGTACCTAATCCACTTCTAGTGGGCGTAGCATAACAATTTTTTGAAATATCAATCCTAACCCCCACCTGACTACGCAATCCAAAAACGATGTCACTACGACGTCACAGTGACGTAATAGAGCCCTTCAAACTATACGAACAGTTGTCCAAGACGCGCAGACGAGCATCCGAAATCGAATAACTATTTCTCTCATTTTCTTGCCGCAACGATCCCAATATGAGAGAGATCGCTGACATTAGTCAGTTCTTTATCGACGGCACCGATGCCGTTTCGGACGATCGTATGTATATTTGACAAACTCTATGACGTGATTGTGACATCGTAGTGACGTAATTTTTGGATGGCATAGTCAGGTGAGGGTTAGGATTGATATGTCGAAAAATTATTGCGATACGCTCACTAGAAGTATGTTATGTACGAAACTATACGAGACCCGACAATTGCACCTGCATACCAGTGCACCTATGGAATTTTATTGTTTTACAGATATTTGAACCCATACTAACCCATGGTTTTTAGCACTCGCTTATAGATTGAACCCACGGATATACACATGGGTTCAACTGTACGTGGGTTCAAATGTACGGTCACCATTTCAAGCAATGGAAAATTGTATGATACAGAAAAGATCCTGTCATTTTTATGAATATTTTATTGAATTGGGTGGCAACTGACTCTGATGACCCCTAAAGGGGGTATCCTTGCCTCCCAGTCATGTACCGAAAACATTTGTTTATTTGATATCTATATATTTGAATTTATATTCACATCACTTTGTAGGAAACTTTACATTTCCCAATGTTTCTCCAAAATAACTAAAAATTATAGTTAAGTAGCTCCAGAAATCTTGTATGAATGAGGCAATTTAAATTGTGACTGGGATCTATATTAATATTCATATTATATTGAAACCATATTTTGTTAATGACTGTATTTTTAGTTTGAGAAAACGTGGTGAGAACTGTGATTTCATAATTCGAGCAGGAGATCTGGAATTGCCAGCCCATAAGAATGTTCTTAAAGCAAGTTCTCGTTATTTTAGAGCAATGATGGCTCATGATGTAAGTAAATGTTTTCTAATTCATTGGTTGTATCGTCTAGATCAGCGGTTCCCAAAGTGGGCGAAAACGCCCCCTTGTGGGCGTTTACGATAACTTGGGGGCGCTGATGGCGATTTGGGCAATTGGGGGGCGCTTTCTGCCAAACTGGGCGATTGGGGGGCGCTGACATCAATACGGGAGCTCGCAAGAAGTGTGATAATTTATGTCATTTACTCCTATGTTTTGGTTCAAACAAGTTTGCTTGTGATTTCGGTGTTGGAAACTTCTCGCTTAAGCAGCATTATTAACTGATTTATATTAAAAACAGTATTATACAGCGTGATCCCAAAAAATGGAACCATCAATTTCTCGATTACTTCTACGAAATGGAGTGAATTAATTCATTTTGTCTACACTTGAACTTCTGTGTACGATGTTTGTACCCAAAAGTGTCGGAGAATCTAGAACGTTTTGCACAAAAATTATGTTGATGTTCCAAATGCTCTTCTCGACATTAAAAAAAAATTGCATTCTTCTTGGAACATTGTCAATCACTCTTCTTTGGGTTTTTCTCTATTTTATTTCTGCAATCGCAGCCTTGAGTTTACCAATCGTTTAAAGATTGTCCTTCGAACATCCTACATATCAGAATCTGAGAGATTCCATTCCGATAATTAAGGTGCCCACGGGATGCCATTGCTGACTTTTCCTCCAGGAAAGCAAGCGTCTGATTTGATGTATGAGGGGTCATGCTGGAACTACTGCTGGTCATCTCTATCAATCCCTCAAATCATGTCCAGATTTTTCTTGGCACAACCACGTAATGTTCTGTATTCACTGTTTGAATTCTTTAATTTTCATGTCCCAACAGCAGAAGGTGCGCTTCGGCAGAAAACTAAGTGAGTGGTTAAAAATTTTGCAAAACTTCCAAGTATAATCATACGCAAACAGAAGTTCATGGGTTTATACTGGGTTACTGGGTTTATACTTTCACACCCATGTTCAAGTCTTTCAGTGTTCCTTTTTTTGCAACAGAATCAAATTGAAATATCCCAACGTGTGAGACCCGTCAAAAGTTTTTTAATTGCTCTTGCCAGCTCATTCATGGTAGATCGTGTATTTAGTGCAGTGACCGCACTTTTACATGTCAAGAGAGATTCCCTTGACAGTGTCAGACGAGACTCAAGACTGTTTTTAACTAAAATGAAGCCAGATATTATTCAGCTGGTGGTATTTCACCAGGCTCAACTTTCACAATATACTAATGATAAATGGAGAATAAAGTTGCTTCGACTTTTTTGTCAGGGGGGCGTTTGCTACTTAAAAAGTCGTCTAAGGGGGCGCTGTCAGAAAAAAAGTTTGGGAAACACTGGTCTAGATTCTAAATATAAATATAGTCGTACCATTAATATTTATTATTTTTTATGACATTTGAATATCTTAAAAATGAGTAATCCTGATATTCTGTTACACTTAATATCAATCAGGGCAATTACAATAAATTTCTCTATTTTTGATGCGAGTCTCACATAGACCCTATTTATTTATCAAAAATCTCATAGTTGAATAAAGCAAACTCAAATTCATAATTTTGTTTTCAGAATATTGAAACTCAGTCTGGTGAAGTTGAAATCAAAGACGCTGATCCAGAATGTGTGATGAAATGTATTGATTTCATTTACACTGGAGAGGCTGCTATAACAGAAGAGAAACGAGGAGAACTGATGCATGTTGCACATATGATGGAATTGCAAAGTGGGCTTTGGTGCATTTTAGCGTTACACAGAGTTCATTCTATTGTGTCAATGTTTATAATTTTACACATTTTTTATTCATGCCTTTCACTTCAAACTGCAAGGCACTGTACTACTCATTCTTACATTTTAACTTCTAGGCCGAAGCTTCGAATTTGGTTGAACAATTGAGCTAACTAACGACCCTATTATGTCTAATATTTGCTTTTATTTTGTATAGGACTCTGTGATGCGATTGTTCTTTTCCTTGAAGATAGTTTGAATGTAAAATCCTTTTTTGTCACAAGAAGCTTAGCTGATATTTACAGCTGCAAACAATTGGAAAAAGTTTGTGATCAATTTGCTCTGGAACATTTCAGAGACATTGCTTTGTTGGAGCAGTTTTATGAATTAGATGATGAATACATTAGGTTTCTCATTGGATCGAAAAAGACACAGGTACACATCAGGGTTGTCCAAAACGAATCGAATATTCGAATGTATTCGAATATCAAAGTATTCGGATACCTTTTTGGCTGATTTTCGAATAATTCCGAATAGTAGCCACTTTTCGCCGTAAACGTGGTGTTTCGTTTTACGAGAATCTTCAAACGACATTTTACGCTGTCTTACGTATTGTAATGATGAAATAGAATCGGCACTTTGATTGTTTATATTCTGTGCGACCTGACGTCGCATAGCGTTGCGACACATTTGCACGTTTGCGTGGGTGGACATTGCCGAAATGTGTCTACTAGGCTTCTAATGACCTGACGTCGCATAGCGTTGCGACACATTTGCACGTTTGCGTGGGTGGACATTGCCGAAATGTGTCTACTAGGCTTCTAATTTACAAATTCATTTCCATTACGTCGAAAAATTGACAATTACCGTATTTCCCGGCTAATAAGTCGCTTTTCTAGGCCACCGAGATAAAGCGATTTGTGACCCTTTCGTTTTGCCGATTCAGCAGAACACGACAGGAAAACACAGCTGTGAAATAACCAATGGACGTACAGTGTAATTACTTATCACATTCCAAAATTATTTCAACATTCGGGTTAATAGGTTGTCCAAAATGATTGTCGCTTTACAACTTAAATTTATTAGATTCGAATATTTTGCGCAGCACAAAATCATCCTAGTAAAAAGTCCATACTTTTAAGTACAAACCAATGGCAACCATTATCCAAATTAGTTCCCAAGAGTGGGATAAAGTATAATTTCTTTTTCCGACTTGTGACAATTTTTCGGGAGCACGAAAATAAGAATCAAAAACTAATTATATTCGGCACAATATCACGGCAATCTGTGGACATAAATTGTGTGGCAAACTCACGATTAATATTAATTTTTGATTCCTATTTTCGAATTTTCCAAAATACAACGGTGATCTGTGCAATGTGTGGAAACTACCCGATTATAAATAGTTTTTGATTCCTATTTTCATATTCATAAAATAATAAAAGTATTATTACTCAAACATACAACGGCGATCTTCGGACTTAAAATGTGTGGTAAAGTTCCCGAATATAATTAATTTTTGATTCGTATTTTTGTAAACACGAAAAAATTGTCACAAGTCGGAAAAATAACTCATACTTTATCCCGCTTTTTGGCAAATAATTTGGATAATGGTTGGTATTTAAAAGTATGGGCGTTTTACTAGGATGATTTTGTGTTGCGCAAATATTTAAATCCATCACCGATACCACTATTGCCGTATTAATTAAATCTGTTAACATGACTCATGGAATATAAAATATATACTGCAATAATCTGCAAATATGAAATGCCTGGTAATATAGCTAGGTTGTAACTTGTAGATAGCAGTTATTCCATTGCTTATTGTATGGAAATTCCTACATACATTTAGATAAGCTTCAATTAATGGATTTTATTTTCGAAGTATTCGAAATTTCATATTCGAAAAAAATAATTTCGAATGTATTCGAAATAGTGAACTATTCGGTTTTGGCCATCCCTGGGTACACTACACAACTTGAGTGGTTAAAGCGGTTACAGCTACCATAAGTCCAGAGCAGTAAGAATCGGATCACATTAAGGTTATTCAAGTCTGTCAAAACAAACTTTTTCTCTTTTTTTGATAAGCTCTTTTCATTTCATCATAGACTGAATTAATGCATCATTCGTATTTCATGTAGCTTCCTATTATTAAGATAGTTTTTTGCATCATAAGTGGTTTTCCGAGAGTTTTAACTGCCACTGACTTCGAGTAGGTTTGAGTTTAATGTAAAGGATGTCAAATGGCTCTTTCAATGCTAAAGGTTGCCGACCTGTTAAATAGAGCAAAACTATTTAATCAATGTTAAAAGATCGTACAAAATAGCCATTCAAAAGTTATAAATACACAGATGGGCCATTGATTGTGAAGGAATTCATTACTAACCAGAGGTTACTTAAATAAGGTGATCTGACTGTTCTTAAAAAACGAAAAATTTGTTTACACACAATCTACCCTCGCGAAATTTTAACAGTAAAAAACAAATTTAAATAAAGTATGTTTGTTTCAACATTCACTGATTTTGCTGTATTCTAATTCAGGCAAATGAAGCAGTTAAATGCAAAACGCTATTGCGTTGGGCAGAAGCTGACATTGAAAATCGAAAAGAAAGCTTTAGGGAAATGTTTAACAAGATGGGATTGATGAAGATTCCTGCAAGTTACAGAAGATATATGTTGGAAAATGAGGTGACATAATACACAAATTGTGGACTGTCAGTGTGGAAAGTACTTTTTAATGAAAAGATTGTATGAAATTGACTATCATTGTCTTCAAGATTCCAAATTTTTTTTAGAATACTGACTGTGAAATTGTTCAGAAATGAGAGTTTGATTCTCTAGTAACTTGTAGCCCTTAGCATGTAGGTGACCCACTTGCCAACTTTTTTTACTAAAACGATTTAGTCATGTCTGTTGCTTTGAGCAAGATCCTATACAAGCAGCCACCGATATCTAACAATATCCAAGGAACTACTATTATTTGAGAGGATTAGAATCTTCCTGGTTGATTGTCATTGCTTCATTGTCTGACAATTTCACTGCTAAGTCTTCGGACTGCCCCTAGCTTACATAAAAGAACGTACTAAAAAGTTGCTCCCAATTGGATTATATCAAGAAGTTAAAATATATCAGACTGATGTTTATTTTCAGAATTTGGTGAAAAATTCAATGGAATTCTACAATATAGTGACAACTTCTCTACTTGATAGTTGGAACTTACAATCCAAGGATATCAATATTGCAAGCAAAGACGGTATTTTATTTTATTACTATCCTTTTTCAATCTAGTCAATTTTTTTGGGTATTTCTCATGGTGTCTTCAGTGAGGGAGTGCGAACTTGATCAAAATATTTTTCAATTGAATATATCTTATTTTTCAATTTGAGTTTGGTGGTCTATGCCAGGGTATTGACTGTTGAACTAACAGTTGGTGTGAATAATATTTCCATTTCATTATGTCTGCTTTGGACAAAATCGCTTCTGATACCTGTACTTTTTCTGAGCATCATAAGCCCATGCCTTATTTTGTGGAGGTATCGCTATCTTTTACTAGTGGAAACTTTTTTCAGATTTATTAAATAATATTAGCATTGTTTTGTCCTGTATAAGCAAAACTTTTTATAATTTTTTAGTACTGGTTGTATTTGAAAATACTACTAGGAAACTGTATGGTTATGACGTAAAACGTAGAACCTGGAACGGCATGCAGGTAGGAATTTGCATTTGACCCCTCTCGTTGAAACAGTAATTTAGTCAATATGAAAAATACGATTTCTAGTAGTCACATCCGGGGGTGCAGACAAGGATTTACAGAAGGGGCTTCAGAAATCCTTAATTCCTGTATAACAGCTTTTTGAACATGTAATGTGATCACGGCACTCGTTAAAAGAGCTGACTACTTCAGTGGATAATGATTTTTCTGTTGCACAAAATATTCAATCCATGACCAATATAAGCCTTTGAAATGCTTTACAATATTATCGTAATTGTGTTCAATTCAACTCATGGTTGTGTCGACTAGGGATGTAATTTCGAATATTTTTTTTTTTGAATCGAATTTTGAATCACATTGTTCCGATTCGAATATTTCCGAATCTGATTCTATTTAGTATATCATCATATTATCGTTAACCTTCTTCAAATTTGGAAAAAATATAGTATAAATTTTCATAAAATAACTATAATGAGCGTGAAGAATTGAGAAAGTTACTAGAAAAACACACAGCATGGATGTATCAACTACAAATATACTATGGCTGAGATTTATTTTTTGTTACATAAAGGTATACTCAGTTTATATTTACTTACATACAATTATGTTTGCAAATAATACAGGGTGTATAGCGATTGTTTCTTTTAAAATGACCTTCAAAATTCATCCAAATGATAAACGCTAGTTAGTACCGTATGCGCCATGATTTCAAAAGAACCAATGATAATGAAGGAAGCGTGCAGACATTTTTTATAGGTATAAGAAAGCAATGAAGTTTTATTAAATAATATTATGTAGATATTGAAGAAACGTTTAAAATATTTGTGAAACTTTGTAACATTTTAAGTAGTCAAACAAATTGAGCGAAATCATTGTTCCCTCGAAGCGCTACCAATATAAAATATAATGACTCTGGGAATGTCACGGCTTTGGAAAGCTGTAAACGTAAGGATAATAAACGCCGCTGTGCCGTGCAATTGCCTCGTGTTAACTATCAAATATTTTTTTAAAAAAGCCTCTTTTTCCTAAATTGCTTCGATTCAAATTGATGTTGATCCGAATCGCTTCGCTTCGAAATTCGAAACTTGCATCCATAGTGTCGCGTACTGCAAGATAAAACAGTACTACTCTGAAATAGTGTGGTAATCTGGGGACTTCAAAATGTGTGATATACTGCTCGATTATATCTATCATATTTCTTTCCCTAGAAGAGTTTGGATTTCATCATATTGATTAACTTCATCACTCAGCTTTTCTATCTTGAGAGATAAATATGAAAAACTTGCCCTAAAATGCTGTACATTTTTTTCTTTTAATAACAGGCAATAGAGGACAGAATTCTAGGCACCTATGCGTCAGCAGCTCATCTTGATGGAATTCTTTATGTTTTTCTACCTTCATACTCAGTGTTCAAAATAGACTTGCGTGATGCTGAAAGCAATTGGCAACGAATGGCAAGCAAGTATCTAGGAACTGGACCAGTCGCAATTTTGAATGGTAAAAAGGGGTTTTGTAAATTCATTTGATTTAAGGTGCTGTCATACAACTGTCCAGACTTCTCTAAGATTGGAAGATATATTTTAAAAAGTTTTTTTAAATGGTTATGGTAGATACCTCATGGTCAAAATTTCTGATATTGCATGCTCGCTTACATTCTTATCAAAAATATGGCACATGGATTTTTCATTTAGTATTCATAACACAAATCGTTATTAAAATGTGATAAGTTAAAATAAATGTATTTTTTATATCCTAGGAATTTTTAGAAAAGAATTCGGAAAGTTTAAAGTTATTTTGATATTGCAGGTCTCATGTATACAATTGATTACGGAAATTTCAGCAGATCTTGTGAATGCTATGATCCATCTGCGGATAAATGGACTCAACTTCCTGAAAAGCCAAGCAACGTTGCAACTGAAGCATTAGTAGCAGCTGAAGGTAATCGGTATAGTATAATTCAGTTTATAAAGGCTTTTTGCTCAGTTATATTACTAATTACACAACAAGTTACATGAACCACATGCAATAGGAAGAGGTCGAGCAAACTTCACATTACAATTCTATATTGTTTATGACAAGTGCTTTTGCTTTGACGATATACCAAATACCAATTATCTCATAAGTCAAATGTATTAGAATTGCCTGTGATGCTATTTTTTATTGATTAAGGTCAAATTTTCTGCATTGGAGGAAGTTATATTCGCCATCGATCTCATGTAACTGAAAATCATTCAACAGATGCTGTTGAAAAATATAATCCAGCAACGGCATCTTGGTCCACTGATAGCAAACTCAACAAAGCAAGACAGGCTGCCGCTGCTACTTATCTCAATGGAATATATGTAATAGGTACAATCAATATCTTGTAGTTATTTTTATATTTAGCCCAGGGGGAGAAAAGGCAATAATGCGGATCAACGAGGACTTTTGACCGGTAACCGATCCAAGTTGGGGCAGTTAACTAGTTATTTGTTTCGGATGCATGGACTTGATGGTGAAAGAAGTCATAACTGACCAGCAGTTACATTAACCACCGTACAACGGCGAGAGTCATGCAATGCAATTCGAGCGAGTTTGTCTAGTTTAGTTATCCACCGCTCTACCATTTACGTTATATGATATTTTATAGTGGGTTAGCTCTTACGAGTTTAGGTTAAATATACATCTCTCTCTATAAAGTATTTCCTTCATATACGATTATCCATGTATTATACTCCATCCAGTGTGAAACAAAAAAACTTACTACTAACCATTTTGCAAAATTAGTATTCAAAAAATTGTATCTTACTAGGTGGGAGCAGTTCAGGTTCAGTTAATAATGATGTTGAATTCCGATGTCCTGTTGCGAAAACTTGGACAACGCTTACAGAAACAATAGTTCATTCCAGACGATTGTTTAATGCAGTCAATATTGATGGAAAGATTTATATCATAGGAGGATGCTCAAGGTAAACCTTTCGTACTGTTGATAATTTATAAGGAATTCAATTACTGATATTCAGTTATTAACAAGTTATTGGAAATTGTTTAATCATTTAAAAAATGCCTAAAAAATATTTTTTCCGAAATCGAGAATTTTATAATGCAATGGGTGAGGTTTTATGCAATAGTTGTATAGTTATTCTCAAGGTTTCCAACCTTAACTACGGTAATTGTCATATTTTTGGTAGATAGACCGCTTTCAAATTCAAATTTTGGTACTCCGAACGCAGTATGTGTACCAGGTTAGGCCATAATTTCAGGTACAAATACTACGGGAGTCGAACTCGTAATAGAAATAAAATAAGGAAATTTGGAATAAAACTATGGCCTAATCCTTACCTGGTACACATACTATGTTCCGGTGTCGCCATCTTGGTTCACATACTACGTTTCGGTGTTCGCCATCTTGGTTCACCTACTTCGGAGTACCCAATTTTTAATAAAGTGGATATAGCAACAAAAGCCAATTTTCATTTTATTGTCAGTTAATTAACTCTATAACTATATTTTTTGCATATATAACTCATGCTTATTGTTCTGCATCAACTTTGTTTCAAATCAGGACTTAGGAGCTAATGATTGCATTTATTTGTTTGCATTATTTGTTTTGTTATGCTCACTAAATATTGACAACCACAATAGGTCCTTACCCGTGACAGTATTGGGTCATGTTGCAAATATGCCTAGAATATTACTTTCATTTACTGGGTGTGCTCCAATTTACTTATTAATTTTTATTCAGTGATGAAATAGAAGAATATGATCCTGAAGTAAGGCAATGGAGAATAGCTGGAACAATGGAAGGTTTTTTCATTGAACAATTGGCAGCCGTTGCTGTTGTAATATAAAACAATATCACAAGGATATTCAACATTTATATATTTTGTAGTGAATGTGTGCGCACTTGATCTTTATCTCCTGTGGTTCCGAATGTCTACTTTCTCTGACTATTGTAAAATTCATATAGATACTCCTGAAGTATGCAACCTGAGTTCAGGTTGTGTGCCATCTTGGTGCGCATACTTCAGGAGGTCAGTGTGTAATAATTATAAGGAAAAATTGGAAATCCATCAGTTTAAGCTATACTAACCATGGACAAAGATGTTCATGTGCATGGTAATTTGACCTTCAATTTTTTTGTATTTTCAATTTAGATTACCTACTGGCAAACACATTTTTAAAATGTATTTTTCTCTGTAATGGATTTTGCAGTCTATGATATTACAACATGTGTATGAACCAAATGCATTTTATTAGCATTTCACTTTTTGTATTCCACTGCTATGGTGCTTTATTTCTATTACTGTTATGCATATGCTTATACTTTGCTCAAAAGTTTTACCGTATATTATAAGTACATCTTTAAAACTGAACATTTTATTAGCTCCAATTTGGTGATAAATTATGGGTGATACCAAATTATTATTATCATTTTTAATATATCCCTCGCTGAATTGTATTGAAATTCCTAATTTCCTAGACTTTTTTCTTAATAGTGTTGCATTTTTTTTATTTCTCTTAATTTTGTTTTGTATTTGAGTTAGGAGCATTGTAATGTAATGATTCCACGTGTATTAAAAAACTAAATATTTTTCACATATTACATTTCTTGATTGAAAGTGAGAAAAGCATAGTCTATTTGCTGTATTAAATCTATTTCTACACTATTATTTTAACGCTATTTGTTGTTTGTAATTCAGCATCTTTGACTTTTTGTTAACTATGTGTTCATACCAATTATCATGTGCTCATAAGTACTTATTTTAGTTCCTTAGCCATAGCTTAGACTATGTTAGTTTCAATATTGTTCTTAAAAGAGAAGGTGACTAAATATTGATTTGAAATTGAATTTTATTTAGTATATATATCCTGATTTTATCATCTTTCTCTGCACCGTAATTTATATTTGTTCAATCATTAATAATTTTCTTCAATTTATTTGTTTGTCGTATTTCTGTGTGGTGATTGCACTTTGAATTAATTTCTGTAATAAAGGCAGGACTCCCTTGAAGGTGCCAAGGGGTGAAGAGGCTAGCTAGATAACAGATTCCAAAGAAAATATTATATGGGCATCATTATACAAATATTGCAAAAAATACTTTATTCGAGGAAAAAAAAATGCATACTTCAAAAAATAATTATAATATAGTCGACAGACGCTTTTAAGTAAGCCTTTGATGAGAAATTCCATATTATTTAATGAGAAAATTAGAAGAAAAAAATCGATTTTACAGCAATTATAAGTATAAATTATCGAATATTAGTTAAAATCTGATGAGTTCCATATGACAAATTGTTTCATGAATATAAAAATAGCTTAGACTGTGATTGGTGTCTTTATAAAATATCGAAAAATGACATTATCAAGAGTTACTAATTACTATGTACCGTAATAATAATATGTTCATATTAGGTGAATCAAAATTATTTTTTTATCAATATTTCATGTTAAACTTTAAATTATTGCATTACGGTACTCATTAGGTATGCAGTTAGTAAACAGAATTTATAGTGAGACACAGTAGATTAAATTATATTATTCCCAATCGAGTTTATAATTCACATTTACTCGTTTATTGAGCCTATAATTTAATTATAATTAGACAAACGGCAACAAACGCAGAAAAGTTGATGCAAAGGGTTCACTGGCGCAGAAAATATTAAAATGAAATTTTTTGAGATATGATCTGTGTGGAAAAATGTGATTTTATTGACCATCCGTTCGATTTTTAACTCTCTAGATTAGGAACATGTGCGGCCCGCCGATGACTTGCAACCCTAAATTCTGGCCCGCAAGCGACAAAAGGTTGCCGACAGCTGACCTGCACAAATCCAACGATCGACCATAGGCGTATACATATGCATTGTCTCTGCTCAGACGATAGCATAATTTCCTGTCAAGCGTGGCAGAAAAGAACGAAGAAACAAACAAATAGACTCGATGTAAATAAACATGAGTTATAAAAATATTTAAAATTAACTCCATTTATATATATGATAGGCCTATGTGAGATAAATTCTGATGAATATCATAATTGGACGGAAGAAGTCGTCAGAAGTGTATTATTACATTTAATTTATCTACCTAAATTTTGTTATATTTTGTGTAAGTTGTCCACAGATCCCTTAAAAAAGAATCAGAGTGCCGAAATAATCGATTGATACAACTTGCTAGGTATATACGCCCTCACTGTCGGGTATGCTGCACATACATTTGCGGATGCACTGGTAGAGTGGATATTTATGTAGAAAATCGATGGCAGAAGGTGAGTACATGTACTGGTGAACAATTTTGTGATTGTATTTCACTATACTGCTGTACTGGCTATGCTGTGTTCTTCTTTCGATGAGTGTTTTCATATCCTAAATCGATTAAAAGTTATTGCCCGATTTTGTATCCACTATCTGACTATCGCGTGTGTTAACGTTGTTTTCATTGCGCACGCACCATACTTTAATCACTGTCAGACTGTGGTAATATTGTCCTAAGTTATGCTAGTCTTTCAGGTGTCATTTTGCTTGTCTGTTTTTTTTTTATGCCAGAGCGACCAAAATAAATTTGTTTTATTGATTGAAATACATAAGTTGTATGTTACATAAAAAATATGGTTGGTATGGAAGCCCTGCCCAACTATAAACAAATGATTAGTTCGTTATAATTTTCTTTTACCACCTACATTTTCAGCCTCATCAGTCAAAAATGGGTCGGTTTTAAAGGATATTCGAATGGATGGCAAAACTGTTTTAATAACTGGAGCCAACACTGGAATCGGATATGAGACTGCTAAAGATCTTTCATCTCGTGGTGCAAAGGTTATCATGGCGGGAAGAGACGCAGGAAAAGTAGAAAAGGCAATGAAAGAGGTAAAAATATACGTTTTATATAGCTCAGTTGTTTGTATTATAATCTTATATATGAATATCAAAATATTATAAGATTCTAAATTGATACTGATGTACTGAGCATGGTGACCTTTTTAGTGAAGTTGGTTTTTGATACTTACAAACTATCGTTATATTGAATTTGCAAACTTGTTATGGTACCACAAGGGTAGCATTGTTTGGCAAGCTACTACTTGTAAATTTAAGCCTATTTCTCAATTCCAATTTTTTTAACCCTAATTCGAAAACATGAGTTGAAACTTTTAATATGAATTTTCGTTTTTAGATAAAATCTTGTGATCTTAAAGCCAACCTTGTTGGTGTAGAACTGGATCTAGCATCCATGGAGTCGATTCGAAAATGTGCAGATAAAATAATGGAGACTGAGGCAAAGCTAGATGTACTAATAAATAATGCGGGTAATATATACAATTAAATGTTTATCATAATTTTGTTTCGATGACTGAAACAATGCTCAATTAGAAGAAGTTTTTGTTAATTTGGTTTAATGGTATTCAAAATCTGCTCAAAACATTGGTGGAATACAATATTCTGCAACCCATAACCCAAATATGAGATTTTTTTAAAGTTGTCAATTTGCTTCTCTGGCAACGTAGCCTTTTTTAGAAAGTGGCCAATTTTTACCTTTTTAAGTTTTCTTATTTAAAATGACCTGGGTGCTTGATAGAACCGCTCAATTAAATCATAATAGTAGGTGATTTTGCTTTATGACCATTCATAAATGTTCAAATAAATACTTCATTCGGAAATACCCATTTTTTGGTGCTAATGATATTGGTTGAGGTACCAATTTGAAACTGTCCTACATCTTTTAACATGCTTTGTGTGTTTTCAATAGGCATAATGAGCTGTCCTCAATGGAAAACTAAAGATGGTTTTGAGATGCAGCTAGGAGTAAATCACATTGGCCATTTCTTATTCACCAATCTGTTGTTGGATCTTGTAAAGGTGAAAAATGGTATATTAATTCCTAATTGCCATGTTCTCAGTTTGAAAAAAATAATAAAATACGAATTGCATCAGCTTTGTAAGAAACTGTGATTTTGCTCATTTCAACATGTATACATTCTCATATTTTGACAGAAAAGTTCTCCAAGTCGAATTGTCATCTTGTCATCCAGTGGACATACTAGAGGTCGTATGAATTGGGACGATATCATGTCTGAAAAGAAATATAATCCTTTTGTAGTATATTGTCAAAGCAAACTTGCAAATATTCTTTTTGCAAGAGAATTGAGTCGTAAACTTGAAGGTAATAATAATATCAATAATATGTATTTTCCTTGGCCTACGAGCTACCATTAATTTAATAATATATTTTCAAAAAATTGTGAGAAATCTATGAAACTCGTTCATTCCGAATAAGGCCGTATCCTACAAGCAGCCACTGACATCTCACAATATGTAGGAAGTTACTTTTATTTGAAGAGACTGTTTCTATTATGGCATTGCCTTCCCAATTTATTACACCTTGGCGTGGGATTTTAATCTGTAATATGCGATGACAGCACAGTTGGGTCTCACGCATCAATCGTTAGGCCTTCTTACCACATTTATTCATACTCTTTTGAACAGGTACTGGCGTTACTTGCAACAGCGTACATCCTGGTTTAGTGAAAACTGAGCTTGGTCGCCATTTCATGAACAAAGAAGGAACTTGGAATACGATAAAATACTATCTTGTTTTTCCATTTGTAAAGATGATTTTCAAAACTCCTGAACAAGGTGCCCAAACCAGTATTTACTGCGCTGTTGCTCCAGAGCTCAATCAAGTGTCAGGAAAATACTTTGCGTGAGTACTGTTTTTGATTTTAGACCTACTTGGTGAATTTATTAATGTAAGCCTATGCCTTAATTTGCATCCAGTTGATTTCATAACATGATTTTATCAAAAGATGATGGTGGTCCATAGCAAATTGGGTAGCATAAATTTTGGAACAATTAATATTCCCATTTGCTTGAAAATTCTTTAATACTTAACTTGACTTGGATACTTGCAGAAAAACTTGAATCGAAATGCAATACGTTTTTGCGAACTACTAGTCTACAGGATGTAACTGTATTACATAGTGAAGAGTCGCGGTTACTTTATTGCAATTACTTGGATTAATTTTGTAGATATGGCTTTTTCTTCTCTATAACCACATCTTTGAAATTCAATTTTCATGCGAGTTAGTTTGATTTTTGACACTCAACAGTGTCATATTATTCTCTGTCCCTCAACTGATTCCAAACATTTTTAGGAAGGTTTTTTGGTGCTCCTGTAGTATGTGTAACCTAATACATAGTGTTCAGATTGTGCGCAATCTTGGTACACATACTACGGGAGCACCATTTTTTTAACATACAGGTACATATTAATTATTAATCTCCTATGAATAGGAAATATTTTTGCTCAAACACAATAAAAATGGTATGTAAACATATTCAACAATCAGGCATATTTGCTCTGGTGCCATTATTAGGTCATAACTTTCCACAATTATTCATTTATATCAGGCTACACTGTGAATATTGTTCATAAAATGTAACTTTTTACATCACACTTACATGGCCCGACAGTCTAGACCAGGGGTCACCAAACTTTTTTGACCGCGAGCCAGGTATGTCTCAAGCTTTGGTTGAAACGGGCCGGACAATACAATACAATAAATTCCCAAAAGTTGGGAAATCCATTCACATTATTTAACAATATAAATTCTACATTTCTGAAGATTTGAATATTAAATTCTATCTATTCCGCAGAATATAGATCGAGAACATCGTAGCAAAACAAATATATAAGAGTTGTAGATCTATACAACAATCCTAGGATTAGCCGTTAGCAAAACATTGCTGTCAACAGTGTCAAGAATATCCTCATTTAAGCGGCACAAAAGTTAGTTTGACTTGTGAAATTGGAGCAGTACGCGAGGGATTACAGTAGGCTACTATTAACGCAAATGCGCCTCCGATGTACACAGCAACAGTTCACGGAAAGCACGTGTCACAATGCATCTTTCGCAGAAAACATTGCGTACCGGTAGAGAATTTTAGCCTATATTATCACAGCTATTTCTAGACTAATTTTTGATTACTACTATTAAACAACTCCTAAGAAGGCAAAATGATGATTGACTTATTTGATTCATACATAACTTTCCGAAACACAACCAAAAACTAAGGAAGAGCATTCCACATCGCAAAAACCAGGCATTGTTTACTACCAGACTGAGTGTCTGTCTGAGTGAGTGTCTGAGCCGGATGCAAGAAGGTATATTGTTATGTCACTTTTTCTCATCTTGCTGATTGGCCAATGTTACGAAATAAACATAAGACGCCACGGGCCGGATCCGGCCCCGGGGGCGTAGTTTGGTGACCCCAGGCTAGACTGGCGGAATTTTTGGCCCCTGGTCCAAAAACCTTACCCACCCTTGGTATAGATTTTTTAACATTATGCTATATGTAGAAAATGTTTTTGTAGAGATTGCAAAATTGAGGAGGAGGCACCGGCAGCCAAAAACGATGAAGATGCAAAACGACTATGGGAGTTGTCACTAGAGTGGACAGGCCTAAAAAGTAAATAAGTTCGTCACATAATGCACTTGACTAAGTGATTCTGTAATCTTATTGTTATGCAATGATAGTAGTTAGGGCTGGGCAAAATATTCGAATAACGAATATCGAATCGAATATCAAAATATTCGAATGGCATTTTACTATTCGAATACCCGGTACCACGTGACCTGCGCCGCTTTGCTCCAACACGGAATTCGCGCGTCGCCAAATCAATCGTGAATTGCGCGAGAATTCACAAACGGCGCTCGCTAACATACAAAAGCGACAAATTTTCTTTGCGTTATGATGTTATTTGTTTTTCTTTTCACGCCTAACGTATCGTTTCATTTCCTTATTTTGCAAAATAGGTCCCCACCGTTGCTTTAATATAAGAACGTTCTGTAAATTATAAAGGTATGACGATGTATTTGAAAAATCGGAAATTCTCATTGCCGTCTGTAACAGTCACCGCGATTACGCGCTCGTTAAAGAGACGATTTTTCAGCGTATAATGATTTTTCTGTTGCGTAAAATGATCAATCCATGACAACTACGGGATTCCAAAATGTCTTTATATATTAATTTAATTATGTCAAACGTAACTCGCGGTTGCTTCTTCTTAAGTCAAAATTAAAACATTACTTCCCTGAAATGCCACGGCGATCTGTGGACATAAAAGTATGAGATAAACTGCCGGGTGTATTTAATTTTAATAGGTATTTTTGGAATCTTGCGAACTCGTTATCGCCGTTAGAAAAATCTCAACTGATATAAAATCCCGTAGAGTACAATTTCATTTCGTACAATATAAAGTATATCGTTTAATCAAAAATACATATTCATCGTCGCGATAAATAATGAGTTTTCTGTTGGGCTAAGTAATCAATTTGTGACCGATAAGGGCATATTTAAAATGTCTTGCTTTATTATTGTCTTCAATTTAACCAGCGGTTTAGTCGCCAAAATGAAATGTTCACAATTTCAAAATATCACGACAATCTGCGGACCCAAAGTGTGGTAAACTGCTCGAATATATAAAGCTTTGATTTCCTTATTTTCAGGACTTGTAACATCAAAAAATCCATAAATCTGATGTAATATCTCAGGTTAAAATTTAGTTTAGCACAATAAAAATTGATTGAATTTACATTAGACTGATTATCTTATATATATCATCACAACCCGGGGAAAATTGTCCCGTTTCAAACCTTGTATAATGTTGAAAAGAAAATTTTCGACGGCAATTTAAAGTAATGGATAATATGGCCAATCCCGCCCACAATTAACAGTGCTTCGATTTTAGTAACGATATGTTTTCTGAACGCTGACCAAACATAATGTGTGCGAGAGGCACACGAAATTTTGCGATTTTCAATGTATAAAAAGGCGTTTTTAAACTGTCGCAGGCCTCAATAAAACTCATAGTGTTTAAAGTTTTATTTTCAGTATTTTATATTGCCGCTTTTCAATCAAAAAATTTGCGTTGTCCTCAGAAACTCCCCGCCGATGAACGTATATTAATTAAACTATCGCCGGATTCGCAATTCCGTGTGTGTACAAAAATAAAATAATTTTCATCGTTAACGTCGCACAACGTTGTGGAAAATTTTTGATTTAGAGAAAATAAAACCAACATAAAGTTGTTTACAGCCTAAATACCACGCCACGCTGATAATAACAATCGGCGATTATAGCAAAATGCTATTACACGCGTTATTGTCGACTTTTACAGTTTTAAAAAAATTTCAACGGCAACGCACGGGTGTACCTAATATATGAAACTTCGATGTCCGCCGACCCACAAGAATTAATACTTTCAAAAAAATGAATCAGGCGGGAATACAGATTACGAACTTTAGGATCGCGGCGACAAGAACAATTAGCGATTTTGATGAATTTAACCAGTAAATAAAAAACGCTTTGTTGCCGACTTTCAAAGTTTCTTCTAATTTTCGAAGGGAGTATCGACCTCCGACGGACCCCCGTTGTATTTAAAAAAATATTCGTTATTCGACTATTCGTAAAAAAAATATCGGTATTCGTAAAAAATATTCGAACTATTCGATTCGAAAAAAATATTCGATTTTGCCCACCCCTAATAGTAGTAATGGAGTGAATCTCATTATTATTTTGACTCAGTACCAACAGAATATTGTATGAATTTTATTTATAGAGTGAAAACCCATTATACCTCAATTATCTCGTCAAACGTTATATAATAAGTTTACTAACGAGTAGCATTCCAAATCGTCTACACTACGCACCCTAATTATAGCATTAGTTGTCAACTAGTTCCATGTATTTTTTATTGCATTTAATAAACATGATATATTGTACATCCTACATTGCATCTAATGTTATTATAATATTAAATCGTAAATCAATATTGTTTTTAGTTCCTCATATATACTTGATTTAACACATTGAACGTTCAATACATAATATATTATATTTCATTTTCTAATTTTCATAATGCCTAGTCACACATTTTACATTAATCTCTTTTTAATGCTAATAAATTTTTCAACTCAAGCTTCTTGGATGTTTTGTTATTTCATGGTTTCCAAACTGTTGTAAACAGATCGTAATGACTGAGTGTTGTTTATTTATCAAAATGACCCAACTTGGATGCGATATGAAACTGGTAGAGGATTTTTAGTGAAATAAGGAAGAAGTACAATGAGCATTCACCCTCATGCGTGTCTGTCTATTTTTCAGTCGCTCGGCGAGTGTTTGGATAGGATTTACATATTTATCCCGAGCAGAGGAAAGCCGATAAGACGGCTTAACCATATGGCGAACCACGGCCTCTCGCCCATTTACCATTTCATGTCGGCTATGGGATTAGTCAGTTATTTGCTTTTAGGAAGCATGAATTTGATGGTAGAGGAAACCGTAACTGACCACGTGAACCACTCTACGGCAGCGAGGAGTCCAGCAATCCTCTCGCGCATAACTATCTCCACATGGGGTTCGATCCTGCGAACCCACGCAGAGCAATCAGAGGTGCGGTGGCGTGCGTGTTGAGTTGAAGAATTCATTAGCACTAATGCTTAGCACGATGAGCCACACAGCCGCGCCAAACTTGCAATTTTTTGTTCATTAGTAACATTTGAATATAAGTTTCAGCTTCATTCTCTTTACACTTGTATACTATCGTCCATACAGATTATAGCACCACAACACGCCGCTGATTATTGAGTCAAAATAAACTTATACTGACTTCAAATGCCATTTTGTCATATGATTAAGTCGTCTTATTGCCTTTTCTCTCCTCAGGATAAATATGTACCGTAAATCCTATCAAATTTTTTATTTAGCGATGGACATCAAAGCCTGTATATACCGGGATAGTCGCTCCGACCTTCGTCGGGTGCGGCCGTGTCAGCTGGAAAAGACCAAAGTGACTTTATATTTATTAGGGATGGGACGAGTCCGGCATTACAGAGATTCGACGAATCCGAGTAGTGGCTGTGAAGTGGATTTTCAGCCCATCATCTTGCGTCGATTCTGGGCGGCTATTTAGAAATTCTTACATGTCAATGTGAATAATAAAAAGCTTTTGATTACAATGCTCCCATGCTTCCCATAATTCCATATATTTCTAGCCAAATTTACTATGTCGCGTACGCGAATGGTAGAGAGATGCCACTTGTCGTCAATACAATGCTTGCAATTAGTAGTTCATGTAAACGTTATAAAACGCTCCATGCCTTCCATTGCTCCCTTTTTAGAGAAAGGATTGCACGTAATAAACTCGATTTAAAAGAGGTACGTATTGAACTATTGATGAGATGATTCCCCCTTGGGTTGATCCTGCGCATGTTTCATATTTATTTACGCGAATCGAATACATATTTTATTGTGTACCACATGTATACCGAAAAGGATAGATAGTTTGAAGGCGACTGTCGCATCATTGTTATAAGCGATCTATAGTTTTTAACATGCGGTATATTATCTGGATGTCTGTCTTCGTTTTTATTAGGAGTGTTTATAATACACACGAGTGATATTGTTACATATCTAACCTTGAATTTCAACTAGTTGAGGTATGTAGTTAGATTTATAGGGGTAAAAGTAAAAACATAGGCGTATATTAGTAAAACAGAAATGATTATAGACTCGGTGAAAACGACGTGGACTCGAAATCGAATCCGAGTCCAAAAAATGCCTGGATTCGACTCGAATCCGAGTCCGGATCTGAATCCCGGCACATCCCTAATATTTATAGTCACTTTGGAAAAGACTAGTGAATGCTACGCGTTGTATGTTCCGGTATCTGTCTGTAATCTGTATGTGTAATATCAACATGAGCAAACCCCATCCACTGGAATTAAAGAAGTTTATGGATGACAGATTGGATTGAAAGTTAAATGGTGGACGATCTGTTGCGGGTATATTGCGAGGTTTCGATCCTTTATGAATCTACACGTGGATGATAGAACAGAGCGTAGAAAAGATGGGACCATTGCACCTGTTGGAATGGACGAATGGTGGTCGTTCGTGGAAATTCGATATTGATGTTGGAAGCATTGGAACGGATACAATGATTTCAAACTGGACTAACCGAAAACGACAAAAGAACCCAACACCCCAATCCATGATTTGTGCATAGACTGCTATGGAACATTCAATCCATTTACCAAGCTTGTTTTATAGTAAAAAAATATTTGTCACTGTATTACTTTTGCAACGTAATTGGACTAGGCCTACAGCATCACCATTTTTCGGCAGCGAGTGTTCTTTAATCCATATATTAGGCTGCGAGCCGAGGCCCTGAAAAACGCCTAGAAAGTGAGTTTCGTAGCGCACATCAGGTAACTAACTACCTGAAAATGATTTTAAAATGTTCCTTAAAAATTTAGTAACGAATATTGCCTTGTTCCCTTTTCCAAAAGTTGCACGTTTCACGGAAAAGACGCTTTTACTACAAGAAATATGTGCTACGATCTGTCCTATATTCTCTACATTTTCGGCAATGAACAATAACTTCTGCATAACGTAACAATTGAATCGAATCAGCTGTTAGCGAGCGGATGAATATCAGTTATTACTGCTCGACCTTGCGTTGAGTTGGGCAGCCTTTCCATAGCCCTGTTTAGTTATTATTAGTTAAGTTATGCTAAGACGTTGTTGAAAAATGTATAAGTAACTTATTAAACACTTGTAGATCCTTACCACGGATATGGGCCGTGAGAACGAAGCCTTGAAAACGCCCAGAAAATGAGTTTCGTAGCGCACATCTGGTAACTAAATAAATTCTTCAGTTTTGTGTGAAAATGAACATACTGAACGCATTACAGCTTGTTCCACAATCCTGATGCGAAATTGAATATAAGAGGTTCCCGGAAATTCAATAACCATAAGTTTACAACACATACATAAGAACTATGCAATTCGAGAGCCCTACAGCACACTAACACAAATGTATTCCTGTAATGTTTTGCCTGACCAAAATCGGACTTCCTCAGTCAATCATAATTTATTAGGTAGATTACGAAAAATATGGCATACATGTAACCAACAACAAAAAATACTTTAATTGTGTGACAGGAGTCGCGAGTGACCTCGAAAGCAGCGACACCAACAACGCTGATTCACATTAGCGAATAAATTTTATGTAATAACCACAAGCAGTTTACAACAAGAACAGCATAAAAAGCTACATCCATTTTATAGAAGCTATCAAACGTATTTATTTTTAAGCAATGAAGTCACAAATTAACATCGTGAGCACGAAAACACAAATAAATCAGTTATTTCTCACTTAGAAATTTACCGAAAAGTCAAGAAAATTAAATGAATGTACAATATGTACATAACATAGTGAACAGAAATATTACAATTAATCTTTTTTTAGTTTATGTGGTTATGTATTTGAACAAAGGCAATATATTTCTAGAAACAGGACTACGACACTAACGAATGTCCGAAAAAAAACAAATAAATGATACTTATTAAATCAACTGCAATATCTAATTCACTTTCTTCTGAATTGTTTTCGAAATCCACTATCTCGAAAATCGACTTTTCCTCTATAAGTGTACTGTGATTTTGCAGTCAATACAAAAACAAAAATCTGTGCAATTTAAGTTGATTTTGGCACACTTGCATAAATTATTTTGACTATTTTTCTTACACTTGCAGTTTGCCAACTCAAGAACTGATTTGAGGGCCACATGCTTCTTCAGTGAATCATTGTTGGGTGGAGAGTATAATCCTTATGTTTGCAGTGTTAAATAGACGTGCCCTGGTATCATTTACATTCTTCATATCCTCTCTACAGTGAACAAATTCCTCAGCTTTATTTATTAATGCCTCGTTAACCTCAAAAGATCTTCATAGTTGAGAAAAAAATGAATTGAAAACCTCAATGAAGTCTCCAACATGAATTTGATGGGCAGTTCCAATTGCAGAAAAGTGCTAAAGTATTTCAATATGAATAGCCCATCTAAGCTGTTTGCAACTATTATGATTCTCATATACCTTTACGCTTCAAGACTTCTTGTTTAATCCATTTTATAGCACTGATAGCAGCAGGGATTAGAGCCTGCGTTAGGTCGGATTGGTGGAACATTGCCGTTTTCTTTTGTAGTACAGTATCTAAAATGAGGAAGAAAATATATTTGGAACAGCATGAGTGTAAAAATACCACTAAATACTAACTAATACCTTGAATACATAATGCATTTTATCTGATGTACTCAATGAGCGTATATATGCTCATTGCATGTACTACAGTCCAGCAGTGTTTGCATACCATTACTAGACTATATCTACACTAAATTTTGATATATCACAGTCTGAAATGCCCTATGACAGTATGAGTATGGACTATAGACTATATTTTAAAATCAACTGTTGTCTACAACTTGATTTCTCACCTCTCAATTTTCCAATGCTACTTTCTTCTCTTCCACTCCGGCATAACTTATCATTGCTTCCCAGGTTCTTGTCGACTCTATGAATTTAGATTTAGACCAACCGACATTAGTAAAATTGATTATTTCTTCTCTTTCACACAAACGTGCATTACAGAAACAGCCATTAATTTATATTTCCAAATATGCTGTGGCCTATATAGTAGTATAAGTCTGCTGAATAGTCAAGAAGAGTCATTAAATTAATCACAAACATTTCATGCAAGCCAGAAAATATCGTTGTTGTGACATATTATTCTAGGTCTAGCCTTCCTTGGAGTTACCGCACCGTACCTATTTAACAACGTTTTATGAGCTAGTGCTCAACTAAAATTGCTATTTATGGTAAGGATATACAAGTGTTTAATATCTTACCTATACTTTTCAACACCTCCTTAGAATAACTGAACTAATAATAACTGAAAAAACTGTGGAAAGGCTACTCAACGCAAAAGCGAGCAGTAGTAGTACATCTGATATTCATCCGACCACTGGGGATCCACCTACAGTTGACTAATTTGTTTGTTACGTCATGCAGAAGTCTGCGTTCATTGGCCCATGATACTGGAAAAGCAGAGAAAATAGGACAGATGGTAACACATCGCCGGATGAGAACAGAACAGGCCTATGTCACAATTTTGAGTTTTGAGAAAAACGCAAAAAACAATTTGGAATTTTTTTATTTTCGAATTTCTAGATATTCACACTTAGTAAAGTCCTGAGCTCTGGTTATTTTGATGTGGATGGGAATATCTTTGTAATCAATATTTTTTGGCACTTCAGCTTCAATTCCTTCCTGTTTTTTTACCCCCATAAGAAACTTTGGCCCATTCTGTTCTCAACAACTTCTGAAATTTTTTGTATGGGATGCAAGGTAAAACAAGGTGACTTAGGCCTAAGTTGCACTGAACAAATTTTTAGGGATGTAAGTTTCGAACATTTCATTTCTGATGTTCATGCCCATCATATTGGAACTTAGGACTATCTTTTTTCAATATCTTGGGGTTTTGAGCCATGCTCTACAAGGTGGTGGTCTTGAAATCCTGAATTTCTCAATAATAAAAATTTTAGCTGGACTTAGGCCTAAAATATTTAAGAACAGAATGGGCCTAAGTCCAGCTAAAATTTTTATTATTGAGAAATTCAGGATTTCAAGACCACCACCTTGTAGAGAATGGCTTAAAACCCCAAAATATTGAAAAAAGTCAATTTTCCAAAAATGTGACTTAGGCCCCTTCTGTTCTCATCCGGCGACATATTCATTGTAGTAAAAGCGTCTTTTCTGTAAAACGTGCAACTTTTGAAAGTGGGAACAAGGCAATATTTGTTACTAAATTTCTACGGAACATTTTAAAATCCTTTTCAGGTAGTTACCTTATGTGCGCTACAAAACTGAAAGATAAATGGCCTCGGCTCGCGGCCTATATCTGTAGGAAAAGCTCATACACGTCTCGCATTTTAATTTTTGAATTTATAAGATATTGCCCGATGTCACATCGTGTTTTTGTTGTTGGACACGTAGTGGACATAACGATCGTTTCAATATTATGTTGTTGTTGTTCTTGTTCTTTGACACGTTTTTAAAAAGTCGTTTTCCTCTTCGAATACTGGACCAATTGCTTTGAAATTTTCAGTGGTTAAAGATAAAATTTTTTCTCCAGAAGGCTATTACTTTTTTTTTCGCTATGACGTCATCAAAATTATTGCCATTGGGTGGCGCTACGTGTCCATATATTTGAGCATAGCTCTCTTGTTTTATTGTGTTTTGATTATTTTTGGGGGACGGGCACGTACTTGTTCGTATTTAACTTTATTATTAAGTTATGCCCGTCCTCCAGGTCCTCTGTATTTTGTTTGCCCTTTGTTTTTGTTTTTTGTTTGTATCAGAGTGACCAAATAAAATTGATTGATTGATTGACATGTCATGTATGATAACACGTATGCGAAGTTAAATTTATTGAGGTCAAGGGTCGGTGAAATATTGTATTGTGAGGTGAATTCATTCCGATTTCAGCATTTAAATTAGTACACTACCGGTACCGGTACCGTACTAGTGCGGCATTATGGAGTTTTTTTGCAAGTTTTAAACCGTAATAAGTGATGTTTCATTGGGGTATGCTAGTGTCTTATCTACCGGTACTGTATCTAGAGTTGGGAAATATAGACTAGTATTAGTTAACTATTAGTCTATATAAATGATGAATCCAAAGAGTATGGTAGTCTACCGTAAAGATTGGAGACTGAGTTGGAATTGTTTCATATCTGTCATATAGGTACGGTACCGTAACCAGTATAACAGTAGTCTATAATGATATTTTTGAACATGGAATAATGGCATCCGAATTAGACTACAATAATGAGTTATGCATTGTTCCTGTCTGCTTATTGCTGTATTGACAGGTACGGTAACCTTGGTGTGGCGCATCGTGCTAAGCATTAGGAATACGCTCGCCATCGCATCTCTGATTACCCTTCGTGGGATCGCAGATTCGAAACCCATGCGGGGATGATCATGTGCGAGAGGATTGCTGGACTCCTCGCCGCCGTAGGGTGGTTCACGTAACCGCTGGTCGGTTACCGGTACTGGTACGGCTTCCTCCACCATCAAGTCCATGCTCACGAAAACAAATACCTGGCTAAATAAACCCATACCCGACCTGGACTGGTAACTGGACGAGAGGCCGTGGTTCGCCATATGATTAAGCTGTCTTATCGGCTTTCCTCTCCCCCTGAATAAATATATAAATCCTATTCTATGCTATATTTTTGGATTAGGCTTTCGGTTATTTAATTTCGGGATTTGGATTTGTTTTCATCTGCGGTCAAAGATGAGTGATGAATAACACCTAACACGTATACCGTACATACACAGATACAGTGCCATTTTACCAATTACATCAATCAATCGTCCTGACATATGTAATTTGTGGATTGAGGTTCTTATTTCAGACAATGTGATACATGCTGCTGCAGTCTACTGCAGTATTGACTGTACTGGCTGACTGGCCTGATGCATGATTAAAAATAAAATTGTATTCTATTGTATTGTAGATAGGTTAATTACAGACTTATTAATGCAGTAATGATTCTGTAACTTGCGATTCTTATATTTCTGCATTTAGTCTACTAATGATATTGTGATAAATTACAATTTTCAGTTAAATAAAAGTTTGTAACATATCTGTCTATCCAGTATTGCATCAGTGTATCTGATTGGTTTTGCAAAATGTCATTTGCCACGGATTCATTGATTATGCTTACAACACAGATTTTATTTTTTGGATTTGGATGGGTCTTTTTTCTATGGCAGCTGTTCAAAGATTACGAATGTCATCATCGAGCTGTTCAGCTTATTTTCGCAACAACGTTTGCTTTATCATGTACCATGTTTGAGCTTATTATTTTTGAGATATTAGGTGTTCTGAATTCTAGCTCTCGATATTTCCACTGGAAACTGAACTTGTACATTATGCTTTTTGTAGTTGTGTTTGTCTTGCCATTTTGCATTGCTTATTTTGTTATAAGCAATGTTAGCATGTTTGCAAAATATAAAATACCAGCTGCATGCATTATATGGCTTATATTTATGTATTTTTTCTGGAAAATTGGTGATCCATTTCCAATTCTGAGTGCTCAGCATGGTATTTTGTCAATTGAACAAGTAATAAGCAGAGTTGGTGTTATTGGTGTCACTGTGATGGCATTACTATCCGGGTTTGGTGCTGTTAATTGCCCATATACGTACTCTTCCTATTTCCTTCGTCAAGTCACAGATTCTGATATTCAGCTTATTGAAAGAAAGTTGATGCAAACGAATGAAATGGTAATAAGCAAGAAAAAAAGGATTGCAATCGCAAAGTACCATAATTCTTCAAGAAATGCTAATGAAAATGTTCCACAAAGTGGAATTTGGGCACGAATTCGTAATGTGGCTTCTCCAATTTCTTCACCTGGAAACGAAAACGTTTCGTTACTTCAACAAGAAGTAATTGCTCATGAAGAATTAAGCAGACAGCTATTTCTAGAAACTGTTGATTTACATGCCACGAAGGAACGGATTAAATATTCAAAAACTTTCAAGGGAATGTACTTCAATGTTTTAGGTTACTTCTTCTCGCTGTATTGCATGTGGAAAATATTCATGTGTATAATTAATATTATTTTTAACAGAGTTGGTAAAAAGGACCCAATAACGAAGGGATTTGAAATATTAGTTCATTATCTCGGCTTTGATGTCGACGTGTCATTCTGGAGTCAACACGTTTCTTTTATATTAGTTGGTATTATGATAGTCACGTCAATTAGGGGTCTTCTTATAACCCTTACAAAGTTTTTCTATGCGATTTCGAGCAGTAAATCTTCAAATGTGATTGTTATGGGGCTTGCTCAAATCATGGGAATGTATTTTGTTTCTTCTGTTTTACTAATGAGAATGAATATGCCTGCTTCATATAGAGAAATCATAACTCAGGTTTTGGGGGAACTCCAATTTCAATTCTATCATAGGTGGTTTGATGTTATTTTTCTTATTAGTGCCCTTAGCAGTATAGGATTTTTGTATCTTGCGCATAAGCAAGCTCCTGAAAAACATATAGTTCAAGATGTCAAACTATCATTATCATTTAATGACTGATCTTACAGAACTGTGTTTTGCTTGTAAGAAAGAATTAGATTGAATTTAAACATTAGTATTGAAGGTCTAAGACCTAAGTTTATCTTTTGAGGATTATGGCCTAAGTAGATTTTAATAAAACAGTATACCAGTCGACCATACTGCCATAATATGGATATACTAACAAAGTAACAATAAAAAGTAGAATTCATAATTATAAGTTAATGCAAATGTATTAGCGCAGACGTGTAAATTCTTCCATGACTTTTGTAAAGCATGTCTGAAATGATTTGTTTTCATGTTCTTTTCTTTTAAAGATAGCATAATGTTTCTCAATATTGTGAGTATATAAGATGAGATTGAACCAAAGCTATGATTGAATCTGAAAATGATGAATTGAATTTCATTGAAGGCGACAATGCTGCGTTACAAATAATCAATGATGAAGGAACATTACGTTTTCTTACTTCGGACTACATAAATGAGAATAATAATATTGATGAAGAGGCTAAGGAAAAGGATACAAAAGAATTGACTGATGCTAATATAGAAAAGCTTCGTTCTCGCTACTCTGAAGTTTTGGAGAAAGTAAAACCCACAGCCGACCCTGCAAATGCTTTCAATATGTTAGAAAAGGTCCAAGGTGGTAAATCGAATGATTATAGCATATTGACTAAAACTATAAATTCTTTGGTGAAAGAAATTGGAATCCATGATTTACAAGATTTTAGAATCGAGGATATTGTGTTGCTTGTTTTGGACATGTTCACAGCATTGCGACAATACATACATGAATTTAATGTGCAGCATATAATTCGACGGCGTGTAAAATCGGCTATTACCGCAAACAAACAACGCAACAAAGATCAGCTCAAGTTTGGTAATGTGGAAGTATATTTAAGTGATCTTTACAAATTGTATCCTGAAGTTGGGACTTTAGCTTCTGGTCGATGGTTGACCAGTGCTGAACGTCCATACAAAGACACTGTATTAGATATAGTTGAAGCAATTGGTATTAAAGATGCACATGATACAAGGATTTCTCATGCTGTCACATTAGCAATGGATCAATATCCTGTTTTGAGAGACCAAATAACTAATCCAAATTTACGGAAACAGTTTTTATCTAGAATCAAGAGAAGCTTTTCGAATAAATCCAAAACAAAAGTTAAAAGATCGTCCAATGACGAAATATGCCAGGTGAGCAGTGAGCATTGTAACAGAATTTATGTAGAATGGCCGCCCTTGATAATTGATAGCTTCGCTCTTGTCAATAACACAAATTATTGCGTGCTTGCCGTATAGCTTGATAATGTGAATCTTATATTTCTATATGAGCCACATCCAAGTAGCAGAAAAACTTAATGTTAATATTGTTTCATAGCTTGGTAATATGAATCTTCATATTTCTATATGAGCCACATCCAAGTAGCAGAAAGACTTAATGTTAATTTTGTTTCACTTTATTTTTTATTCATAACTGCTTCTGTTCTCAGAATGAAGATATGATTGATGAAGATAAATGTGCAGGCTCCAAGATTCCTAGGATAGAATTGGTGATTGAACAGGATGAAGAGAATGAATGTTTTCTAGACTGCGAAAAATTATAAGGAAATTCCACTGTTTTTACTGTTGACACAGAGGGTCTTGCACAAACATGTAATTCGTCCATTGCAATCACAGATAGTATATATCATATGTGTAGCAAACTGGACGCATTCACAAGATAATGTCTGCCTATACATATTATGTGAAATTAAAATACCCCATGAAATTGAAAGATCATTTTAGTTCTTTATGCCTCAAATATTTCTATATCTTTCCAGATTTAGTAATGATGCAAACATTATTGGTTTAGTGGCAAAGTTAAATATATTTTATAGCTTAGTATATATATAAATATTCTTACTTTACTACATCTACATGTTTTCACGAGTATTGTATCTTTTGTTATAGTTATTTTGCCTTATTTTTGGTGTTATGCAATTTTGAATAAGTTTTCAAATATTATAAAATGAGGGTTTTATGTTGTGACCAAACTGCTGGTTTTGTGATGGACGCTTTGACACAACTGTTGGGCAGTGTTAACCCTAGACGTTTCAAATATAGCACACAACTTGTTTTTAAAAAAAATATTTTTGCAAAAAAATATTACTAGCTCGCGTATAAAATATGGGAGGAGAATAGCCGATGGTAATAAGAATGTGGGAATTTTGGGTTTTGCGCATCTGTATTTATAACACTAACAACTCGTTTATATAATGGACAAACAAGTTAGATCTTTATGTTATCGTAAAAAAAATCGTATGTCATATGAGAATTGACTAATTGTTGAAACACATCGGATTACATACATATATGCGTATCACGTGAGATAAATGAAAAATCCGCATTTGCGTGGCAAGCGGAGTTTGGGGCAAATCAATAACGAACATTTGGTACTCCTGAAGTACGCGCACCAAGATGTCGCATAACCTGAACTCTAACTTGGTGTAAGTGACGCCCTTTAACCTGATGATATTTGAAGGCGACAAATACGTCCCGACCGAGATGGCCGGCCTGTAGACTATATAGCTGGCTGTATTCCTAAATTCCTTCGTCCAATATGATTGCCACTAACTTGCAATGTGTTAAATTTATTTAAAACCAATTAATCCAGTTCTTTTATTGAGTGACGAAAGATAATACGGTGTACTGTAAATTATATTCTAATTCCGTGTGCCGTATACCGTATATTTAAAGAATTTTTTGGGCTACCAACTACAAGTCTACATCTGTAGGACAAACATGCTTGATTAACAATAAACTAAATAAATGTGCAGCTTACTAATAATCAATGGACCTATACGCAGTAAAGCAAAGTCGGAAACCTAAATATTTAAGCTAAAACGGCGCTGCCAAATGCAAAGCGCACCTGAAACAACGGGCTGACCTTGAGTCTGAGTCGTCAAACGCGGGCTCTTTCACGTGACATCTAGTGACGTCATAATAGGTGTTAAATGACCCATAACAATATGATTTAAAAAGGGAAAGATTGATCGTTACATACCGCCCCCAATAACTTGACCGGGACTGTGGAAAGTTATTTCAAAACAAAACGATCAATAAATCACATAAACATAACTAGTAATCGAACGAAACTCATGAAACATCACTCCACAAATTGGTGGAATTGTACAAAAATGAATATATACATATAAACATATGTCTTAGCGACCAAAAGCCAAATTGTCCTAATAGCCTCAATAAAGCTCATATAGAGCAAAGCCCCATTAAATATATTGTAACATTTAGCCATTACAATCATGCTTCACAATTCTTCTAGGAAGCATAATTTTCTGATATCACGAATGAAAGATGAAGAGGCAGTGTCTACACGCACTCTTCTAACATGACCATTACTGTCAGGAAGGTCCTCCCTGATGATTCCTTTGGGCCATGAGCCTCGCTTGGTGTTCTCATCTACAACGAGAACTAAATCGCCCTTTTGAAGTTTCTTTCGGTGGAGCCACTTTTGTCTGGCCTGAAGTTGAGGAAGATATTGCTTGATCCATTGTGACCAAAATTGATCCGCTAAGCGATGGACTAGTTTCCAGGATTTACGATATCCATCTGCTCGGTTGAACTCTCCAGGAGAAAGCGACGAGTCTAGTTGACCCGTCAACAGCATCTTTGGAGTTAGAGGGGGAGAATCCGCAGCATCGTCACTGGATGAGGTGATAGGACGATTATTGATGATTCGTTCCACAATGCACAGAAACGTTTGTAGGCCTTCATCATCAAGCACTCTTTTCTCCAACCAGTGCATACAAAACTTTACGCACTGTACGAATAATTCTTTCCCAACATCCTCCTTGGTGGGAAGCAAGTGGAGGTGAGTGGATGAACTTGACACCACGATTAAGCATATAGTTGTGTAATTTATCATTGTTCCAGCTCTTTATTGCAGCCTTGAGTTCTCGTTCGGCCCCAACAAATGTAGAGGCATTGTCACAGTAGATCTCCTTTGGCATGATATGACGACTTGAAAATCGTTCAAAGGCATTTAAAACGAATTGGTCTCCAAAGAATGTGAAACTTCGAGATGAACAGCACGAGAAGACATGCATGTGAAAACACAAACATATCGCTTTATTGTGCTTCTTCCTTGCTTGATTATGACTGGCCCCATATAATCTATTCCAGTCCATGTATAGGCTGGATGACCTGGGGTTACCCTGCTGGCAGGAAGAGGTGCCATAACTTGTTTGCCCTTTGCTCTTTGCATGCGGCATTTAAGACATTTCCTTAGGTAAGAGCGAACAGTAGATTGACCATGTATTATCCAGTATCGTTCTCGAATGACTGCAAGAACATGTAATGTGCCACTATGTCCCTCTTGCTCATGGTACTTTTTGATGAGTAATCTTGTCACATGGTGATCTTGAGGTAGAATTATTTGATGTTTGCTATGAAGTGGTAGCAAAGAATGTTGAAGACGTCCTCCAATTCTCATCAAATCATCTTCGATAAATGGACATAAATTCTGAAGTGACTGACATTGACCTTTACGAAGTTGACTCTTTGGAACCTTATGTTCTATATTATTCATTTCAAGATACTTCATTTGTTTAGAAAACACATCACGCTGGGTGATTCTGAGAATTTCATGAGTGGCATAATCCAGCTCATCAACACTTAATTTGCCTATATCTTGAAATTTAACTTTGTGCAAATACTTTGCTTTGCAGAATTTTGTGAAACGTATTATCCAAGCAATTGCCCTTTGAAGTCGCCCATAATCTGAGTAGCGCTCCATAAGCATAGACAATACAGACTTGACATTATCCTTTTCCATATTAACATTCGTATTTATTATAGTCTTGACTTCAGGATCATTTTCAGGAATTTGAGGTAAAACTTCAGGACGCTTAGGCCAGTGTTCCTGAGAATGCCAAAGAAATTTAGGCGCGTTAAACCAAGAAATGGCTTTGTCGATACATCTAGGACTTAATCCTCGTGATGCTACATCTGCAGGGTTATTTTTAGTGTCTACATGTCTCCATTGATTAATCGATGAACTATTGTGAATTTGAGCCACTCGGTTAGCTACAAAAACATGATACCTTGCTGATGTATTTGATAGATACTGGAGCACTGAAGTTGAATCTGTCCAGTAACAAACATTGTTGACTTTGTATTCCAACTCCTTTAGGACAAATCGACTGAGCTTCACTGCGAGTACAGCTGAACATAGCTCCAATCTTGGGATGGTAATCTGCTTTCTGGGTGTCACTCGAGATTTTCCCAAAACAAATGAGCAATGAATAACACCATTCTGTGACATCATACGCAAATAACTCACTGCACCATATCCAACTTGGCTGGCATCACAAAATGTATGAAGCTCAATGTGGTCGTCTTAAATCCTGGTGGTTTGAAACATCTGGGAATGACACTTCCTGCAGTTCGGAAGCTCGTTAACCCATTTTTGCCATATTTCTTCATATCGGGTTGGGATCGGAGAGTCCCATCCAATATCTTGAGCACATAAGTTTGCATGAGGCTTTTCATTGGTAAGATGAATGGTTGCATCATACCCAATGGATCATATATTTGTGATATCATAGAGAGACAACCACGTCTCGTGAGAGGCTTTGGCTTTATATCCACTTTCACAGTGAACTGGTCACTGACATTATTCCACATAATACCAAGTGTCTTAGAGCAATATGATTTATCAAGAGTTAAATCCAAAAAACTATCTTTAGCTTTGTCTATATCTGAAATAGAAGAAAGAACAGACCGGCAGTTACTGCGATACTTGGTAAGATAACCTACATTAGATAACAAGCAATCTAACTGATTAATGACATCAATAGCACAATGAGAAGAATCACAAGATTTCAAACAGTCATCAACATAAAAATTATTATTAACTGTATTTAAAACATCAATATTAGCATTTGTTTCATTATCTATTGCAGCTCTTTTTAAAGCATATCCAGCTGCACTGGGTGAACTGGTTAGGCCAAAAAGACTTCTTGTCATAAAGTAAGATTCAGGTTCTTTTGAAATGTCATCATTTGGATACCATAGGAATCTCAGAGAATCCCAATCCTCAGGATGAACTTTAACTTGATGAAACATTCCTTTTATGTCACACACAAAGGCTATGTCTTCCTGTCTGAATCTGGTCAGAACTCCAACAAGATTTGAGCAGTGGTCTGGTCCTTGTAATACTTGATTGTTGAGTGATATATTGTCCACCTTGAATGAACAATCAAACACAAGCCTAAACTTTTCACCAGTTGAGTGATGAGGTAAATACCAAATCTTCCTTTCATCAGATGGGACATGGTCTTCAGGTATTTTCTTAGCATAATCATTGTCAATATATTCATGAATTTTTCTTTATTTATCAAAATACTCTGGATCACGTTGAAATTTTCTCTTCAAATAATCAAGTCGTTTCTTTGCAAATTTATAACTCTGTGGGAATTGTGGTTCTTCACATTTCCATGGTAACCTCATTTGATAGTGACCATCAACTTTACATATTGAATTTTCCATGATTGACAAAGCTCTCGTATCTTCGATGAGGTGCAAATTCTTCAGTGAATCAGATTCACTGAAGTCACAATTAAACATTCGTTGCAACTGCTCACAAAGAACATCTCTTTCAACATTAGCAAAATTGATAGACATACCGTTGGTGACCTTTGAAACATCTTTGCCTATGAGTGTCCATCCAAGTGGGGTATGAACAGCTGCAGGTTGGCCTTTATTCCTAGTCTTCTATCTTGAATTATTAGAGCTTCATAATTATCAGCACCAATCAATAATTCTGGTTCATGATTCCCTATTTCAGGAAAATCGATACCGTTAAGATGCCGGTAACTTTGTATATCTGCCTTCGTAGGAAGTCCATCTGAAAGTATTGGAAGTGACTCAACAGCTAGAACATCTTCCAACATAAACTCGTCAGATTCCTGTAGACCCTTAACATTTAGGTGCAATCTGTAGCCGTTTTGCTTATGTAGGCCATTGACTGTGGAAATAGTGAAAGAATCTTGCTTTCCTTTCACCTTGAGTTTCTTCATAAGACTTAGCTTACAAAGAGTTGCATTTGAGCCATAATCAAGAAGTGCAGTGGTTTTCACAGAGTGTGAACCATCTGACGAAGTTACATTAACTGGTACAATCATGAGATATACCCTTTTCCTTGAATTGAGAATTGATGCATCAGTGCTTCCATTGACAACATGAGTTGAAGTGTCACTTGCTGCATTTCTATCAGAAGGCTTGTCCTGTCTGATACGTTCTTGGTTGTGTAGAAGCGAATGGTGCAATTTTCCGCAGTTCTCAATTTTGCATCGGTTGTCACTGGGACAGTTGCGTGCTACATGCTTGGTACGAAAACAATTGAAACATAAAGCTTTTGACTGGATAAACTTTGCACGGTCTGGAACAGACTTCTTGATAAAGGATTCACATTTCCACAACCTGTGGGGTCCATCACAAAGTAAACAATCCGAAAACACATTGGACGACTTAACTTGTGATGTTTGGGTGACATAAGCGGACACCTTGGTAGAATTATAGCTCTTTTTTGGCATAGCATTTCTATTCTTCAAATTTTGCTCTGCAGTGAGACGGCTCAGCCTAGTATCTGCCAATATTGCAGATTGATTAACAAATTTATACAAATCATGATATGTTGGTTCTTTGTCACTATTGTAAGTAGATGTATGATGTCTTGTGAACTCTCTTTGCATTGGTACTGGAAGTCGTAAATAGATTTTGTCAAACAGATCTTGACTGTCAAGCTTAGAGCTATGTTCCCAATTCGTCAAAATGATACCACAATTACGCATTTGTGTGGCAAGATCATATAATGCTTCAGAATCTTGTGGTTTTATGCTAGGACCATTTTTGAGTGAATCCATAAATGCGTTTACAACTTTGTAATCTCGTCCGAATTGTTGTTTGAGAATTGAGCGTGCATCAAGATAGCCTTGCAAAGGTGGTTTCACTATGATACAAGATTCAATTGCTTTCTGGCTTTTCCGGTACATTGATCAATCAAATAGTTGAGTTTAGTACGAGGATCTGCAATTTTACTATCATACATATCATCAAAATTTTGAATAAACCTGTGATAACTCAACGCATCTCCATCAAATTTTTCTATTTCTTGAGGTCCTTGTCTAATTGAAGATGCCATGCAATACAGAGCATCAGCAAGACTCATGAATTTTGGTTATCACCAACCGAAACTGGTGTAGGCCCATGGCTATAGCTAGTTGGATTACCTTGCATAAAAACTTGTCTATCAGGAACATGTTTAGACTCCTGTCTTCTTGGTTGAGGTTGCAGAATGCTATTGTATGTAAAAGATGAATTATATTGCATCTCTTGTGGTGCTTGATAGACTGAGTGATATCTGTCCGCAGCAGTATGGTTAATGTTACATTGCTCGTTATGTCTTTTCCGGTGAGTGGTATTCAGCACCTGAGTAGCGTTGTTGTTCCGACTGGGGAACCTGACCAATATAAGGATGATTTGCTTGTTGTATGCTAGGGAGATAATCTTTGTTCATGTATGTTTGTGACGCAATAGGTGGGCTAGGATGACTTTGAAATGAAGGAGTTTGCTTTGTCTGGTGCTCATGAGAAACTGACGCTGGTTCAACTTCATCAAGACATGCATTAACTTGTTCGCCATATGCATTATTTGGCATTGCGGGAGGCACATTTGAAACTTGAGTTACATCTTGTCATAACGAAGAAATAGAACCTACACATGAAGGTGCCCGGCTGGCGGACGCTAGAGATTCTAATTCCTCATCTATCATGGATGCCTTAGCGCGTGACAAGTTAATATCAATTTCGAGCTTTGCCTGCTCCATTTCAACCTTTTTCTGCTCCATTTCCACCTTTTTCTGATCCATTTCCACTTTTCTTTGATCCATTTCTACTTTGCGTCTTTGGAGCTGGGCTTCATTCTCCATCTCCTCCAACTTTAACTTTGTTAAACGAGCACGCTCCGAGCGCTGGCTGACACTAGACATCTTGCTACAATGCGAGCCATTAGATGCAGTACTTTTAGCATCATCAAAAACTTGCCAATCAGCACTTGAACTGTTTGAAGCCATCATAAATGATATGATTAGAGAAATGAATTTACAATAATCAGTCAGTGAAATTTATTTGTACAAGTCAATCTTGAATTGTGGCCTGGGCAATCCTAAATGCGTTGAGTGGCTTGTCCACTCAATGCCACAAAATTCTTTAAACGATGTAAGTGACGCCCTTTAACCTGATGATATTTGAAGGCGACAAATACGTCCCGACCGAGATGGCCGGCCTGTAGACTATATAGCTGGCTGTATTCCTAAATTCCTTCGTCCAATATGATTGCCACTAACTTGCAATGTGTTAAATTTATTTGAAACCAATTAATCCAGTTCTTTTATTGAGTGACGAAAGATAATACGGTGTACTGTAAATTATATTCTAATTCCGTGTGCCGTATACCGTATATTTAAAGAATTTTTTGGGCTACCAACTACAAGTCTACATCTGTAGGACAAACATGCTTGATTAACAATAAACTAAATAAATGTGCAGCTTACTAACTAATCAATGGACCTATACCGCAGTAAAGCAAAGTCGGAAACCTAAATATTCTAAGCTAAAACGGCGCTGCCAAATGCAAAGCGCAACCTGAAACAACGGGCTGACCTTGAGTCTGAGTCGGTCAAACGCGGGCTCTTGTCACGTGACATCTATGTGACGTCATAATAGGTGTTAAATGACCCATAACAATATTATGATTTAAAAAGGGAAAGATTGATCGTTACACTTGGTACACAACCTGAGTTCAGGTTGTGCGCCATCTTGGTGCGCATACTTCAGGAGGTCCGAACATTTTTAGTATATATATATATTTTTTGTTTGTTTGTTGGAAGCGTTAGTCGTTGGTTGAAAGTAATATAATTACTTAGTTTTGATTGAACAATCCATATGTGCCATTTTGTTTGAATCGAACTCGTTTTTCAGTAGCCTATTGGTTATCCCACTATTTATCGAAACAGCCTCAATTGTTTTTAAAAATAGTACAGAAAATCACTACTCGAAAAATCTTTTCTAATGATATAGGACTAGCGCGTTGTATTTGATTTCGTTTAGGTGAGTTTATAATGAAATCCTCCTTAACGGTAGATAAAAGGAAGACAAAAAACAACAATGACCGAAAAACTGAGGGTCCTCAACATTTGAAAGTACAGAAATCATTGGTTTCCTAAATTTATTTTGAATTGAATCCTGAAATCACTAGATTCCCTGTAGTCAATGCTACTGCATCTGAACATTCTCGATTCCAGTTTTTATGGATATATATATATTCGTAGAAATATTTTTGAATCTGTCACAGCAGCCTAGAAAAGATTAATAGAGTAAGGGTTATTGTTTCGTCAACCAGAAAATAAGCATTGCAACATTGAAAAACACTCAAAGTTGCTGGGGAGTGATACGACCATGCGGTCATCTAATTGGGTCATCAGAGTCAGTTCCCCATACCCACTATTATGTAAAAGATCCCGAGTTCCAAAAGTATGTGAACGATGCGTAAAAAAAAGCTACTTTTTGCAAATCTGATTCGCATGCTTTCGCATCTGGGTTTTTCGGTCCTTATACGGACAGACAGTCCTTGCCAGATATGTCCAGGGACTGAACCAAGTTCATACAGATTGATAGTTTTTCCCTTATTTGAGACATAAAAATAGCATGAAATTAATTGGCTGCTTTGTCGTCTTGAGACCTAATACGTAAACACAAAACGGTCAGAATATTTATCACAAAAGAAATATTTGGCGCTCATCTCAGTTTTGCGCCAGAGGGCGCTAAATTTCTGAGTCCAGGAGCATGTGTTTCTTGTCAGATATTCTCATGCTGCGTGGCTGCTTTTGTGGGTGGATCTTTGATTTCTAGTTTCATTGCCGCGTTTTCGCAATATTATTCATAAATTCTCATTAGGAAGTTTGTAATGTGTAATGACGCGTAATATAAATGAAATGGACGAGGAAGAGCAGTGGGAAGATGTTAAAGGAAGGAAGAGAGGACAGAAAAATCAAAATGGGGATGGATTGTCAAACGACTTTGAGAAAGAGCCAGACTTCAGCGATCCAGAGGATTATGAAGAGGATATCAGCGATGAAGGTATGGGAGTGATCCTTATTGCACAATTTGGGGGTTTGGCTAATGTCAGAATGTGCTTTATTTCAGTATTTACTGCTTTTTTTTATTTGCTAATGCCAGAATGCAGTTAAATTAACTCAAGCAGTCAGGTTTCTGCAACACGTTAACTTGGTAATTCAGCTACAGGAGTGGTGACTTTTCTATGGGTCGGGGCCACATGGGCCCATCAGGAAAAATTCAATTATCTTACCAAAATTTGCAATTTTTACAAAATTGTCAATATTCGAACCGAAAAAAATTGTGAGATGCTACCAAATTTTGGGTCTGGTGAAGTACACGCCGTCAAGTACTTCTACCGGGCGTAGCATAACGATTTTTGCATACAATATTCTTAACCCTCACACCTTACATCACTGCGACGTAACAATCGCGACATAGAGCTTGCTAAATTATAACTATAATCGTCCTAAATGGCATCTGTGCCGACTATAATGAACTCACTAACCCCAGCGATCTCTTTCTTATCGTTATCGTTACGGCGAGAAAACGAGAGAAGTAGCTTGCGCAATTTCGGATGATTGTCTGCACGACCACACGTTTACTTTGGAGGGCCTTATTACGTCACTGCGACTACGCAGTGATGTAATTTTTGGATGACGTAGTCAGGTGAGGGTTAGGAATGACATATGCAAAAATTGTTGAGCCAGGCCAATTACAAGTGCTTGCGGCGTGTACTTCACGAGACCCCAAATTTTTTTCTTACGATGGGCCTTTATATAAAAATAAAGCAAAATACCAAGCAACAGGAGAGAATACTTCTGTAGTATGTGTACCAGGTTAGGGTTATTACAAAATTTTGTTCAGATTTTTTACATTATAGTTCTAATATGAGTTCGGGGACTGACTGTGTTAGCCAAGTGAATAGTCCCTTTACACAACTTGATGGGCCGATTCCCAATTCGATGGGTCGTGGCCCCGGCCCATAGGTCGTAGAAGAGTCACCACTCCCACTCTAATTCAGGGAACTCTGCAACTGCATGAAAGTTTCTGATAGAACTGCAGAATGTTTACACTGTTCTTTTTTATTGTCATATGGCGTGGCTGTGTGGGCAACCCTAAAATGCGGGAAACGGGAAATGCACTGAAATGCGAGAACCACAGGAAATTGCCAAAACTAAAATGCAGGAATGACGGAACTATGGGAAATTTCACCGTCGTCGTGCCAGACGCCCCTCTTTTGTGAGAGACATGGAGTGTTTGTTTTATTGAACCAAATGGAGGAAAATTCTTGGAATTTGGATAGTGTGCTGTACTGACATCTAGGAGATAGTTATGTGCGAGAGGATTGCTGGACTCCTCGCCCCCGTAGGCAGTGGCGCAACCAGGCCGTTTTCAACGGGGGGGGGGTCTGACCGGAATTTACACAGTGCAACCACGACGTAAGTCGCAACGCCACTAGGTGTCGCCCCGCTGACCACGATAAATTGCTCATGGTTAAAAGGGAAACGCCATCGATTAAATCCCAGCCTTTCGCTTACCTTGCACTCGTTCATTAACGGCGCTTCGCTATGTCTTGCACCTCGTGAGTAGCAAAACGCCGTTCATTACATACCAGCGAATTGCTAACGAAAAGCTGTTAATTATTTTCAACGTTTTCCTCGCTTTGCGCCTCGTGGATAGTGAAACACGGCTTGAATAAATTCCAGTGTTTCCCTCGTGCCGCGCCTTGCTCGTTGGGTGAATTCGTCAAGACTAAAAACAAAATGCACTTCTTGCGAATGGACCTTTTCCCGACCCTAACCCCGGAAAAATTCTAAACTAAACTGAAGCTCACCGGAAGACATAATGACAATTAAAATAATTGATTTACAACTAATTTTTGGAAACACAACTAAAAACTGACTAATTTAATGCAGGGATGTCCAAATCGAATTTAAATTCAAATATCGCAAACTTCAAATACTGTTTTTTCGTGTTTATAATAATCCCAAATATGGCGCACATATCCTAGGCGTCGTCGTCCATGTGTGGTTCGGCAATATATTACAGCTGACATGAAAGAATTTCGATAAACGCCGACTTGAAGAACTTATAAGACTTCGAGGACGTTTTTGATTGAAAATATTTTCTTATCGGGTATTTTAACTTAGTCGAGATGGTTTAGGCGTCCTCGGCAAATTGTGTCTTAATTAGTTGTTTTCATCCTCAGTTTCGATAGTGACCGAACATAACAGGAAATTTTTTCATTTCTTCTAATTTAGCGCGTATAAAATAGCTCTTAAATAGTATTTAATATCTATCGCGGATTTCGTCGGCATCCGGCATTGATAACAACATCAGTTCAGTTAAAGTTAGCGGTATTCATTTACAAACAAAAATACATAACAGCCGACATGAAATATTCAAATCAGCGCAGAATTCAATAATAAAACACGTTTTATGGTCTTAATATGCACATAGAAAGAAGAAAGGACAGAGAAATAACGACTAAAAACTAAGAACGGTATGGTATGTTTGTGTACTTTTGTTTACCATCGTCATCATAATCAAATTAGTTAAACCCGATTCCCAAATTTCCGTCCGCCAATAATGGAGAATGAAGATGGAAAAACGTGTTTTACTTTTTGAGTCAGCGTTGATTTAAATTTTTCATGTTATGTGTTATAATTTTTTGATTATAAACCAATACCTCCAACTTAAAATGAACGATATTGTTATCAACGACGTCAGGACTCGGGATAACGATAAAATCTCCGATAGAAACCAAATAATATTTAGAAGCTATTTTATAGATTGCAAGAAATTAAAAAATTTGACTAAATTGAAATATACGATAACAAATGTAAAAAATTTTCAACCAAAAACGTCCTCGACGTCTTATAAGCACTTCAAGTCAGAGTTTATTGAAAACCTTTCACGACGACTGTTAGTTATTGCCGTGCCACACATGGCTGCTTTCGATTGCGATAAAAAATGAAATAATTGTGGAATGTTTTTAAATCAGAACGTGGGGGCGGTAGGATGTTTACGGCGTTTTCGGTTTTCGGCCTTTCATATGTAGAAAATCTTAGGTTATTCGAAGCAATATTTTTCCGAAAATAATTTTCGTATCCAGATTTTCAGAGTTTCTACTGCATTATTATAACATGAAGACGGGCGGCGTTACATTGCGTCAAGATGATGAAGCACGAGAGTATTCGTCACAAGAGAGAGAGAGATAGCATTATGCTATTGTCGCTTTCAATTCGCATCGACAGCGCGCGGTTTCTACTTTTTTGAGATAACATATCTCATTTTCGAATACAAACATATACGCGGGGTTAGCGATTATTACGTAACTATCAGCAAAATGGTATGATTGAAGTCGGGCGGTGTTAAATTACGTCGAGGTGATAAAGCACTGGAAAAAAGTAGTTTTCACCGGATTGTTATGACCGTGGAACGACGTTGTTTTAACATAGAACAATAATAAAAAAAAAACGAAATTCAAACGGGGGGGACACGACCCCCGTAACCCCCCCGCTGGTTGCGCCACTGCCCGTAGGGTGGTTCACGTACTGCTAGTTGGTTATGGCTTCCTCCACCATCTAAGCCATGCTATCGAAAACAAATAACTAATCCCATACCTAACATGGAATGATAACCGGACGCCCTCAGCTCCCTCTCCCTCCAGCCCCCGGGATAAATATGTAAATCCTATCCTATTTTTCAATATTATAAATTTTGGAATTTATTTTAAAATGTCAAACAATCCAACGTCTTCTGATGGCCTGTGTCCATGGTATCTTTTTAAAAATATTTGAATTTACGGGATGGTTTATCCACTTTGCGATCAACTTATTTTTGGGCTGCAACATTCAGAGGTTAACTTTCTATACACACTTGAAATGAGTCACTGAAATAATCTATTTGGGATCAAACAACAAATTTGCAGCCTAGCTCTGATAACCTATCTGCTGTGTTGATGCTACCCAACTGACAGTAAAGACAAATTTGATGTATCTCGTTGGAATACCTCTTAGAATATATTATAATTAGGTTCTATGCAACTTAAAATATCTTTACTAAACACTTTAAAATTGTGTCTTTGTCCTAACTTTTTTCTAAAATTGAGCATATATTATTTATAGTACAACTTATATATTCAGAATTACTAGGGAGACATTCTGAGAAAGGAGCCAAAAGAAGCAGATGGATGTGAATCTGTAATTGTTGTTGACAATATACCTGTCGTTGGTGAAAGTAGAATTGAAAAACTCAAGTCTGTTTTAACAAAAATTTTCTCCAAGTTTGGACCAATCCAGTCCGAACATTTTCCACAACAGAATGGACAAACAAAAGGGTAAGTAATCGCTAAGTTGATTTTAAGCAAACTTTTAAAGTTCTTATTATATACAAGTGCATTATTTGTCATAAAATATACTTAGCATTGCATAAATATTTGCAAAATATTTCAATTTCAAATTGTTCAATTCAGCTTGAACTGATACAATCAAGTAGATATTGAAAATATTTGGCTTTTTATTGGTGACCGAATTGCAAACCCTTTCACATCTATGAAATGTTACATCGCTGTGCTTATTTTACATATAAATGAAATGTGTTCTTATGAATTTTCGGAACTTGTCGCTCCAAAATAAGTTTTCGAGTCGTCAAACTTGGTTTACTCTGAGCTAACTATCTGTTTTAATTTTTTTTATTAAAAGAAGACATCAAAAAAGGCTTATGTTTTGTTAAATAAGTAAAAGCTGTTGCGATCATTTCAATGTATTCAAATTATTTTTAATTAATTTTGATCTTGGTCGTTTTCATTCTTGCATGCTCTCATCATCCCTCTCATTTTATTGAATGAAATTCATCATTTTCTTTTTCAGATACATATTTATTGAATACACGCGACCCGAGGATGCATTAGAAGCAGTGAAAAAGGCTGATGGATACAAGCTTGACAAAGCTCATACATTCAAAGTTAATTTATTTAATGATATAGAAAAGTATGTTATTCCATTTGTTTTAAATTACACTAGAAAATTTTGAGGCGAAATTTATGTGTCTAAATTTTTCACAGTGATGTGCATTGAACCAGCGTTCTAGTTGAAATTGCAGCAACATTTATGTTACAGGTCTTAGAGGAAAATGGTTTATGGTGTTCTGAATAATTTCGATTTTTTAGAGCCAAAATTATGCTAAACGTTGATTTTGAAAACTATTTTGGATGTTAACTATGTCCTATCTGTACCTCCTGTGATCTCGAAAAGTGACCTACTCGACGTTGATAATGTATAAAATGTGATATCTATTGGTCTGATATGTTATGCCTTGAAAATTTCAGGTTTGACAACATCGAAGTTACTCAAAAGTCGGCAGAAAAACAAGAATTTAAAGATATGGTATGATTTTATTTCTTACTGTTTGACATAGTTGAACTTGATGGTATATTTTCCAGCTCTGTATTCTCCTTTTCGTGAATATAACCTTTTCTGTTTCATATAAAAATTGATGTTTCCGTACCTTGAATTGCTGACTCAATTTTGTGTGTTATTTTTCTTCAGGGAAATCTCCATTATTATCTTGAAGAAGAGGATTGCAATGATCAGTTCAGTATCATATACGAGGGAGGAGATAAAACAGCAATATTTTTAAACACTCATACTGAACCAGCATTACTCGAAGAAAGAAAGGTTTGAAATTTTAATAAAGGCTAACTCTGAGCAATAAACGTTTTGTTGATAAAATTAATTTGTGTGCTTAATTACTTTCAATCCTCTCTTTCAAGTTTCTCCTGTTCATTATTCAGAACTTCCATTGAAAAATTCGTTTTCGAATTCAAATCTCATGCCCACCACCTTACCCAGAATTGGGAGGTAAGTGATGCCGGATCGAAATGATTTTCGACATCCCAACAACAGCATCTATTTACATGTCATTAATTATCAGTGGCACAAATAAGAGTCATATGAAATAAATAATCAATATATTAATCAGGATATTATAATTTTAGAGATGGACTGAGACATATACTCGTTGGTCACCACAAGGAACATACCTCGCTACTTTTCATCAAAAAGGCATCGCACTTTGGGGAGGCGAAAATTTCAAACAGATTCAGCGTTTTGCTCATCAAGGAGTTCATCTTATCGATTTTTCTCCATGTGAGAGGTGAGATCGTATGCTGTAAAACAGAGTCTTCTTTAAGACTTATCTTACTTAGGTTAAAGATTTTCGATGTGCTTTCAGTTTTCTGTCGACTGTGAACACACCACACCCATCTACAGTCAGTGTACACGACAGACAAAAAAAATTCATGTGAAAGTTTTTTTTTCTTGGAAAATTCTTATCTGGACGTCGCAAGCTGTTTTCCATCTGCAAATTATCATAGAATTTCCATCTCACAAATTTGTTTCTAGGTACTTGGTAACCTTCAGTCCAATGCAAGCTGGTCGTACTACCGAAGAACCACAAGCTATTGTTATATGGGATATTTTTACTGGTGCAAGGAAAAGAGCTTTCCATGCGGATATGTCTGGAGAAGAAGACAGGCAATGGCCAATCTTCAAGTGGGTTTTATTCACTGGATATAGTGTTTTTGCCCTAGTTTTTTAAACTCCGTAAATTTTTTTTAACTTTCATACAAAGGCAGATTTCATCAAGACAAAACGTTACAGTTTAACTATGTGTGACTGTTATAGCTCTCAAACGTGCAACATTGACCGTAGCACATATGGTTTTTATTTTCATTTCTCTTTTGATTGGAGAAAAATTATAACATTGATTTACACAAATGAGTTTGGGAACTACAAAATTGGCGCTCCAGAAGATTGCATACCAATATGGAGGTAACTAATTTTATTCGCCTACTTTACATCAAGTTGTGTAAAGGTACTGAAAACTATGGGTAGTGGGTATATTGCCTTGGCTAACACGGACAGTCCCCGAACTCGTAATAGAACTTAGAAAAGGAAAATCCTAATAAAATTATGGCCTAACCCTAACCTGGTACACAACTACAGGAGTACCTAAAATTACCAACAATGTCCTGATTTTTGCTAAAGCAGGTATTCAACTTTGTTATTTTTTACAGATGGAGTAACAGTGGAAAATTTTTTGCCAGGAAATCTAGCGGAGTTTTGAGTGTTTATGAAACTCCAGTAAGATTTTTGTTGTTATTTTATAGTGTCATTTCATAAATATGAAAATGAAAAATGGATAAATTTTAACACAAAGCCAAATTAAAGAAATAACCCAAATAACCAGATTAAAGTACCCAATTATTGATAGTGATTGCGGAAATATCAGTGTCATTAATTTTGTTTTCGCATTTTTCATTTTTAACACATAGATAAAATGGAGAAATTACCCAAATCACTAGATTAAAGTAGCCCATTATTAATAGTGAATGCGTAAAGACTATTGCCATTAATTTTGTTTTCACATTTTATTTGTTTAGTCGTTTGGACTGCTCGATAAGAAAAGCTTGAAGATAGAAGACATCAAGTGAGTGCAATGAAAATACCTACGATGGTTTGCTTATAAGGTGTTTCCATCACTTATCTTATGCTTGATAATTATAAATAAAAAAAAGGCAACAAAAAGTCTTGAAATAACGTATGCATTGCAAATGGTACAGAGTGAAAACCTATGTTTGTGGTCCACAGGGATCTGCTCTGTGGCCCCCTGGGGCTGAAGGATCCAGTTTGAGAAACTCTGGTTAATTGTTGCTAAGGAGGATCTGTTCGAGGCAAAATCAAATAATAGCTCCTGAGAATATATATTGCTAACAGTAGGTAAATCTAATGCTGTTGCTTAATGCTAATATGTTTGGAGGCTTCAATCATTTTCTGCTTATACAAAGAAGGAATTTTGTGTTATTGTTGGTTTTCAATTTACCTTTTCGCCCCATCATTTCATTGTTGGATCATAATTTAATAATTTATCTGACTTACTGTTTAATTGAAAATTATGTCTTGAAATGTTTTTCCAAATTTCCTAGAATTGCGTTTTTTGTTTTCAGAGAATTTTCGTGGTCGCCAGCGGAAAACAAACTTGCTTTCTGGGTTCCAGAAAGGAATGAAATACCTGCTCGTGTTACGATTCTTGCCATTCCATCACGTCAAGAACTTCGAGTCAAAAATCTGTTCAACGTGTCTGACATCAGATTGCATTGGCACAAACATGGAAAGTTCCTATGTGTGAAGGTTGATCGGTATAACAAAACCAAAAAGGTATCATGGTTGTGATTTATATTTCTTCCTTTTGACTATTTTGAATTCATTTGAATTTTAACCCAATCTTGGTAAAGGTAGTTTAATATTTTTCCACCTCGTTTGATACACAATTTCGATGATTACTAACATATTTGGTAACACTATGAATAGTATTTATTCCAGTAAAAAAATTTCCTCATAAATATACCGAATATACAGAATACTAATTTAAAATTGGTACGCATTAAATTTTTTTTATTTTTTTTTATATATGGGTGTTTATAGCGATTTTTTTGGTACAATATATAGTTTGTTGGCCTCTCCATGTGTATTAAATGGATGAAAAAAAAATAAAAAAAAACACTGGTTAAAATGAAATAAATTTGGTTAAGAAATATTGCGAACCGACTTATTCGCAAAATTGAAAATCTTTTGGGACCTTATGGACACAGCCTGTATTTCACAATACCAATATGTAGAGTGTTATTTTTTTTGCCTCATGCTGGCAAGTGTAAGAGAGAAAATTCGCTTTGTAATTGTCTATTACAAATTACGATTTAACATTTAGTTGCTAATATATGTTGACTCTGAAAAATTGAGCATTGTCAAACCTGTCTGTTCCACATCGAAATTTGAATCAAAACCTATACTACTACCTATACTGAAATGTCTATACAGACTCTTGTGCATTTTTTTTTCTCTTGTGAAAAAAATTCGACTCTGCCTTTAATGCCAGCAACAAAAGCCACATACTTCACGACCCTGATATTAATATCATTATCAATATGACCTTTCATCACACTGATTTCATGAAACTCAAAACATTATTTGTTTCACAGGCAAACATCTCTAATTTTGAGATTTTCCACATCAAGGAGAAACAAGTTCCCGTCGACATTGTTGAATTGAAAGAACAGGTATTCATTATTGCGGCACCCTATAAATCATGGAAAGTTCTTTCAATGTTATATTTTCAGCATTGATTGAGGCATACAAAGATCGCTAATGCTAAATCTAGATTGGGATATAAATATATGTAAGCTGCCACCTTCATGTTAGTACATGATAACGTTCAAAAGTTTACTGCTAGTATGTAGAAATTTGAATTTTCAATACAATAACAATCACTTCTCTGAAAATGGTTATATTGATCTTGTTGCAAGTCAGATATGTGGTGAATAATTTAAATAATATTTTTTACTCCCATTTTCAGGTTACCGCATTCGCTTGGGAGCCTACAGGAAGTAAATTCTGTTGTTTGCATGGAGAGACACCACGCATTAGCGCATCATTTTATGCAGTAAAAAGTGGAAAAGTTGAGCTATTGGGTAACAAAGAAAACTATAAAAAAAAGATTTAATTTATCATTTACAGGATTAATCTTTGTTTGTTTTATCAACAGAAACAATGGAAAGGAAAACGGCTTCTCATATATTTTGGTCTCCTGCTGGTCAATTCGTACTGCTAGCTGGTTTGAGAAGGTATATATTATGTGTGGTGTATGTATGTTTCAGTTTATTTTACCTGACTTCATATGCAATGAACACATAGTTTTTAACTACTGGCCGATTTGGATTGAATGGTGATGAAAACTGGGCTTTTTGAGACCTGATTATGAATACTGTTAAATATTTCAAAAATCTGTAAAAACCGGAATCTTTCCTGTTCTGCATTGCTTACCCAATTTATTACCCCGTGGTGAGCAGGTAATTTGAACTCGAGATTTTGACATGCGATATCACCATAGTTCAGTCTAATGCTAACCATTAAGTCACCGCAAGATTCAACCACCAAGTTTATACATGCCTAGTCTTTGTGGACTACCAATTCACATTTCCCTATTCATTGAACCCTGCAACTATAGCTTCAAAACTTGAGATGTTTGAATGGTTTTCATCATCTGATCCTTACTATTTGTATTATAGTTCCAGCCAACTTGAATTCATAGATACAGCCGATATGACAGTAATGAATACAGGGGAACATTTGATGGTGTCTGATGTGGAATGGGATCCTACTGGCAGATTTTTAATATCTGTTGTCAGTTGGTGGGCTCACAAGGTAATGTACTGAATCATAATCAAATTTTCCAAAGGACCTTTGCTGTGTTTCTGCTAATGCTCGTTACGGATTATAAATTGAGATGAATACTCGTGATAGTTAGTGGACTAGTTTTAAATGAAAATTCAAACTTTCATAGAATATTATTAAAAGATTTTAACGTTTCGAGATAATTTTGCTTGTATTTGTTTTCATGTAAACCATGCATTTTTATATTTATTCAGATTGATAACGCTTACTGGGTGTGGTCTTTCCAAGGACGATTGCTGCGTAAGCAAAGCATGGACAGAATTTGTCAGCTGCTTTGGCGTCCTCGCCCTCCTCCTTTGCTTACAGAAGAGCAGATCAAGGTTAAATTTCTCTTTATATTATTTAGATGGACTGATAGTGATATTGTTGAAATAGGAAAGCTAATAAATCAGTATTTCGGGTGAATGTGTACATTAGTTTTGGGGCTGTTATAATGTCTGCCACATTCATATTTCCACAATCATAATGTATGTCCACTCAGACATATACAATGAATTCAGCATAATTCACTAATTATTTCTTTGTCTGAATATATGTAGAAAGTGAAAAAGGATTACAAGATGTATGCCAAAATGTTCGAAGCAAAAGATCGAGTCTTGCAATCAAGAGTTTCAAAAGATATTCTGGATAAACGTCGTGCACTCATGGATGAATTTATGAGTTATCGTCAAGAAAATATCAATATTTATCAAGATCAGACTCCGTATAGGAGAGAATTGAGAAACGGTATGATATACTTTGGCTTTTACGTTTTGAAAATAGAAGTTTTTGCCAAAACTCAATGAAAAGTAGTTCATGAAACTTGACAGATATTAAGGTTCGATCAGTTTTTTTGGTTAGAACTTATAAAGTTGGGCATAAATCTATGAAAGTGCTGTGTTTTACAAATGATACCATAGTAAGTAAGAATCCTATTTTGTTTCTATCTTGTCCGTATTGTAATTAGAATAATTTTATACTTTGTCTTCAAGGTGTTAACACTGATGAAGTTGACAGTCATGCTGAAGACTGGGATGAAGTTCAAGTTGAATTACTCGTTGATGAGGTTGAAACGATCATAGAGTGACAAAAACGTGATCTTCGATTATCTTGCTGTCCCGGAATTGTACTGAAGATTTTGGGATAGCACCTGACCAGCTGTACCATTTATTTTTGAACGAGTCTACAGATATTAGGAAATAAGACAAAGAAGTTGTGACAGATTGTATTGCTTTATAAGTTTTTCTTGCTGATATTGGGAGGTGAACTTTTTGTGAAAATAATGGCTATATTATGTATCATGCCATTCCTGCATTGTTATTTGTTTAGGATAAATTTTAATTATGTGGGCAACATGCCAGTTGGATTTGTTCCTTGTTTTCCATTTGCTGGATATTGGAACTTTGCTGAAAAAGCTTGTTTATTTTTAGATACATGTTGCAAATATACATCTAGTGAAATTGTAGGCCGTGTGACACATAAAGCCAAAATTATGTTAATTTTTGCATGAAAGTAAGTGCCTACGAAATTAATGTAGTTTTGATTTTATGGTTGCACGTCCTGCAGTTCTACTCCTGTTGGTGTGTATTATCAACATGTCTCTTTGTTGTAATTTGGATATATAGATTTGAAAATAAATTTGGCCTTATGTAAAAGAAGCATTTATATTTTTGTAAATGGGGATCTGTGATAAACTCTGGAATGGAATGAATATTTTATATCCTGATTTGGAGAGGCTTGATTCTATCCTAATTCAATCTATCAGACTCTTATCCTGCTGTGTTTTAGGACACTTCCTTTGTATTATTACCCCGTGACATTGAATGAGGATTATGTGTGTCCCCCTGGTTAAGTACGAAAAACAAACCATCTCCCAGTGTGTGATTAGTGGTACATTGGCCATTGAAACTCGAGTTTCATGAATAACCTGATCCCCTTGAGTGTTTGCGAGTTGATCTTCATTAGTATTGGAGAACTGCCTATCACCGCGGTTTACGTGACAGATGGTCAATGAATGCTTAAGAATTAGATAAGATTTTCATACTTATCCTGGGAGGGAGGAAATCCGATGAAACAGATTAATCATAGTCACCAGTCCATGTCGGGTATGGAATTAGTTAGCCAGGTATTTTTGTTTCGGATGTATGGACTTGATGGTGGAGGAAGCCATAATCGATCAGCAGTTACGACAACCACCATCGACGGCGATGAGTCCAGCAATCCTCCCGCAAATAACTCCCCCGCGGATCCGAAGCTTCCAACGCAGGCTCCGAGCTTGATTTCTCCTCCTTTTAAGCTTGAGGATACATTCGTATATGATGTGCTGATTAAGGATAGGATTTACATATTTATCCCGGGGGAGAGGAAAGCCGATAAGACGTCTTATCCACATGGCGAACCACGGCCTCTCGTTCGGTTACCATTCCAAGTCGGGTATTGGATTAGTTTTACTGTATTGTTTGTTTTCGGAAGCATGGACTTGGTGGTGGAGGAAGCCGTAACCGACCAGCGGTCACGTGAACCACCCAACGACGGCGAGGAGTCCAGCAATCCTCTCGCACATAACCATCCCTGCATGGGATTCGAACCTGCGAACCCACGCAGAGTAGTCAGAGGTGCGGTGGAGAGCGTATTTCTAACGCTTAGCCCGTTGAGCCACACCGCCGCGCCATGGATTTAGGATTCATCAACACCTTCGCAAGACTTTGCAATAAAATACGACACCAGCCATCTAGTGTTTAAAAATAAGGCGCCAAAACCGAGCAGAAGACGACAAAGCCTGTTATGATGATCCAGGCTATTTGACTTGCCTTCTGTTGCTGGGCCGGTATGCCGTATCTTATAGGCTAGCTAATCCTTTTTTATTGTTATCGGTAGCATGTTTTGCAGCGAATCCTGTAACTGAGTTGTAAACTACCTACAGTGCTAATTCGAAATTCCCTGTAAGTTCTGCTAGAGTAACGGTACTTCCGAATTCCAGATGTTTGGCAAAGGACGTTGACTTCATGTTATAAAAACTTTATTTATATCTGGGTATAGAAAAGTTTGACACGATTTGACCTAATGTTTACGAACTCTAAAAAAACGTTACTTTTACACCAGGAAGAAATCAATAATTATGGTTTTCAACCACTCTCAGGAGAATTCTTAAAAGGTAACTAACCTACCAAAGTGAACTTGACGCCATATAAGTATAACTCATAAGCCTAAGCTTCAACATCAAATATTAGTTAAGATGGAATGACTTAAGTTGCGTCTGGTTTTTGTATTACCTTATCAATAATGATTGAGTTAATGTTATCTACCAGCAACAGGCTACCGGTACAGTTTTTCGATTATCCTATTCGGCCGGGTTAGTCCAGCCTACTAGACTATAACAGTTATTTTGTAATTAAATTCATCTATGAATATGGTGCGCACTGGCCAAAAGAAAAAGGTTGTAAAGATCGAAAACGAGCAAAAGGTAACCGAAGACGATTGTGGGGACAACGGTGAGTTATGGATAGCCTAGGGCTAGGCTACGAATTTACAACGGCTAATCACGAAGAAAATATGCTGTAGACTAGTCTACTAAAGCAGTCGATGACATTCATTTATATTTTCGGGCTTAGAAAGCAAGAGAGATGGATTTCCGTTTAGCATCCTATAATATCAGTTAGATAGTCTATGTATTTTGATTTGGGCTTTTTGTAGTACTGTACTTTTATTAATATATTTTAGAATCTAGACCGAGATCATCAATGACAATACCCGCTGCCGCAGTCAAACGTTCATATGAAGAGGAAGACGACAGTGACCAAGATTGTGAAGAAGAATCTCCGGAGTACAATATAGGGTTAACCTATGTTAAAGATAACTAAGAGATTTCATTCTGTTAAATGGAATTTACCATTGACTAATTTTAGAGCAAAGTCGAATTTTTATTTTAAAATTTTTATTTCCTTAAATGTTTGACTTTCGTGCTGAGTCTCCTTTAGTTTGTAACACAATTTTAGTCAACCAATATTTGACCATTTTTTAACGGACTGGATAAGGTATCCAAAGCTGAAAATTTGGCAGTCAAATTTTTGGGCAAAAACGCACAGTGACATAATTCTGGCCAGTCACGCCTCATCGGATCGTTTCAATAATACTAACATTTCACTTCAGTAATCAAATGACCAGCCTGATCAAAAAATTCGGCAGCGACATGAAAAAAAATTTGTCAGCGAAACGAAAACGACTGGAAACTCTTACGTCACAATCCGCCTCGAATTGCAGAACCAAAGTAGACGCTATCATGGATAGTCAGGTAGGTTGCGTTGTTATATTTCTGCACCAAAATTAGAAATGTTGAAGATTTTCGAGAACAGTGTAATTTAAGATTTCATATATAAAACCGAAATTATTGTAGTGCTTTTTATGTAAAATTTGTCATTTTTACATTGAAACCATGATTTATGTTAAATTTCTTGAATGTCATATTTTTTATTATAATAAAATTATCCACAATATCTCTGTGCAACTGACTTTATAATATAACAGAGAAAGGACAGACAAACGCTGGACAATGAATACACAAAGCAAATGAATTGTTTGTTTACTCAATGGGAAACAGACATTGCCAAGGTCAAGGAAAACGAGGACAAATTGAACGTATGAATTTATACAAATAAACTGATTTATCTTTCCTTCAATGTTTCACAAAAATTTATTACTTTCAGAATGTGTTGCAACAACAAATGAAACTGATTGCCCAAATCAGAGTTGTTCAAACTCAAAGATTCAAATCACTAAAGCAACTACAAGAACAGTACATGAACAGGTGTGTTTGTTTCGAAAATATGTAAAATCATCTCGAATTACCTATAAGGGTTGTTTAAATTCAAAGAGTACTCGGAAAATCTGTTTCAAGAATAATCCTGGAATTAGATAAGATTTACATATTTATCCCGACGGAGAGGAAAAACGGTTAATTATATGGCGAACCACGGCCGTCGTCCGGTTACCAGTCCATGTCGGGTATGGGATTAGTTAGCCAGTTATTTGTATGCGGTAGCATGTACTTTATACAGTATACATACAGTATAATTCTTGGACTCGTCTGTCAGTACTCTTACCACTCACTATTCGTTTAGGAATTTGACCATTTTTGAGGAAACTTGCTCCACGAGAGTAATTTGGAATTAGTATCTTAATTAGTCTATTCTCAAGCAAAATCATGTTTTTGATTCTGTAAAACGAGGCATAATTCACTACAAAAATGTCGTAATCGACAGTAAAATAGTTTGGATTACTAGAACTCTGAAAATAGGCGTTTTTTTTTTAAAAAGCTGCTAAAAGCATCATTTCTGTTATTATATAGGGTGCCCATAAAGCCCATAATTTTTGAGGTCACCTTCAACGTGCACATTTTAAAATGCAATATCTAAATTCTAAAAATGATGAACTTTTGAAACGCAATACAAATATTGCATTAGTAAATTTACTTATATATCAAACTTCATTTTCCAAATACGTTCGCAGCACTCAAGACATGGAATCCAACCACGTTCTCCAGAAATCAAATGTTTGCTCCGATCTCAAAGAAGAAATGTCTAGATTACAGACCAAAATTTTGAAAGACACGGTAAATATAATCAGATGCGAGCCGCAACAATAGTTTGCCTCGTTAATCGTCTTCGCAATATGACCACAACAAAATATCTCAATTGTATAATATAATATCCGGAGTTTTGAATAATTTGTGGAGTCTACTTCAATATGAGACCAGATCCGGATAGTCATTCAATCATTGATCTAGATCAATAATATTCCTGTTAGACTGACGGCTCTCAAATTCTACTGTTGTTTCTCGCTATGCCAAAAGGGTTATTTAAATATTCCAACTTATATTTATTCCAATTTTCATGATGACTACCTCTGCTTTGTGAAACACATTTTTGCGTAATTCCCCTCCAAGTTGAAAACATTACTACTTGATTTGACAGCAAACTCAAGAAATGGCGTCTATGCGACAGAACTTTCACACTATGCTTTTCAAGTGAAATTGCAAAGAAGAGGCTTCAAGGATAGTATTTAATTTTTGTGGAAAATTATTTACAGACGACTGAAATCGGTGATTACGATCATTGTGCTCTCTGAAAATTTTTCAGTTTTTCATTTACTTGTTATTTATTCTATTGCGACGTTTTTGTTGGTTGAATTCTGCAATAAAGTTTTAAAAACACGTCAAAGTTTATGCAAAGAAGTGTACAAAATAATTTTAAAGTTGCGTTTTCGAATCATGACTTTACTTTGTAATATGTAAAAGAGTTTACTAATCTCTTGAGAGATTCGTTGTTTATTTTATTATTTAAAAGTTGAATTAAAGCGCAGACAAAATTTTTGTCAATCCGACGTGGATAATAGGAAGAAACGTCATTGCAAATCTTCATATATTTAGCTTCTTTTTGCCGCGCTTGCGTAATTCTATAACGTAAGAACCCTCTCCGCGTGTCTCTAGTGCGTAAGCAGAAGGATGTTGAACTTGCGTGTAAGATATGTCAGTCGGAACCAGTTTAGGATGGGTGTCCTAAATATAACTTTAGCCGGCGTACGAGATCTTTCGTAGCCTTTTAATCGGAGCACGGGCTCTTAGCTTTTAACTTGCACGAATTGTTCTTCACCTCTATGTTCGGTTTTGTAGGCGCTCGCCCCCAGCAGACAACAGATGATAGTAGACAAACGACAATTGCGACAATTCTTCTTTACTTTATTGAGCAGTATACACGTCAAGGTTGTATTTACAAGACTGGATAATACTACAGAGAAAGCGATCCTTATATACAGAAAACGAACGATAATTATGTCTCTCCCAGGATTTTAACATAATCAGAATTTTAAAGAATACTGTAAGGATTTGATCTATAAATCTATATTCCGGGGATTAAAATGGTGCTATCGATCCCATTAGCCTTATTGATCGAAGTTTTGAATACTAATTACCACCTGGACGTTATTGAGCCAGTTATTTTTCGTTGCCATATGTTGCCTAGTTTAAAATGGGTTTTTTATCGACCTAATTTATGAATACGGAGAATTTCGTCAATACTAATTATCAGCCTTTTTCTATGTATTTAAAAATGTTTGTCCAAATTACTAATCTTTCCCTATACCAGTAAAGGTAGGTGTACTAACCTGTAGAGTCAAATTCAAGCTGATTTAAAGTATGTTGCTTCTAATCTAGATAAATGTTATACTACCAAACTTTAATGTTTGTAAATATATATATATGCTTACCTGAATAGTTGTCGTAACATCATTAGGGCTGGGCATTTCGAATCGAATAGTAAATTATTCGAATCGAATCGAATAGTAAATTATTCGAATCGGTTCAGAGCTAAATTTCGAATCGCCGCCATCTTGTTTTTATCTTTCCGCTAATGGTCGAGGTGAATTCCCCAATTTTTTTCTCATTGGAGTCATATTTTTTCAACGAAATTCTAACATATGACTATTTTCTGTAGTGATTTATTGATAAAACGTGTTTGTTATTTTGTGTGAACGCTCAGTAATCTATCTGGGTGATTTATTCTATGTCTTCAGTAATTCATTTGTTGAGAGGACCAATTACTATAATAAAGTCGCTTACAATTATATATTTTCAAGTATTCGAGATTCGATTCGAAAAAAATTATTCGATTCGATTCTGAAATCACAAGGTATTCGAAAATGCCCAGCCCTAAACATCATACGATGTTCAGTTATATGCTTAAAAGAAGTTGTTCAAATTTTCCTGAACGCCCTGATGCCATCAATTCAAATCTCTTGTATATTACTAATCATATATACAAATAATGAAAGGTATCGAATTTTGTATGCAATAAATATGAACTTAAGTTTTGAGCTTGGTCTACAATTGAATATATATATATATATTAAAATGTTTGTCCGATCATACCAAATGTATATTGGCCTGCACCACAAAATAAGTGTAAAAACAAGCAAATTTGAGGGACATTATTTCCAAGTAGTAGAGCCTATTCAGTCGTATTGTGCAACAAGTTAAAGTTGACCATACTCATATTATGTTATCAAAAAATATTAAATATGTTTGATGTTTGTCTTAGCACAATCCAAATCACTAAATTAATTGTGGTTTAGATTAGAATGCTTGCTACAGGGTTACTGCATGTTCTTACTTATTTGGGAGTATGTCTTACATTTGCGTCTGGAGTGTAGACACACGTAATATAAATATAGTGTTTTTATTTTCTGTTTGTTTTATAGCAAGAGAAAATTCTGTTGTAAACTGAATATAAAACCCCGCGGCCGTAGCGGCGAGATCAATTTGAACTATACTTCAGTTTAGATTTTAGAACACTTGAAGATTAGTGCTAGAAACCTGAATGAAAACTGTGTTTTCCATTGCTGTAAGCTAAAAACAGTTGAACATCAGCGCATGTAAAGGTGAAGCGCCCTTCGATTTATAAATCAACGGACAAGTTTTGTAGGAGAAAGTGGGGAAGGTTAGGAGACTTTTTTTCTTTTGCATATTTTGAGCCGTTAATTCTGCATATCCACTTAAGTTGGCGGGACTAATGCATAGAGGGGTAAACGTAGATTTCAAAATGCTTTGAAAAACGTCTGTCAAGTGTCCCACTGTACCCCACTCGTTGGGCACATTCGGACAGACCCTGGGGCACAATGCCCTTTAAAGTTTAAATTATATTCTTTTAATACCGTCACAACTTTTTTTTTGTGTATGTGATATCAGAGCTATATCTTTAAACAGTGCCAAGTCCACGGTGGCATAATTTTTGGATTGTGAGCTAGGCGTTTCACAGTTCTAGCCTTTGTTCAGGATATGATTTCGATGAAATTGTGGATAAAATATTTCGTTTTCCTTTCCGTTTCCATATACTTAGGCTTCGCTCCTTCGTATTACTCATTTGGTTATTCATGTAGCTTAACTCCAGAGCGGCAAAATGGAATATTACCAACATTTAAGCTTGTTAGTGAGTATATATAATATCACGAGTTATACCTTTATAGTGCGTACTATCCCCAGTTAATGCCTGTGATATACATATATATATATATAATTCATAGGCTCGTAAAAGTAAAGTCGATCAGTACAATGATATGATTTCTTTTATTTCAACTAATTCTAAATAATATATTATTGAGTTTCAAAAAATATGTTGCATTATGTTTCTAGGTCGGGGCAAAGTGATTGTATTCATTTATTTAGGCACAACAATATTTCCATATTTGTTTCGCATTAGTTAAAACATAATATTATTATCCCGCAACTAAATCATACTTTCCATTCGTGGTGTGTCAGAAATGAGTAATTAATTAGTTACATTGTACTCAACAAGCGTTTATAAACAAAAATACCAATTATGCTCCATGAAATTTATACAGGGTATACCAATATGATGCATTATCAGGTATATATATACAATGCATAATAACAATGTGGTTATTCAACAAACTGGCTGTAGCTTCCTGAATAAAGTGTCCCAAGTAGAAGCGTGGCGATGATTCAGGCCATCGTCGATATGAACCGGATCTTTTTTTCTGAAATCCTGACCCCATCTGAGAATTCCGTCACCTCTGATTTTTTCCGTAAAACAGTTTGCATCGGTATTCTGTCCACCTTTTTGTTTGTAAAAAATTGCAATTATAAAGGCATGCTCCTAACATATGTAGCAACAGGAAACAATTTTTTTAATGATTACTTCAAACAAGACTGTGCTAAAACAATCAGATACAATTGCTTTTGCAAATGAAATAGTTTTGTAACTTTAAAATTCTTTTTGCATTTGTTAGGCATATAAAAAATATTTATACAGGCGCGCAGCTAGGATTTTTAAAAGGGGGGGGGGGGGGTTATATATGTTATATTTTAACGTTTCCTGTGCTATTTTTGTTTTGAATCATCAAATGCAAACGGTAGACTAACTGTAATCAAAAAGAAAAGAATATATAGTTATAAAGATTCATCAATTGCTTATGTCAATGTCAATTAAGGAGTGAGTGTGAAAGAAACAATATGAATTTTACCTGCAAGGCATTCACTGTTGCACCAGCCTTTCGATGTCTGCAGATTCATGTCAATAGCATGCCCTACTTTGTGATTTGATTTCACGGCTGGTGTAACAATGGCTCCTGGAACTACCGCGTTATCTTTTCTGTATGAGTCTGTCACCCAAACCTGTGGAGGATATGTAAAAACAGTCACAAAATTTGAAAATGTGCTTGTTATAAAGTCTTTATTCGAGTAAATCGTTAAAACAGCACGGCAATAATGTTGTATTGTGAGAGCGGTATTAACATATTATGTTCCTTACAGTTACTTTACAATATCCTGCATATCCATTGATCCTATCCATTGCGTTTTCGAATCCTAGTTCAATCCGAACAGCTTTGTTGTTGTATCCTCTCACATTACTGGCGGTGTATGTTTCCAGAGTACAGGAACCAGAAGTAGTTCCTGTCATATGTAAATGAAGCCGTCTTAAGAAGGCCAACATTTCCCACCTCAACATCTACAGACGTTGTGTGAATGGAATATATATATATATATATAATGCCAAATGAAAATATAATCGGTATTTTATTCAACATTAATGGAATTACTGACAGATTTGTTTGTTTTTCGCGCACGTACACTTCGGATTTTCTCGTCTCGCCCAGGAACTTCAAATAGGGAACATGAGGATGTGACAAATGCTTCTAAAAAAATTACAAACTATACCTCCTGATGGTACACAACATTTTCTGCTCGACGACCCTCCGCACATACTACTTTTCCATTGTCCTGAGCAATAGTTGCTGTCATGCTTGCACTGTCCATTTTGGGCGCCGCATTTGCTATCTCGATATTTGACATAATAATTTTCCGTGCTTTTACCTTGTACAGACAAATTTCATGAGAACAATACAATGGCTGATTTAATTCGTATGTCTGACACTCTAAATTGAACTGAATCTAAAAATCTTCCTCATCCATACGAAAATGACAAATATCAAAATAGAAATAGGTTGCTGATTTCGAGTTTAAAATCGCTCATAACAAAAGTTGACCACCGTTAGAATTTTAACATCGGTTCTATTGATTGTCAAACAGTTGTTTTAATAAACGTTCTATGACCCTAATTTCTTAAAATTGTATCTTAAATATAGCTCAAGCACACATTTCCTTATAATACAAATATAAAATATTTTGTGAAGCAACGATAAAATCACTTACAAGTGGAAGAGCAAGGTTTACAGCAACGTATGTAAGAATTCCCGCTGCACTTTCCACGTTCATACCCTGCTATGCAATTATGGGTTCGGTAATCGTGACATGTTCCGCCTATTCTGGTACAAGCAGAAGCTGAAATAAATAAAACGAAGTTATGTGAGTGTGTTACATTTTCTAACATCGCTTAAGTTAGGAGGGCTATATCGAAGTAAATTAAATTTGACAGAGAATATGGAGAAGATTTTAAAAAATTTCGACAAAAATTTACTCAGAGAAAGTTCGATTGTTAATCCTCTCGCGTAGATAATGCCAATACGCTAAATAGCATGCAAATGGGTAGGTCGCAAAATCGTATCTTTATGTAATGTATGCATGTAATTGGAGGCAAAACAGCCGACAAAATTGGTAGAATTATGATAACTAAACAGATTCAACTTACTTTGTCCTCCTATGACGAAACACCCAAGAACAACACATGCAAATATTAGCAGCTTCATATTCACAGGCGCGCACAGACAGACCGCTCGAATCAGAGGCTTTGTAGATATAATACCTATAAAAACCAGAAGTCGCTTATATTTGCGGGAATTTTCCATACATTCTTTGTTATGGCACAATGAGTTTCGCTTTGCCATTGAGGCGGTTTCTTATGTAGGAAATCGTGCTCTATTGTTATGTTTTTACGATATTTTAAAAATGGCCCGTGTATAAATATCTTTTTTATTGCGTTGCGTCGGTAGGCCAAATTTAAAAAATGGTAATTGGAGACCACGCGGGTGATTTGCATAGACGTATGAAATAGATTAAAACAAGGTCAGGAAAGCATGTCTGCTGTCTCACAATGGGTTGCGAAGTATTAAGGAAATTGATTCAGTGTTCTAAACTCGGATTCCACATATTGTTTTCAACGTAACCTCGAAAGCAAGAATTTATAATAATGGTGCTAGGAAACCAAGACTCATGCGATAAGGAAAAAACAGTCATTAAGAGTCGTTTAGTCAACCAGACATGCATGCTTCATCCCATTGTTTTCCAACGTTTGTGTGCCTCTAAGTGAGAGTCAACACAAAGGCAATTCAAGAACTTCGATACAATTTCACTTAATTAAAGAAATCTTTTCTTATAGTAGTTGTATACACTTTCATATAAAATTTGTAAAAACTGGAATTGGGATAACCACAGAGAAAACAATAATTTGTTCAGTTTGTTACGATAGTATTGAAATCCATAATTTACCCTATCATTGATTACCCTCATTTTTCGTGACATCTTTAGAAGATTCGTTATCTGTTATATTTGTAGATATAGAACAAAATCTTGAAACTTTTGTCACAATCACGGCAAACTCAAATTGCACAGATTTTTGCGATATGCATTTATGAATGAAGCCCTTAATTATCCAAAAATAAGTAGAACATGGCCTAAGTTTCAATGTCTCCTTTCAGCCTCGAACACTCACAATAACATCTCATAAACATTTGACCCCTGAAAACCTTTGTTGACTTCCCTGAAACAAAGCGGTGTCTCTAATTTTCATAAATCAGCAGTGTTTACGCGGGCTTCGCTAACTATCTATTGAGCATTTTTGAAACTACTTAAACATAATTTAGTATATAACTCAAGCTGCGAAATATCAAAAATGAATTGCAAAAATTCTAGTTTGTGAGAAAGATTTAATTTCGGTGACTTTCGACTCTGAACTTCTCGCCAATCACAATTACCGACATTGTTGATGTTGCCGAGCTACGCAAATTGGACCTTTGGCGACCTCTTTAAAACTCATAAATCACAATTGGCGATATTTCCGACAAAGTTGGCATTGCTGGCTTGTGCAAAGTATAGACACAGTCAATTCAAATATACTAAAAGTGCGGTTGCTAACTTATTTGTAGGGTTTCTCCGTTTTTCTTATTCATATGGGCTGATTCAGGTACGCATAACTGGCGATGCCGCTTTTTTGAATCACCGAATAAAATAATTTTCCTGATTAAAGCGGTACGATGGTCGACGGATGACGTGCACAAAAGTCAGCACCATATTATATAATCAAAAGAATGACACATATATATTTAGTAAATGTTATATAAATTCAAAAGACAGAAAACAATTTACATGAGAGAAATGAACCAGAGTTCTTCAATGACGAGGTTGAGTTATTACGCATAAAACTTTAACAAAATAAATAAATATTATTCAAAAAGGCTACACCTCATTGTTGTTGCTGTTCTGAACTGAGTCACACTTTTGCGAATGGTGCTTGACTTGTCATATATGCCACGCACCTTCAGAATATTATTGTTATTTCAAATGCAGAAGTTTCTCCAGCATTGTTTGACATTCTATAGCCAGCGGATAAGACCAACCGTTGACGTTTTCTGTCACTTTGATTCCATCTGACGTTACAACATTGCATCTTGGATCTTTTTAGATTTTGCACCCTCTCGTGATTTGCTGCGTATTTGTTTGTTTTTCCTTGTATTGCTTCTTTATTATGTTGTAACGGAAAATCGAAATGAACTTACTAAAATTATTCTGAGAAGGCTGAATCAAATATATAAATGTGGTTGTCAATGTCCGCGCGGTCAAATCGTCATTGATGCAAAGTTATGGGTCATTGATGAGTGCAAAAGCGCTGCCACCGTACTTTGCAGTCGTTAGTATGAATGGGATGTTAGTTATAGATGCAATGTAAGAATTTTTTTGTATTAGCGTTTGATTCATGATTTATTCAAAATTTTAATATATACGTTAAGATAAAAAATGCGACATCAAATCTTTTTTCGCATTAGAACTTAGAAGGTTCATTGAACTTGTATAGGCTACATGGTAATTGAATGTGACAATAGCAGCACAATGGAAACGAACGGCAGGATTATTTTCTACGAAATTCTAGTTGGCGTTTATCAAGATTTAAGCTAAATAGATTTAATACAATGGTATTCTGCGAAACAGAGACTCATATTGTCTGCTTTCGAACGGTAACCGCAATTGAGCGAGGACCTACGTGATTCTAGTCGCAGTTGAAACACAGAATACAGAGAATGATACAGGATATACCTACCAATACATTCGAGATTAGACATATAAACGACGGAAACTCAAAAGTTGGGAATGCTTTGTACTTTTTACATACTTTGTTGAATTTAACAGAATACCCCATTGTGTATTCGAATGTGCCCCACAAGTGGGGTACAGTGAGACACTTGACAAACGTTTTTAAAAGCATTTTGGTGGTGAGGGGTTCGTCGCGATGGAATTTCTTAGTCGCTAAATAATACCCCTCTCGGCATTAGCCCCGTAAAGTTAAATGAATGTGCAGAATATAGGGTTCAAAATATGCAAAATAAAAAAGTGTTCCAACCTTCCTCCTACATTATTTGCTCCAGGAAACCATAAAACTTGTATATATACACTATAACGGGCAGGGCAGAGAAGGATGAATAACATTATGAAAGAATATGGCTTCAAGTACTGAATTAAAATTTTTTAAACTATCAGCATGGATGATCATAAATCCCTTTTTTGTTGGTTGGTTCTGCATACTTTGGTGCAGTCAATTTGAATACATTTTTCCTTCCTTCCATCAAATGTGATGATGGTACTTTGTTATCAAAGTTGGCAGGGCTTGAATTGGGCAATTGGAATGGTGAAGAGGGCAAGGTTTTACAACATGAATTCTGTTGCGTTGCAGACGACTACCGCTTCCTATTTCGATGTTGTATGAACGAACATCTTCTTTTGAGATAACGTTTGCAGGAATCAACATATCTTTTGCTTTACAAACACTCTCGATCGCAAACTCGCGCACAAGAAAATTTCAGTGAATTGAAATAGATGAAATTTGATACGTGCAGAAAAATCATAAAAATAACAGCAAATGCAGCAGCAGAAGGCTATTTCTTCTCAAATCGACTATCCTCGGATGCGAAATATGATAATCGATTCTATCAAAACGACTGCTTGCACAACGTAAGTTTCACAAAGCATATGAATTTTGATTTATACTATTCGCACTGAAGTTGAAACGCTCGAGCATCGAATGTTTTTGTTATATTTTACTTACCATACGTCCCGTTCTAGACGGGACAGTCCCACTTTTTAACGTCTTGTCCCGGCGTCCCGACCGGTCAGCCAAAATTCCCGCTTTGGCGTTCACGCCGTTCAGCCAGCCAGCATAACACACGAGCATTACCATTTAGCATGTTCAAGTACTATTGAAAAGACACATGTTTGACCGTTGCAAGCAAAAACGCTGGCGATTTGCGCCTTCGAAACAAAAGTGGGTCGAGATGTTCAAAGAATTTGACAAAAAAACGCACATGCATTTCAAACTTTCAAGAGCTGGTGGAGATCATATTTTGTTTACCTGGAACATTCGCATCCGTTAGAAGAAAAGTATGATGGACGAATAAGTACATTTTCAATGCTTGAAAACGGCAGGCTATTTTAATATTCTTTCTAATTCAAATTGTTACTTATCGATTTTAATCGGTAAGTATGTTGATAGGTATTTGTCTGTCTGTTTGTTTGTCCGTTAGATGCACGCGATATCTCACGAAAGCGAGATTGAATCAAAAGCGTTTCACAGTTAGCTAGCCTTTGTTCAGGATATGATTTCGATGAAATTGTGGATAAAATATTTCGTTTTTTTTCCGTTTCCATATACTTAGGCTTCGCTCCTTCGTATTACTCATTTGGTTATTCATGTAGCTTAACTCCAGAGCGGCAAAAAGGAATATTACCAACTTCATTTAAGCTTGTTAGTGAGTATATATAATATCATGAGTTATACCTTTATAGTGCGTACTATTTATCCCCAGTTAATGCCTGTGATATACATATATATATATATAATTCATAGGCTCGTAAAAGTAAAGTCGATCAGTACAATGATATGATTTCTTTTATTTCACCAAAATCTAAATAACATATTATTGAGTCTCAAAAAATATGTTGCATTATGTTTCTAGGTCGGGGCAAAGTGATTGTATTCATTTATTTAGGCACAACAATATTTCCATATTTGTTTCGCATTAGTTAAAACATAATATTATTATCCCGCAACTAAATCATACTTTACATTCGTGGAGTGTCAGAAATGAGTAATTAATTAGTTACGTTGTACTCGACAAGCGTTTATAAACAAAAATAGCAATTAATTATGCTCCATGAAATAATATATACAGGGTATACCAATATGATGCATTATCAGGTATATACAATGCATAATAACAATGTGGTTATTCAACAAACTGGCTGTAGCTTCCTGAATAAAGTGTCCCAAGTAGAAGCGTGGCGATTATTCAGGTTATCGTCAATGTGAACCGGATCTTTTTTTCTGAAATCCTGACCCCATTTGAGATTTCCGCCACCTCTGATTTTTTCCGTAAAACAGTTTGCATCGGTATTCTGTCCACCTTTTTGTTTGTAAAAAATTGCAATTATAAAGGCATGCTCCTAACATATGTAGCAACAGGAAACAATTTTTTTAATGATTACTCCAAACAAGACTGTGCTAAAACAATCAGATACAATTGCTTTTGCAAATGAAATAGTTTTGTAACTTTAAAATTCTTTTTGCATTTGTTAGGCATATAAAAAATATTTATACAGGCGCGCAGCTAGGATTTTTAAAAGGGGGGGGGGGGTTATATATGTTATATTTTAACGTTTCCTGTGCTATTTTTGTTTTGAATCATCAAATGCAAACGGTAGACTAACTGTAATCAAAAAGAAAAGAATATATAGTTATAAAGATTCATCTTCATCAATTGCTTATGTCAATGTCAATTAAGGAGTGAGTGAGACAATATGAATTTTACCTGCAAGGCATTCACTGTTGCACCAGCCTTTCGATGTCTGCAGAATCATGTCAATAGCATGCCCTACTTTGTGATTTGATTTCACGGCTGGTGTAACAATGGCTCCTGGAACTACCGCGTTATCTTTTCTGTATGAGTCTGTCACCCAAACCTGTGGAGGATATGTAAAAACAGTCACAAAATTTGAAAATGTGCTTGTTATAAAGTCTTTATTCGAGTAAATCGTTAAAAAAGCACGGCAATAATGTTGTGTTGTGAGAGCGGTATTAACATATTATGTTCCTTACAGTTACTTTACATTCTCTTGCATATCCATTGATCCTATTCATTGCGTTTACGAATCCTGTTTCAATCCGGACAGCTTTGTTGTTGTATCCTCTCACATTACTGGCGGTGTATGTTTTCAGAGTACAGGAACCAGAAGTAGTTCCTGTCATATGTAAATGAAGCCGTCTTAAGAAGGCCAACATTTCCCACCTCAACATCTACAGACGTTGTGTGAATGGAATATATATATAATGCCAAATGAAAATATAATCGGTATTTTATTCAACATTAATGGAATTACTGACAGATTTGTTTGTTTTTGGCGCTCGTACACTTCGCGATAGCAACCATTCCCCCATCTCGCCCAGGACAAGGAATGTCGAACAGAAGTGTTCGGACCCTACTTCAAATAGGGAAAATGAGGGCGTGACAAATGCCTCTTAATAAAATTACAAACTATACCTCCTGATGGTACACAACATTTTCTGCTCGACGAGCCTCCGCACAGACCACTTTTCCATTGTCCTGAGCAATAGTTGCTGTCATGCTTGCACTGTCCATTTTGGGCGCGGCATTGGCCATCTTGTCTTGTGACATAACGAAGTTCCGCGTCTTCACCTTGTACAAGTACATTTTATGAATACAATACAGTGGCAGATTCAATTCGTATATCTAAATCGACGCGAATCTAGGACGAAAATGGCAAATATCAAAATAAAAATGTATCACTGATTTCGAGTGCAAGATTGTTCATAACAAAAATTGACCATTGTTAGAATTTTAACATTAGTTCTATTGATTGTCGAACAGTTGTTTTAATAAACGTTCTATGACCCTAATTTCTTAAAATTGTATCTTAAATATAGCTCAAGCACATATTTTCTTATAATATTTACAAATATAAAATATTTTATGAAGCAACGATGACATCCCTTACAAGTGGAAGAGCAAGGTTTACAGCAACGTATGTAAGAATTCCCGCTGCACTTTCCACGTTCATACCCTGCTATGCAATTATGGGTTCGGTAATCGTGACATGTTCCGCCTATTCTGGTACAAGCAGAAGCTGAAATAAATAAAACGAAGTTATGTGAGTGTGTTACATTTTATAACATCGCTTAAGTTAGGAGGGCTATATCGAAGTAAATTAAATTTGACAGAGAATATGGAGAAGATTTTAAAAAATTTCGACAAAAATTTACCCAGAGAAAGTTCGATTGTTAATCCTCTCGCGTAGATAATGCCAATACGCTAAATAGCATGCAAATGGGAAGGTCGCAAAATCGTATCTTTATGTAATGTATGCATGTAATTGGAGGCAAAACAGCCGACAAAATTGGTAGAATTATGATAACTAAACAGATTCAACTTACTTTGTCCTCCTATGACGAAACACCCAAGAACAACACACGCAAATATTAGAAGCTTCATATTCACAGGCGCGCACAGACAGACCGCTCGAATCAGAGGCTTTGTAGATATAATACCTATAAAAACCAGAAGTCGCTTATATTTGCGGGAATTTCCCATACATTTTCCATAAATATCTTTTTTATTGCGTTGCGTCGGTAGGCCAAATTTAAAAAATGGTAATTGGAGACCACGCGGATGATTTGCATAGGCGTATGAAATAGAAAAAAACAAGGTCAGGAAAGCATGTCTGCTGTCTCCTAATAGGTTGCGATTTGCGAAGTATTAAGGAAATTGACTCAGTGTACTGAACTCAGATTCCACTTATTGTTTCTAATTTAACCTCGAAAGCAAGAATTTATAATAATGGGGCTAGGAAACCAAGACTCATACGATAAGGAAAAAACAGTCATTGAGAGTCGTTTAGTCAACCAGACATGTATGCCTCACTCCATTGTTTTCCAACGTTTGTGTGCCTCTAAGCGAGAGTCAACACAAAGGCAATCCATGAACTTCGATACAAATTTACTTAATTAAAGAAATCTTTTCTTATAGTAGCTGTATACACTTTCATATAAAATTTGTAAAAACTGAAATTCGGATAACCACAGAGAAAACAATAATTTGTTTGCTTGTGTGGCGTACCAAAATTGATATCACCACTCAGGTTCTTTCTGCCAGCTTATCGGACACTGAAGTTGCAATAGATGTCGTTCACAAAACAATCTTCTTGCGGTTCCAATTATAGCAGAGTAACTAAGTTAACTAACTAGATTGATTATACACCTGTAAGAACTTAATACAACCAAATACTCCAATTAGAAATACAATAAACAAATAAAAACACAGTACAAATGCCGTAGGATACATACGTAACACAAGATACGGAATTGGTCTATGACGTCACAGTCATGAACTATTTACTTATAATGGGATACTAAAAACCGGGTAAAACATACCTAGATATACATAAGAATAACTAGTATGACACTAAAGATACAACACAAATCCTATCTTATCGACAAACACGTAATATACATGGAAATACGCATAGAAATGGAATCACACAGGAAATAAACTGCGAAAATAGACTAGTTACGGAAGTGTTAAATACAAGCTAACTAGTGAACAGAGCTATGCCAAACTGGAGAAATAGTAAACCTGTACTACTAATATCATTTTACAACAATAATTACACAAATTAACGGCAATAAAACACTATAATAATAACCTAATACGGTACCCAGAGAAATATCTACACTACCGGCAGTCTGACAAACCAGCTGAAAGAGAAAGTTACACAGCTGCTCACTAGTGACTCAAGTGGTAAGAATAAATATGGGCATACAGAATAAAACAGAGTTATAGACGTGGTCGTCTCATTACTCCCCCCTTTTTCAGATGGGAAATTACAACGAAATTTTTCATCTTCAAAATTGAAAAATTATAAAAATGTGAAGAAACTGTAAAAAACTGTACACTCAAATGAAATGTATATCTGAAATCAAACAATCAATTGTTAGAAGCACTATCACAGTCAAATCAAATGTAATCATCCAAATATCTAGGCCTTCGCCTAGTACGTTGGCCATTATCAGAGTTCGCATCAACTGTAACTTCTTCTGGTACAGTGTCTGGCCTTGAAGAGAAAGGTAATTCTTCAAAAATATCATGAGCAACCTGCTCATTATTTTCCATAATAGGTTCCACATCAGGTAAAATGTCAAATCCAGTTAATTCAATATCATTGTCTTCTTCATCTTCATGAAGGTAAGGTCTCAGTTTGTCAACATGCACAATTCGAGAACGTGTTCCCGAATTCTTCTGAATCCTATACAAGTGATTAGGTAAACAGTCCACAATTCGATAAGGTCCAATCCAAGGAATACTCAGCTTGCGATGCTTTGGTGGATAATAATACCACACCAATTCATCTCTCTGGAAAGTAAGTGGTTTAACACCCAGATCAAAATTTCGCTTTTGTCTGGTTGCAGCAGCATTTAGATGTTGCCTAGCATGAAGAAAAGCTTTTTCAGTTGCACAGGAAAACCATTCGACAAACTCAGTGTAACAAGGATGAGTTGATGACTCTGGTTTGCCAAACATAACATCAACAGGCATCTCGATTTCTCGTCCAAGCATTAACTTGTTCGGTGAATATCCTGTACTATCATGTACAGTGGAGCGATATGCCATACAAAGATATGGGAGATGGTCGTCCCAATCATTTCGATTCTCATTTACAAAAGCTTTCAACATCTGCTGTATGGTCCTGTTGAAACGTTCAACTTGTCCATCTGAACGAGGATGATATGGAGTTGTTCGAGTCTTTTGAATCCCGTACAATTGACACATTTCTGAAAATAATTTTGATTCAAAGTCTCTTCCTTGATCTGAGTGGAGAATTCTTGGTACCCCAAATCTCGAAAAGAATTGAGTAACCAATGCATCAGCAGTGGTGTCAGCTCGCTGATTTGGTAAAGCAAAACATTCCACCCATTTAGAGAAATAGTCCGACAAAACCAAAATGTGTTCATTTCCATTTTCAGTTACAGGCAATGGTCCAAGAAAATCAATGGCAATCCTTTCCATAGGAGCTCCAGATATAAGTTGTTTCAAATCTCCCTGTCTTCTTCCGTAAAGCATCTTTGTTGAAGCACAAGACTTGCAAAATTTGCACCATTTCAGAATGTCCCTTTTGAAACCAGGCCAATAAAATCTGCGCCTTATACTCTTGAAAGTTCGATTAGCACCAAGATGACCTGCAGTGCGCAAAGAATGGAGCTTATGAAACAAGTCCTGCCTCAAATTTGATGGAACAATCAATTGGATATGCGATTCCTCCGATTTACAATCAGGAATCCAACGACGATAGAGAAGTCCATTATCTACAAAAATCAAATCCCATTGTGACATCAAACGTTTGGTCACTGTTGACTCAGGCATGTATTCTTGAATGTCAGGTTTCTGAGCAGTAAGTTGTTTCCATTTCAAAACAGCAGAAATATCTGGATCTTCACTTTGCCAAGATTTAATTTGCTCATCTGTGTAGGTATCTAGCCAATTACAATCGGAACAGTCTGACGATGATTGACCGGGCTGTTTTGATATTGCACTTACAATAACATTACTCACAGCCACATCACCATTGGTACCACAATCAGAACAATCTTCTCGCTTGCATTTGCGAACTTGGCGTGACAATCCATCAGCATTGCCATGTTTCACGCCAGGTCTGTGTTCAATCTTAAAGTCATAAGCACCAAGTGTTAATATCCATCTTGCTAACATTCCTTGAGGTTCACGAAAATTGATCAACCATTTCAGAGCAGCATGATCTGTGCGAATTCTGAACGGTCTCCCGAGAAGAAAATGACTGAAGTGACGAACAGCCCACACCACAGCTAATAGTTCTCGGTGTGTAGCACAGTATCTACGTTGAGACTTGGACATAGTCTTACTGGCATAAGAAAGTACACGTTCATTGTCGTCCTGAACTTGAGATAACACTGCACCAATCCCAAAACCACTGGCATCAGTATCCAATACAAATTCGCCGATTGTCCTCGGAAAGCTAAGAATTGGGGCAGATGTCAGACAATGCTTCAAAGTTTCAAAAGCCTTTTGACATTCAGTACTCCATACAAAGGAAATATTCTTCCTGGTCAATCGAATAAGAGGTCCAGCAATTGTTGAATAATCTTGAACAAACTTCCGGTAGTAGTTCGCTGTGCCTAGAAAACTACGAATATCGCTGACAGAATTTGGCGTTTTCCATTCTTTAATAGCCGCAACATTTCCAGGGTCGCAACAGACACCGTCAGATGAAATAAGATAACCAAGATAAGAGGTGCTTCGACGGAAAAGTTTACATTTCGAGGGCTTCAAGCGTAAACCGGCACGGCGAAGTCTTATAAAAACTTCCCGAAGATTTGAGAGTGCCATTGAGAAATCACTACCATGAGCCAAAACATCATCAAGAAAATTGAAACACCCGTTCCACAGGAGATCACCAAGGATATTGTCCATCATCCGTTCGAATGTTGCGGGAGCATTCGCCAAACCGAAAGGCATCACTACAAAGTGAAAATGACCACGGCCTGGGATGCTGAATGCTGTCTTTTCACGGTCTGCAGGATCAACCTCCACTTGCCAATATCCGCTAGCGAGATCAAGAGTTGAGAACCATTGTGCTCCGTTTAAGGACTCAATGATATCCTCAATACGCGGCAAGGGATATGCGTCCTTGTATGTGACGTCATTAAGCAATCTAAAATCCACGCAAAATCTGGTAGAACCATCCTTTTTGGGAACTAGGACAATGGGAGAAGAATATGGGGAATCGCTGGGTTCTATGACACCCTGAGCCAGCATATTATCAACAGCTTCTTCGGCTATCTTCCTACGCGCCCACCCCATTCGACGAGGAGCCTGCCGAATCGGCTGTGGTGTGGTTGTGATGATCCTATGCTTTGCTGCTGAAGTACGGCCAAGTTCACCATTTGGCCCTACAAATACATCATGGAATTCGGAAATCAAATTGACCAACTGTTCACGGAATTGACCATGTCATGTAGATGTTCTGGTAATTCAGAAGCTATAACCCGATTATCGGATTCGTCAACTTGAATTTGTGCTACAAGTTGAGGATGTGCAATACCAAGCAAAGATCCAGCCCTGATCTTAAGTTGTCTGCCTTTTTGGTTCACCGCTAGAACAGGAACAGTGGACTTTCCTGGATCCACAACAGAAGAGATCAGCTGAATGCCATCAGCGAGGAAAGAAGAATTCAGCGGTTCAACAAGAGCAGCAACGTCAGACAAATTGCTTTTCGGCCAAGGACGACTAAGTTGTGCAGGGATAACAACCTTAGAATATGGCGGTATAGTAATATCTTCTCGAACAGTTACACGACAACACGGTACAGACTTTTCAGTAAACAGTTTGATTTCATGACCCTCTATCATCATGTGTCCAGATGATAAGTAAAGAACGCAATCATGTTCTCGGAGATAGTCCATGCCCAAAATACCATTAGACATACCTAGGTTGGCAACAACAACAGTGCGTCGCGATGCAAAAGAATCAATAGACAAATCAACTTCCAATGTACC